TAAATGACCTCGCTGTATCTTTGCCTTGTTCCACATAATTAAACTGCCAATGTCAGTGAAAAAAAATGCCTTTAACAGCCTTACAAAGAAATATGACTACATTTCCTGTAAATTAAAAACATGTCCTTATTTGCTCCATTTTAATTCTGTGAGCAATTTGATGTCACCCGACGTGCAGTTAGGGGGCAAGTACCACACCAGATAGGATTTCACAGCACAAACTATTTACTGTCTATACAATGCAAATAACGACATGATGGACTAGGTCACCATGGAAATGGTAACATGGAAACAGGCCCACAACGTGATGAAAAATAATTTAAAAAATGCAGACTATATTATTTAAATGAGCACATAGCATGAGAACCATTCACATGACCATAAAGTTGAAGATCGCTAGAGTCCACGAGCAGCGCTGGGCTGTGCATCAATTTTGCTGCAGGACAGTTGGAACCACCCTTCATGTGCCTTTTTGCCACATATAAAGTAGCAAGGGTTCAAATTAACAATGTACATTTATTCAAGTATTGTACTTAAAATAAATACAAGTTAGAGGTATTTATACTTTACTTTGATGTTTGCATTTTAAGTTACTTTATACTCCAATACATATTGGATATAATGAACTCCATTACATTTACTCTACAGCTTTTCAAGTTGCTGTGCAGAGTCCAAAACATTTGAGCAGTTTATAAATGATGACGTTATGTAGGTTAACAGTTTATAAAGATCTACCTTAACAAGCCACATCATGAAAATGCTGCTTCAAGGCCCATGCCTCTTGTGATTATAAAACACCTTTACAGTACATCAATATTTATAGCACAACAGAGAACAGCTTCCAACAGCGTCAGTCCATGTGATCTAATGATAAAAAGCGGTAATCATTCACCCCTTACCGATACCAGGTACTCTTCCTGAACTCTTATGAATGGACTAAATAAGCCATCAATTTGAAGGTCTTTAAAACACAAGGAAAATTACACATGTTTTCTGTTTCTCCCAGATCACACACAGTTCTAATCTGAACACCTTTTTTCTTCCATAGATTATGGACTATATTATCCCATGCATATTCAAAAGCCATCAAGACTCTTATTAAGACATGCTTTCATGACATGCGTGTGTGTGGGAATTAATAATTATTGCTTTTGAGTAAATAAATGAAACATAACTATAAAAACACAAAAATAAAAACATTACTATAAAAACCAAATGAAACCACTGTGGTCATATTTATGTGAATTTCTTATAAGGCTTCAGTGGAGAACCAACACCGTTACATGTACAGTATGTACACTAGTTCCTGCTACAAATCCGTTCAACATCTATGTATCTCCTGGCTCCACCTCAGGAACTGTTGGTAGTGCATTTGTCTGAGAGTCAGCAGTCAGTAATTACCTTCCATGTCTCACCATGAAGGGCCACACTATGGCCTCCATGTCAATCACAGGCTTCTAAGATGTGGAGATGAGAAGACCTTTGACATAGACACACACATATTCCTACATTAGATGTTTCTGACCTTGCTCCCCTCTGCATTGTCACTACACACACACGTACTGTATACAGTGCTGTCCTATACTGACGGGTTTCTGGCTATGCAGCACTCAATAAGTCACATGAGGCTGTTCTGCTCTGTTTGGCATTATTCTTCCCGGTTTGCTCTGCCTCTGACAGGAAGATAGCCAAAAATCATGGACTCAGCCAACTGTATGAATACAAGATTAACATGAAAAAAGAGGCATGACTGCATCTGTAGTGATGATGCTGAATGTGTGGAGCAAAGGCATAGTTCACAGGTGTATGTTTTTACCACAATAGGAAGAAATGAACAAGACAGAAAAATAACCTGTATATAAAACTGAATATATTTAAAATACTAAAACAAGGGTGGTGCGGCGGTTAGCACTGTTGCCTCACAGCAAGAAGGTCGTGGGTTTGTTTCTGTGTGGAGTTTGCACGGTGTCCGTGTGGGTTCTCTCCGGGTGCTCTGGCTTCCTCCCATCATCCAAAGACATGTAGGCTAGGTTAATTGGTGTCTCCAAAATTGACCTTAAGTGTGGTTGTCTGTTTATATGTGGCCCTGCGATGGACTGGCAACCTGTCCAGGGTGTACACCACCTTTCGCCCAATGTAAGCTGGGATTGGCTCCAGCGCCTCGCGACCCTGTACGCAGCATAAGCAGTTGCTGATGGATGGATAATAAAAAAAACACAAAATGTCATAACACATAAGTGAAATAAACAAAAAGTCATTTTTAGGAAGTGTTTTTTTTTTAAAGTGATTTAAAAAGAGAGTTTGCAGCCCTGATCTCCTCAGGGAGGTTATTCTACAGTCTTGGAGTATAAATCTGAACCTAGGAACAACCAGGAATGTCGCATCCGAAGATCTGCTAAATAACTTGGGGCTAGGTCTCTCAGGGCTTTGTATGTAATCAATAATACCTTAAATTCAACAGGCAGTGTTGGGAAGCCAGGAGCTATGCAATGGGATCATGTTTCTTAGTCCAATCCAGGCAACAATAATCAATAATGAGTCTGGTGGTTGAAAATCAAGGAGGACTGAAACACATGCAGGACAGAAATAATACATTATCATACATTAATTTATAGGTAAGCTCTGCTAAAAGGCTGTGACAATCATGGTCAATCTCATTCAATACTTTCATTCTCTTTGAATACATGGCACTCCCCGTCATGACACACTAACAGTAGGAATCCTGTGGAGAGTTTTCCTCAAGGGAAGCTTATTGGTCTTTGACATGTTAAATATTGTGTGGTCATCTTGTTTTCCTTTTCCTTCCTTTGGGGTCTATTAATATACTATTATGATACCATTATGTTGGTGCGACATTGCAATCTGCTCTCTGCGCCGACACAAAAATAGAGCCCTAACATGCTAACATGCTGACAACGGCTATGTCTGATGTCTAGCATGTATACCGTTTTTTTGCCATCGTAGTTTACCGTGTTAGCATGCTAACACACGTTAGTTGGCAGTAAACACAAACCACAGCTGATGGGAATGTCATTAGTTTTGAAGGTAACCAAAATATTAGACCAGTCAAAATGTTCTCGTGGCACTAGATTAAAAGTCAGGGGATCACCAAGCTATTACAATGCCACGTGAGGGAAACATTAATGATTAAATTTTTATGCCAATCCTTCCAATCCATTTCTCTAAAAGACAAAAATTTCTAATGGAAATCCATCAAATAAATTTCAGTCGGGACCAAAGTGATTGAACAACAAACTGACATTGCCATCCCCAGACCCACGCCAATAGCATGGCTAAAAATTGCATTACTTCCCATGCACCACAATTTTGGTGTGAAATGCACTGCATGAATAAAAGTTTCATTACATTATTAGGTTTCAAGTAAAACACTGGTAAAGTGTAAAGTCACCACATGGATCTTTTAATCAGCTCTCACAAAAACAGGTATGCAACAAGAAGATGATAAAAACAGGAGAGATAGTGTGTGGTCCTGTTAAATAGTTTTATTTAAATCGCATGATGCAGCTTTTTGAACACACGGAAGCTGTTTCAACTCCTCTTGGCTAAGGCAGATAAATAGAGTGTTGCACTACTCAAAGTGGGAAGAGATAAAGGCAACTATAATCCTCTCTGTATCACTAAAATTCATGATGGTTCTAATTTTAGCAGTGCTCCAAATATGACTAGGTTTTGAGTATCTCTTTCAAAACCACAGCTTGAGTCTCATCCGACTCCTCAGTTTTTAGAGATAGGACAGGATATGTATTTATTAAGCATCAAGAACAGGTTGAATTTGTATGGTATAGTTTTCTTTCATATGTGAAATGGTTAATATTTTTTTTTAAATATGCAAAGATGAAAATGTATTTGCCTGGAGTAAGATGTTAAACAGGGTGTCATCTGCAAAACAATGAAAGTACATTTCATGATGTGTAATTACACACACAATGTGCACCTACACTCTGATCAGTGGGGCAGGAGCTAAATGGTCATCAGTGCTTACTTGTCACTAAAGACAAGACCCAATGTATGAATTCTGCAGTATTCAAGATGTCCAGTTTCATTCAAATATACAGTAAGCAACATTATACATTAACATTATACTTTTCACATGGTTGTGGAATTTGTACAAACATAGAAACAATTTAACCTGCCATCTAAATATGAAAATTGGAGTTTGAAGTTCTTCCACAACACTTACCCTGTCAACCACAAAAAACAATCAATCAAACAAAAAAGTAGAACATTGTATGTCTGACTCATGATTATATTTTTTCAAGTTGCTCTGCATTCTGCCTCATGCACTGCATCTTCTTCAAACTGCTCATTTGGTCTGATCTGGATTTCAGGCTTAACCCAAGTTGAAAACATGACAAAACCCTCAATTAATCTAATGAGGCAAACTCAGCATCCAAACAACATTGCAGTCATTATAACTGTTAGTTGCAGAGGCTTTTGAGACACTGTCGGCACAACTGATTGCTGAGGTGTACAACAATTTCTGGCAGCAGTTTAGTGCAAAAACTGTAATGTGCACTGTTTTCTTTTTAGCAAAGTAATAATCGCTTATCTTGACTTATGACGTCTCTTTACTGACCTACTAAACAACTGGCAGTAGATGCTGGCAGGTTCACTATGTTGATGATCACGGTTTTTAAATGAAGTGTAAAAGCTATGTTTCTTTGCAAGTTGTTGTTGCATCCCATTACACATTGGTGGTGCCACCCATTTGTTTATATTTGAAGTGCAGATAGTTACTTATACCTTGACTTACAAATGTGTTGATTGATCAGTACTGTATAGCTTATAGCCAGCCAGTGAGCCAGATAGACGTGACATTTGCAACTGTAGGATGATGGGAAATTACAAGGGCTGTTGTTCTTCTGTGCACTAATCAGTCATTCCCTCTCCTCCTCCTCCTCACCTTCTCCCCCTCCCACATCTATCCATCCCCCTTGCTCTGCACCGTGTCCTATTCTCTCTCTTGCTGACGTCTGTAGTCAGATACCGAGTTCTGGGATAAGATGCAGGCAGAGTGGGAAGAACTCGCTCGGCGGAACTGGCTGACGGAAAACGAGCAGGCGCAGATTCCCTCCAGTGTCTCTCCACATGAGAAGGTCACTGTCATTAAAATGTTACAATGAGCATGTGCAGACATTTGTCTTGATGACAGTGATGTAGAAATATACAGTGCTGATGGCTTCTGTGATGTAAACAATGCATGCTTGTCTAGAGTTATACTGTAAAATTAGTTACCCAATAAAAAAAGTAAGGATGTTTAGTACTTTTTTTAAATGTCATGTAGAAAAACTGCGGTCCTACATTTGTAGAGCTCACAGATTCTTCTCGCAGAGAGTTCTTCTCGCAGAGAGTTAGATGAAAAATCAATACAACTCTCATGTCTGTATATTACATATGCTTGAGCCAAGAGGTGATAAGCTTAGCTTAAAGCAGGGGGAAACAGCTAGCCTGGTTATCTCCAAAGTTCAAATATATGCCTACCAACACTTCAACAGCGCTCATTATGTCACACTTGTGATTTAAAGACATGACAGAGATTCAAACGCATGTGATTGGAGTTTCAATGTCACCGCAAAGTTGCCTGGCAACCAGCAGAGACCAGAAGGTTACACAACTCTGCAAATCGACAATTTGAAGTTTTTATATTTAGGTATACGTTTGGATGAAGCAGATTAGATATATTGTCAGTGAATTAGTGAGATTTAGTGGTGCTGTTGGGTGGTTTTGACAAAGGAGATAGCAAGCAGAGATTGCTAGCTGTTTCCCCATTTCCAGTCTTTATGCTAAGCTAAGCATCTTCAAGTTCTAGCTTCATACTTAATGCACAGATAATAGGTATTGGTCTTCTCACCTAACTATCTGCAGAAAAACAAAAAACACATCTTCCGACATGTCAAACTATTTGTTTAAACCCTCTTGTTGGGTGTTGACACATAAGAGTAAAATACAAGCTGAAAACAGATGCTGCTTGAAAGAATTATAGAGCTTTCTGGTTTGTACACATGAGCGCTCGCTGTCATTCCTAAAACACACAAAGCTTCCTTGTACAGTTGTAAAGTTTACCAGGGAATTCAATCCTCACCCAAGTTGTTAGGTAACAAATTCACTTGAAAAGGTTACTTTTTACTATATGTATTGAATAATCACATTTATGTTAAGTTACTTTTCCCCCAAAACTAATATATAGAACATTTTGGAATAGTCTGAACAATGGACATTTAGCCTATTTTCTATCAAATGTGTATCGCATCACTGTATATGATATACACTCACCTAAAGGATTATTAGGAACACCATACTAATACTGTGTTTGACCCCCTTTCGCCTTCAGAACTGCCTTAATTCTACGTGGCATTGATTCAACAAGGTGCTGAAAGCATTCTTTAGAAATGTTGGCCCATATTGATAGGATAGCATCTTGCAGTTGATGGAGATTTGTGGGATGCAAATCCAGGGCACGAAGCTCCCGTTCCACCACATCCCAAAGATGCTCTATTGGGTTGAGATCTGGTGACTGTGGGAGGCATTTTAGTACAGTGAACTCATTGTCATGTTCAAGAAACCAATTTGAAATGATTCGAGCTTTGTGACATGGTGCATTATCCTGCTGGAAGTAGCCATCAGAGGATGGGTACATGGTGGCCATAAAGGGATGGACATGGTCAGAAACAATGCTCAGGTAGGCCGTGGCATTTAAACGATGCCCAGTTGGCACTAAGGGGCCTAAAGTGTGCCAAGAAAACATCCCCCACATCATTACACCACCACCACCAGCCTGCACAGTGGTAACAAGGCATGATGGATCCATGTTCTCATTCTGTTTACGCCAAATTCTGACTCTACCATCTGAATGTCTCAACAGAAATCGAGACTCATCAGACCAGGCAACATTTTTCCAGTCTTCAACTGTCCAATTTTGGTGAGCTCTTGCAAATTGTAGCCTCTTTTTCCTATTTGTAGTGGAGATGAGTGGTACCCGGTGGGGTCTTCTGCTGTTGTAGCCCATCCGCCTCAAGGTTGTGCGTGTTGTGGCTTCACAAATGCTTTGCTGCATACCTCAGTTGTAACGAGTGGTTATTTCAGTCAAAGTTGCTCTTCTATCAGCTTGAATCAGTCGGCCCATTCTCCTCTGACCTCTAGCATCAACAAGGCATTTTCGCCCACAGGACTGCCGCATACTGGATGTTTTTCCCTCTTCACACCATTCTTTGTAAACCCTAGAAATGGTTGTGCGTGAAAATCCCAATAACTGAGCAGATTGTGAAATACTCAGACCGGCCCGTCTGGCACCAACAACCATGTCACGCTCAAAATGGCTTAAATCACCTTTTCTTTCCCATTCTGACATTCAGTTTGGAGTTCAGGAGATTGTCTTGACCAGGACCACACCCCTAAATGCATTGAAGCAACTGCCATGTGATTGGTTGATTAGATAATTGCATTAATGAGAAACTGAACAGGTGTTCCGAATAATCCTTTAGGTGAGTGTAAATGATTGTTTGTGGGTTTCAGAGGACAGAGCGTAGGTACACTTTACCCATCGGTTGACCTTCTTATATAAGGAAATCATACAAGATCAGACTTCTGAGCTATCTGATTGATCCCAGCACAGAGCTAGTTCTTAAGGAAAAAGCTGTTGCCAAAGTCATTGCACTCAGAAGCGGTCAACAACACACCAGGGTAATCACCACCAGTTTGAAAATGCAAAGTTTAACATTTAAAGAGAACAGATAATCCCCAGGGAGCTCAGCCCAGGTTTGATGTGAAGCAGAAAAGATCAATTCCTGCTGCTGGAGCTTGGCTTAAATATACAGCCGCACAGGACAGTTGCCCTGGTTTGCATTTGAATATGGAAGAAAGTGAAACTGACATTGCCACTGTCCCTATTTTTTGTTGTTTTCTTTTTTGCTGACAGGGTTACTACTTCCACACAGATAATCCTTATAAGGACTTTCCTAACGCATTTGAAGAAGGACTAAAGAAGTCTCGAGAGGGAGACTTGCAAAACGCTGTGCTTTTGCTGGAAGCAGCTGTCTTGCAGGACCCTAATGATTCAGAGGTGAATACATTAATACACACATGCACATACACATGTTAACACACATATTGTTTTTTTTTTCATTATTTAACCAGACAAGTTAACTGTGGAGACATTTGTATTTACAGCTCGGGGTGTATTTTACAACAGGGATGGAGGCACATTTATAGCACAGATGGCCAATAAAACAGCAGTCCTGCACTGGTCAACCTGACTGGAGGAGTTTTTCAGCGCAAACTTAAGGCTAAATCCAACCCTAATAACCCCACCTCATGTTGAGAGAAGCTAGAGGAGGAAGGATGCCTCACTGACCACAGGCTGTGTGAAGCAGATTTACTAGGCAGTACCCACAGGCTAGATGCTGATTGCCTGTAGAGGGCAAATTATAATTTTTTTCTTGGTAAAAGAGTTGTTTATTGTAGCAAAAATACTCAATTTGTTCATACTCTTAATGAGAATTTCCATTTGCCCAGTGAGCTGAATAATAGCTCATTCTGCAGGGTTATTTCTCCTTTTTCTATTCTCCCCGTTTCAAAAGAAGTGACCTCTTTGCAGCCTGAAAGAGCAAAGCCTTCATACTTTCGAATATACAGAAATGTGCCAGTTATTCCGAGGAGAGGATTATCCCGCGGTGTATGGAACTAATACGATTCCAAAATTCCTCCTAGGGCGCTTAGTGGCTTATTGCCCCACTGTAAAGACCTCTGAATCATTCTGAAATAATTTCAAACCTCATTTCAAAGAGTGGAACAAAAAAGCATCTACAGAGATTAGCTTTAGAACAGGTTCTTAAGTGTGTCCTTACAGACATTAAATACAAAAGGATAATCTCATAATCTCACATTTTTGGATTTGAGGTTAGTTGTATATGTGCCCTCTTGCGCTGATGAAGGGTACTTTCAATTGTTGTCTCCCTGCTGAGAACCAACAGTGGCACAAAGATCAACCGCAGTGCCTCTCAGACCGTCACTTTTAAGGTTAACTGAACAACAAACATTTAGTCAATTCATCTAGTAGTCGAAAGTGAACTGGCAACTGATTTGATGATCAGTTATAATTTGAGTCATGTTTCAAGCAAAAATGACAAAACATTTTCTTGTAACAAGCACCCACTGATGATGTCTTATCCAGTGTGAGGATTTGCTGCTTCTCTCTATCTTATTTCATTGTAAATGGAATAATTGGGGGTTTGCACTGTTGCTAGGACAAAACAAGACATTTGAAGACATCACCTTAGGCTCTGGGTAACTATGATTTGTTGTTTTCTAACATTTTATAGACAAAACAATTAATCAATTAACTGAGAGCACTATCGATACTGAAAGTTTTAGGGTTTTTTGCAGCTCTAATATTCATAATCTGGTGTACTTAACATACTCCGTTCCTTCCAATAAATGTAGGGCTGCAACTTATTATTTTGATTTTCATCGATTAATCTGACGATTCCTTGTTTTGTCTATAAAAGGGCAGAAAATTGTGAAAAATGACCACCACAATTTCCCAGAGGCCAAGGTGATGTCTTCATTGTATTGTTTTGTCTGACCAACAGTGTAAACTCCAAAGATGTTCAGTGTACAAATGACTAAAACAATAAATCCATGATCAAAATAGACCTTGGTTCATTTTCTGGTGACCGACTAATCAACTAAACCTTCAGCTCTAAATAAATGAGGAACCCTCACATGAATTATCAATCCCTTTTTTTTCAAAGAGATAAAGCATTAAGTCATCTCCGATTGCTTCACTGAATAATACATGGCTTTCTACTGCTTGGATGATATCATGAAGTATTTGAGAGTATCACTTTGCCAACTTTAAATCATTATTGCATTATGCTCTTGTTTGTCCTCATGAAGGTTTTGCATTCTATGGATCCTCCTATGTGTCATCCTCTGTTGTGTCTGAAACACTGGCATCATTCACTCTGTGCTGGATCCCACTCACTGTGCCTGACAGATGATGCTGAGCCACTGTAACTGTGTTTCAGCCCCTGGAGAATATATGTAGGATCCAGGTTTCATCTCCGCTGTTTACTGTTACCTGCATTTTCTTTCCCTGCAGGCTTGGCAAGTGCTGGGGACCACCCAGGCTGAAAATGAGAATGAGCAGTCCGCGATCGTCTCCCTCCAGAGGTAAGGAGAAAGAATTGCATCAAAGTCCCATTTAATGAAAAATCGCTCCCAGACTTGTCAGCTATTACTGCTCGGGGACCCCTATGTTTGCACAAGTGGTACTCATGGGGAAATGTCATGTTTAAAGATATATCCTAGCACATGAAATTTGCCTAAGAGGTTTCAATGAACTTTTTGGCAGCAGTCTATTCAGCAGCATTCTATTTTAAGGATCTGTTATATTTATATTCCCGAGAAGAACGCCATCACAGTGTTACGGTAGTTTAACTTTACCAAACAGCGATTGGAAGGAAATGTTCTGCGATTTTCATTTATAAAATAGGACACACCACATGGATGGTGATTGCACAGAGCCAGGGTATGAACAGAGTCCTTAATGGAAGGTGGCCCACTTTACTTCATAACACTGCTGAAACCAGAAATTGCACCTATCTGGGAGTGTGAAAACTGATATGTCAACTGAAAACACAAGAGAGTGCCTTTTTAAGTTTACTTAGACAGTCCATTCTGTTAAATAAAAATACAAAATAGAAACTTTTAATTGCTGTTTTACATAAATAAAATTACTAATGCCCGCGACCCTGTACGCAGGATAAGCGGTTGACGATGGACGGATAAATTACTATGGATGTAATTTCAGTTACTGTTAGAATCTCAATTAATCCAATGGACTCCTGCATATTTTGAAACACCATTCAGGTAGTTTGCATGGTGTACATTTAAGTTTGTTTATTATGTAATAGCTCCCTCTGTGAGTGTTTGGGTATGAAGTGAGATTAGATGTGTACCTGGCATTAGCATGTTGTTGATACACTGGCAACACTTCAGTTGGCAAGCACCATATTATCATGCTCTGTTTTTACCACTTCATTAATAATAGAGAATGTGACCAAAAGAAGAACATCTTATCATATGGAAAATAAACCCTTTGTTTGGCTAATGTCTGTTTAATGTGTATTTTTTATCTAAATTTGACTAATGTGGTTATTTTATGTTGCTATTTTTTTTGGCAGCCAGTTCAATTCTGCATACAAACAAAGCTGCCAAATCTGGCACTGTCCCTGGAAAACATGGGGACCTGAGAAAAATATGGATTAGTTGAACTTCTCTTTCCAATTTTACACCGTGTACACATGGGAAGCAAAACAATTTGCACACAGAACACATTCTTGGAAGTGTACAGTGGATTTGAAAGTTTATGTAATCTTCACCTACAGCACATTGCAGTTGGACTGACTGAAATAATTTGGCTTGACTGGGATTATGAGGGTTTTAAGGAAGTTGGTACATCAGATGTAGCAAATCTGGCTTGGAAAATATCTTGATGAGAGCTAAATCTTGTTTTGGCCTCTCCCTCCAGTCTCTTAACTAATCCAAGTTGTTTATCCAACACAGTACTGCTCTTCTCCCCTTTTCAATTACAAACACCAGCGTAGATCTTAGTGGCAGTTCTACAAATGATGTAACCGGTGATATAACTCTAGCACTCAGTACAAATATACTTTCCATCTCTAGCTATGGAACAATCACCAAGGGCATTTTTTTCCTAAATGCAAACCTAATGCAAATCACCTACCCCTGCTGCTGAGGGCTGCATTAAAACAGGGTCGCCTGCAGCAGGCGCAGAGCACAAGAGGTGCAGCTCATCCATTCTGACTAAGAAATCATTAGCCTCCGCCTTATGTTCCGTTGCTTTGGCCTGTCCCAATTAATACCTGTCAAATATAGATCTCCCTTTGAAGTGCACACCTTACACCACCTCTTCTCTTCCATGCCCGGGTCCTGTCTCCATCCAGGTGTTTGGAGCTCCACCCAAACAACCTCCCAGCCCTCATGGCTCTGGCAGTGAGCCTGACCAACACTGGTATGCGCCATGATGCCTGCGAGGCCCTGCTCCGCTGGCTGCGGCACAATCCAAAGTACAAGCACCTGCTGAAAGGCAAGACCCACCTGATGGGATCCCCAAACTCCCAGCGCAGGATGTCTCATGCTCTCAACATGGGCAGACACGAAAGGTGGAGTATTAACACTGAACAAGCAGGTGGTTCAACAATACTTAAGACATGACGAAATCAAAGAATGGCATTTTTTTTAGCTGTATTTTCAGGTCATATAGAAGGACAATTTTTATCTGGGACACCTTTTTGCAATGTCCAGTGTCTGGGTAAACGCCACAGCAACAACTGGAAGTTATGTACCTTGCATAAAGGTTTGTTGTTGAGGAAGTAGACAGCAACATTCACTTACTGTAACTCTAGATTTTGCCTGGATCAGATCATTGTGGGCAATAGGCTGCAACTAACGACTTAAGATCACTTCCTCCTGTCAGACAAAACTGACAGGAGGAAGGACTGAGAGAAAAAGCCACAATTACAAATCCATCTGCTGCTTCAGCACCATGCACAGTGCCATGGATTTATCAATACGCAGCACAGTTAGGCTACTTATTTTTCAGTCACGATCGGGGCCATAGATTCTAATTTGCACAAACCTCAGTCAAATAAAGGATCAATGAGTCAGGGCACTTTCAACAGAATACTGGGCTGGTCAAGTAGACTAAACTAACATACACAACCCCTCTGCCACTGCACTCTCTCTGCTGCTAGAGGATGAGGAGGACGGTGGCATTTGCCCTCAAATCGCCTACTGACTGTAGTGGACAATGTTGCAAATCAGTGATGAATGAATTATTGTAATTATTGGATTTTTATATGATTTTTGGACAATGTGATGAAGTACTTTGATTTGTCAAGGATTCAAATCACTGGGTTTGCCATATCAGACATCCATTCATAGTTTCTTTAATAGTTTTCCAGAGAAAGTATTATACATATCATGATATATACTGATATTGTGATATAAAATTACACATATCATGATAAATGATATGTGTAAATTATGATCTCCCCCCTACTTGAAGACAGCTGTATTCACCCCCCGACTCTAAACGTGTGAGTTACTTGTCCCCCACAGGTCTGAAACAGTAGATGTTAAAATTATCAAAGAGAAAATAGTCCATCTGTAGCAGTTACATGATGATTCAGGACCCATCTAAGATTTTTACTGAAATTAATTTGTGTATTTGAGAAGTGAAGTCATTAGGTAGCTGGCAAACATATGAGATGAGTCATGTGCACACTCAAAAACAAGATCTTTAACAGCTGGTTCAGACTCTCATTTGTTTTACTTAAACTGCTATTACTCAGTCAGAGAGAGCCAAAACGTATTTCAAGGTCTCTCAACCACAGCAGGTATTGGTGTATTTTCACTGGCGAGACGGTATAAATGTAGCTACGGGTATCTATCTTGTCAAACCACTCTCACTGCGGTAGAAGGCAGATGTCTGAGTTATCTTAAGCCAGAAAAATTAGGTTGTTATGTATATCAGATTGAAAAGGCCTAATTCTGCTTCCAAGGTAAAGCAGCACTTTATCAAATCATTAATCGTCTAGTCAATGTGAAGACATACAGGTACATCTCTATTACTGTGGTCTCCCCTCTAATCCATGAAATATCAATCTTTTCATTTCTGCAGCTTACTACATCCCTCTCTCTTTACAAATTTCTCTGCAGTTCTCCTTTTTCCTTACTCCTCTAACTTTCCTTTACCCTCACTCCCTTTATTATGACGGACCTAGTGGAAACTAAGATATAACATCCTTATCGTTACCCAAAAACCAAGGACCAAATGACCGCTGAGGATTTAGTTTCTTGACATTTATCATTCTGTTTGTACTATTCCTCACTGCAATATTAAAAACTGACCAGCAAGCACTGATTATGTCCATATCTGGCTGATTAGACCTGTTTTTATAAATGAAGCTCTGATGTGAATCAGCAACAGAAGGAAAAGCTCAGTTTGCATTAGTAATAACTTAAAACAGCTCCAATAAATCTGAAAGTATCAGCAAACAGTCAAATAAGGCAGATAGGAACAAACAGGAACACACGAGTGAAGCTAAACTCCAAGCCACAGAGATTCAGGCAAAATACGAAAGTACCAAGAGCTGAACACACAGAGACTTTAAAAGAGCTTTCTCTCTAGTCACGGAGTGCGACATGGCTCTACCTTTGGTGCCCTGGGGATCAATAAAGTTCTAGCTACCTAGCTATGGCATGGCAAAAGCGTATTATTTGTCTATAACCCATGAGAAACATGGAATACAATTATATAATGTTACTTTAAATTTGGCTGATTTAACCAGACCGGAAAGTCCCCAGCTCACGTTTGGTTATGGACCCGTGCTGCATGTCGTTCCCCGTCTCCCTTTCCCCCCATTTCCTGTCATTGGCTATCCACTAACAGGCATAAAATGTCCCCAAAAATAATTTTGAGAACCACTGCTTGGCCAGAACACCAAACATAACAATGTAACAATAATGTACAATAATGTGAATAACAAAGTCACAACAATATTTCATTGGCTATTAGTAAAAAAAACGACAAGACGTCCAAATACTAAAGTATTTGCTAATCTACTTTTTTCTGTCACAACCAGTGAACAAAAATAAAAATGAATACAGGCCCATCTGTTACTCAAGTCTGCATTTTTCCTTGTTTTAATTTCTCTGTTTCCTTCTTTACTCACTTTATCTCTCTTTTACCCTCGTGTCAATCTTCCTCTCTCTTTTTCTTACACTCTTACACTTTTCTTACACAAAGTTGACATGCAGTACAATGCACATCATAGCTCTGCAATCTTAAGAGCGCTCACTCAGCAGCCTTAAGCAACACTAATCCTTAGCTTTGCGTGTGTGTGTTCATAGCTCCCTGCAACCCGAGGTAAAGGAGCTCTTCCTGGAAGCAGTTCAGCATAACACTGACGGCATCGACCCAGATTTGCAGACGGGCCTCGGGGTGCTCTACAACATCAGCGGAGAGTTCAACAAAGCAGTGGAGGCCTTCAATACGGCCCTGTCAGTGCGGCCCGAAGTAGGAATTCCACATACACACACATGGAAACATGCAGATTAGACAGAGCGGAGCTGTAGTCATACAAACTCTTGTCAGAAGCAGAGATGCTCTGCAGGCACAAATAACCTTATTGGTCCATTTTATGAGATTGGCACACATGTTGTAGATCACCACATTCTTAAAGGTACAGTTCACCACAAAACACACAGCACTTTTGTAATTAAACCTCGTCATATCCGGCCATATAAATGTTTTAACTTTATAGAATTTTGAAACCTCTATATTTTGATATAGATTCAGTATGTACTGGGTTTCCAAGATTTCAAAACCAGCCTGACTGTAAGCTGTGGTTAGTGAACACATGGGATGCACTGGTTTCCTTGCAGAGACAACATGTCTGACAGCTGGTTGACTCCAGCTGGCACTCCATTATGCCAGTGATGCACCTTTCATGCAACACTTTTAATGTATGATCAGAGGCTCGTTCTGATATTCACAGCTGTACATTTTACAAAATTGTTGCTGCTCATTTTTGCCTGATGGGAATCTAAGGATGCTGGTTTGTTTGCACATTGTAGCTGGTGGCTGTTGATAGGTTACTGCATTACAGGAAGTCGTGCAACATTTCAAAGGCTTTTGATTGGCTGTTCACATTTTTTTTTAAATGTGGCCCATATCAGACCAGTGTGAACTGGCCATGGCCTGAAAGTGAACTACATGCTCAGAAGAATGAGACGACGTCACCCGCAGCACATTATCATACGGAAAGTAAACATGGAGGTTAGCTCATACTTCCTGATGGAGAATTGCGACGACCATCGCTCTAGAGTGACGTCAGAGTTGCACGAATTACAATCTGAATTCCATGTGACTTGGGCTGTTCACACTATTCAGATCTGAGTCACATAATGAGTAATTGGGTCACTTTGGCCTGCAGTCTGAATGCAGCCTATTGATGTCCAAATCACTGTATACACTGTATATCTTGTTACTCTAAGGACTAACATACTTCACTCAAAACATTTAATTTTATTCATTTAAAATGAAACAATGAAAAAACAAATATATATATATATATATATATATATACATACATACATATAAATAAATAAAATTTCCATTTGTTTATTGTGAATTATTGCCGTAATGATGGTAATACAACAGGAACTATGACAAATTTACTGCAAAATTCAATTCAAAGTGTTGAAACGAGTCATAATACTGTACTGAATATGAGCTTTTTTGGTAAATGAACAACAAAAAAACAACATTAGAATATACAGTATGTTTTCATTTATTACAGGATTCATTACAATCACTTAAATATATAATCTTGGAGGGTCAGCATGCAAGCTAAAATTTAAATGTTATGGCTGGTGCCATTTATTTGCAATAATAATATGCATAATATTGGCCCCGTGACCCTGTATGCAGGATAAGGGGTTGACGATGGATGGATGGATAATATTGGATTCCTCCCACGTTTGGTCTGTTGGACACTAAACTGATTTGGCCTCTAAAAAACACACTCAGTGCCTAAAGGATCTAATAAAAATACATGCACACATGCAGAAACACACACACTTGAAAATCATGATCTGTCACACACCACATGTTCCCATGCAAACCCATACAGCAGATGCAAAGCCCTCAAGCTTGCACACATGCTAAGAGAGATGGAGCCGCAATTATCAAGGGGAGAGCTCATGCAAACAGATGCAATGAAGCTCATCAAACTGTCACCGCAATATGTGAAGCAAGGAGCTGCCAAATCTGGCCTCATGAACTTTTGACTGGCACACATACGCTCGCTCATGATCCAGCACAAGAGTAAAACAAGATCTAGTTCACACACACGCACATTTACGCAGAAAAATAACAGACTTTGGCACATATTTCATACACTGGAATGCACACATATACACAACAAACTAAATAAACACGCACACACAAATTAACAACCACAAACTTTTCCTCCATCTCCTTCAAGCAAATCAGTTTCTGTCCTCCGAGCACTGTCCCAGGCCGGCAAGAATATTACTCACTGTTAAGTCCAACCTCCTATATTTGACTTGGTAATATCTGCTCCCCTGCTGGAAAAATAGCTCTGAACGCAAAGGGAGATAATTATTACTAGGCTTAGCCAAAGATGAAGGACCCCTATACTGTAGCAGACCATGACCTCTGTATGTGCCTGCAGGTGGGAAACAACGGCAAGGACACCCTGTGTAATGTAACTCAGCTCTCCTTAAATTACCCTTGTTAGGTTACTTCATAGCAGGGAGCTGTGTAATCCTCCAAACACTTCCTTGTTATTTGTTCGTTGAACCCCCCCCCAGCAAATTATAGCTCTAACACTGCTTTGTCATGCTGTCATTGCAGATACAAAGCTGAGTGTTGTGTAGCAGCCCAGATTATTCAGCTCTATTTCACTTGTACTTCTCAGTTAAAGACAATGTCAGCCACTTGGTCAGGTCTTTCAAAAGGGGGCAACTAGCATTTAAGACTTAAAGATAGCTGAGTAGATGTTGCTGATGAGTTTTTTAATTCAGGCTAAAATGAACTGTGTTTACTAATTAAATACATCCAGTATATTATGCAAGCCACATTATAAAGGCTGACAGCATCTGACACCACATATAGCAAAGTTTACTAAATACAAATCTTTCATCCTCACCCTCTGACATTGCTTTACTCCTCTAACTCCACCACTCCATCCAGGACTACTTGTTGTGGAACCGCCTGGGGGCCACGCTAGCGAACGGGGACCGAAGTGAGGAGGCAGTGGAGGCTTACACACGAGCACTAGAGCTGCAGCCAGGGTTTATCAGATCCCGCTACAACCTAGGCATCAGCTGTATTAACCTAGGTTCACACAGGTGAGTGACCTCTGGCTATAAAAGAGTGGGACAAAGTTCCTATACTTGTTTGATGCAGTGGAGTATAATTACTTTGGGTAGCACCCATGAGGAGGTGAGACTATTTACAGTTGATATTAGGGATCAATATGTTTTGATCTCACTACTCACCACAAGCTTAGATCAAACCCAGCAGAGCATAGATTGGGTGTGATAGTTATTAAGGATCAGCACATTAAAAGCAAGCTAAACATACCAAAACTAACTAACCAAACTAACTAAACTAACCAAAGACAAGCATCAAATCCACACACTGAAGAGGTTGCAACCAGAGAATTTTTGGCATTTTTGCCTGAAAAATTACTGAATCAGTTAAACCATTATTTTGAGTTTCACGGCAATTGTTTTTGAGTGCTATTTCTCAAAGGCTTGACTGATTATAAAAGAAAGTGTGACTAAAATGCTAATTTTGTGTGTGACAAAAGCCTGTTGAGCTTTAGAATATTAGACACAAAACTATGTGAGTTGGCAAAAAAGACCATAGCATTCATGATGCCCACCACCTCAACCAATAACATGACAGGAAATGCAATGATAGCAGCGATATCATTTAGTTGAAGTTCATCCTATTTGAAATGCTGGTGTGAGAGGATGTCTAATCATTCCAAACAAGTGAAATCACCAGTTTGGGTGTACTATGGGTGCACAGGGCCTGAGTTGGGTCAACCCACACGGCATGCCCTAAAACCAAACTGATTCCTGTTACTGTTGCTTCCCCAGAGAGGCGGCCAGGAACTTCCTGACTGCATTAAGCCTTCAGAGGAAAAGCCGGAGTCGCCAGCAGTCCCACCAGGTGATGTCTGGAAACATCTGGGCTGCTCTGAGGATAGCTTTATCTATGATGGACCAGCCCGAACTCTTCCAGGCTGCAAATATTGGTGACCTGGATCTTCTCATGCGGGCCTTCAACCTAGACATTTGAGGAATGGAAGGTAGTGACAATAGCGTCTCCCCTTTCACTTACTCTTACTCGATTTCTACCCAACAGCCAAAAGCCCAAAGTGCACACATCAGAATGGATTGGATCTGATGTTAGAGACAATAGTGTAGTTTTTATGCACGTCAAAATGAACTACAGTTGCCAGAGTTGTTATATTTTTCGCCCAAGTACGTTGGAGTGAGGACAGGTTCTTCCAAGTGCTTGAAGTGACTGCTTTGTGATGGATTTGCACTGCAATTTGTGATTTCCCTGAAGAGCACAAGGACGGGCAAAGATTGTATGAACAATGCCTTAGAGAACACATCAATTAAAAACTGACTCATCCAGTGGAACAGAGCTGAGCCAGGACAGAGAGACGGGCAGACAGACAGTTTGAGATTCTCACAGAGGAACCCTCACATGCTGTTTGCAGAGAAAAGATGAGGTCTTGAGGAAAAAAAAAGGTTTCATTATCCAATTACTTTCAAAGACACAAACTCGTCTCACACTCCTGAAGGATGGATTTAGCGAGCAAATCATAAAGACTGCACCATATGACCTGGAACTACAAATTCTGTTCCTGGCTTGTTTTCATCATCTTTCACTGGAGAATGATACTGCATGCATAAGCATTTTCATAAATGGATTCTTGTTTAAAATTAACATACTTTTAAAAGTTTTCCCTTTGCACTTCAGACAAACAGATAACTTCCTCAACCCAAGTGGAATGCGCAAGCCAAGTTGTAAAGCCTTACTCAAATGCATGCGAACAAAAACATTTATTTATACTATTTTTATGGCAACTCAACAACACTAAGCCATTTCCAGACTGGTTTTGATTCCTTTAAATAACTGCTGTCTTCTGAACTTGAAAGCTTTCTGAGCCGTTTTGTTGGGTTTATTTTTTTTTTGGTATTGGCTCCTAGCTTCTCTTTGTTCCCTTTATGCTGACTAGCTGGAGAAATACACAGAAAAGCTGGGCAACGCGGATCTGTAAAACTTTCATTAGTGTAGAAACTTCAAGTTTCTCATGTGAAAAAAGCTTTTACAGGTCTAAAAATATCTCTTTAATCTTTACCTTGTGGGCTGGCTTTAGTAACGTGTTCCTGACTGTATAAATTTCAGTACAGTATAATATTACAGGTAAAAGATGTGTAGCTGCAAGCCAAGACCTAAGAGAGCTTGGGGTATTTCCAAACGCAGCCATTTGTGTCTTTGCTGCGACTCCACAGTCAGCGAAGCTCATACATTTAATTAGTTCAGTTTGCCTCACCCAATCATGCATGATTTATATATTTATGTAAGCTTAGGCAGAACGCCGCACATATTTGAGAAGCTATTTGCTTTACCACCTGCACACTCATATCAACATTTAATTATTGTGCATCCACAAAACACATGATTGTAAGGGGCCAGATATTCCACATAATTATTCTGCACCCGTCAGAAGCCAAGCTTTTTCTTAAAACAGCTTCACTTGCATCACTGTTGCTAGTTTGAAAGTCACTCTGTGAAGTGAACATCACGTTCCTCATCGTGCAACAGAGTAAATGATAGATAATCTGCTGTACTGTATCACTCAGCACCTTGATGTTTAGCAGGTGTGTCCACATTCTGGGTGTGCTGTCGAAAGTACACTTTTTATTCTTAGATCCTATGCAAAAGGTCATGTTTTATGTTGCCAATCAGTTTGTCCCTGTCTGCCTCAATGGACGAAAAAAGGAAGTGGTGATTCTGTACTTTGAAAGAATGCTATCAGGGGAACGCAGAGACTAGTACGAGAGCCATTCATCTTCCCAACTGCACAGCTTTGACATCATGGTATGTATAAGAAGTGCTTCTTTAGGAAACTGGGGGAAAACAAAAACAAGTGTTCCTGTTCAAGAGAGAAACATGACATGTCAATGATTCTGAAAAATACAGACACCATCCACCTAAAATGTAGCCTTCAATGTTTTATAACCCTGTTGTATAGTGATGTGTCTTTGACCTCAGTTGCACCCCCCAAATTCACTGTCAGCTTTGCTATCAGAACTCTCATTTTTAAGCACATAACTAGTTAAACTGTTGTCGAAGCAAAGACATTAATATGTTAACCATTCGTGGTACTTTCAATATATTGAGTAAGATGATACTTCAGGCTGAAACAGATGAGTAGCTACTGCAGTCAGATACATTAAAAAAATGTTGGCAGAGAGTCTCTGTGGCCAACCATGATGTATAATAGATCAAGGAGGCAGAGGAACCCAGTGAGACAGAGCACATATGTGCCTGCTACTAACAATCTGCATCGGAGGGGTGCTGACAGTGGACTCCATAATGGCAAAGGCAATGAGGCCAAAGCAGAGGTGGATGTGAAAATGTATTCACTATGAGAGACTTTGTTACGATAAAAACAAAAAAATTCTAATCATTAAATTAGTAAATAAATTATTTTCAGCTCTGCTGGTAGCATGGCTTTGTAGATCAAAATGTTGGTCTGTCAGTCCACCATTTTGGTTCAGACCTTCAGACTGGAATATCTCAGCAAATGTTGGATGAATTGCTATCAAATTTGGTACAGATGTTCGTATTCCCCAGAATGAACCCTACTTACTTTGGTGATCTTAAGACTTTTGCTCTAGCGCCACCATGATGTTGACCTTGTCTCTTTTTTAGTAAAACTGCAATTAAATGTGGTAGAGACATTCTTGCCCCACTCAGGATGAATTGTAATAACTTTGGTGATCCCCTGACTTTTTATCTTGTGCCGCAATCAGGTCTTTTAAATCAAAATGTGTCCAATACTTGGGTTTCTAACTGAATACATTTCTAATTAATTACTTTGTCATCAGCCTCAGCTAGACTGCTTTGTGTTGATTAGCAAATGTTAGCATGCTAGCATTCCCAAAAGTAAGATGGTGACAATGACATACTGTACATTATACCTGCTAAACATCAGCATGTTAGCATTGTCGTTGTGAGCATCACTAAGCTTAACCTCACATAGCTGCAGACTCTTAGTCGCGATTGCATCTATGTTACAACTGCACAGCTGTATCAGCCAAGTGTTTGTTTCTGTTAACATCCACCTCAGTCACTTACAGTGTATGTGCTAACGCTGCCAGCTAGCACACTTGGCCAGCATGTTGAGCACTGTCTCCCATGGATATTTTATTTGTATCAGATCAGTCTCAGCATGTCCAAGATAAGCTTTCATCCACTTTTTTTTCCAAAACCCATAAACCCACCTATTAGTCAAAGTTCCCTGAGAGATTATTGAAAGACATTATTCTTCAGGCCAGTATCCCTCCATTTTAAAATATGAACACATAATCCGTCCATGTCCTCCCACCTGTCTTTTCTGAACTGTAGAAACTCAAATCATGTCTGTGAAATTGTGATTTCCAAATCAACACTAGCTTTCTCATGATGTTCTAGGCCTTTGCTTTTTGCATTTCAAGATACTGTAGTAATAAAAAAACATATTTTTTTAAAGAGACATTAAATCTAAACTACTGCGTACATCGTACTGCAGTACACTGAGATAGGATGCCTGGTGACAGTTTTCTTTGTGTAGAACCTACCTACTACTGTACCTTCTCAGGTGAACTGAACTAGCTTAACGCATGCTCCTGAGGAACAGATCGAGGTTGATCGCATGCTAGATCCTCTACATTTTATTTTTTTGAATGCTATTTTTATTTGTATGCATGAAATACAAGGAAGCTCTCTTTCTCTCCCACTAACTTATAAAAATGAAATATATCATGAAGTTTACTTGCAATATTTCTACAATGCACTTTTAAAAGCTGTAACCTTGACAAAAAGTGATGTATATATTCAGTATATTCTACACAAGATGCTTTTTCTTTTCATAGAACTAGCGAGTGTGCAAGGCTCAAGCAGAGAAATGAGACCCTTGAGCTTGAATACTGGCCCATTGCTACAACTGGCTAATAGGTTATATTCTGTAGAAATGTTGTAATTATGACTTCTGCAAATGATAAATGTACTGTTAACACTTTCAATAACCCCAGCCTGTAAAGTTATGTGTTGTTACCAAAAGCTTTTTAGTGTTGAAACTTGATCATGCTTAAATTGTTATGCACACATTCATAAATATACTGTGAACTATTAATAGTTATTTAATGTTATAATGTTATATACTGTAAAGCATCATAGCTTCATTAGTTCTGGTTACATATGTAATGAGAAAAATCAAGATCAGGTAAAAAACATTTAAATCAATGATAATACATTCATTACCAATTTTACACAGCTTTAATCAAAATGATTTATATATGGAGACCCAAGGTGTAAAGACTCATCTTAATATTATGGGTAACAGAGTGTATTGCAGGTCATTTTAGCCAGTTATGTGATTGGCTGTCTGACCAAAGCTTCAGCCAATTACATTAACTGTCTCTGACCTGTTTGCCTGGATTGATAAAGCCTTTATGGTGAAATGTTATGAAAAACATATTAGTGAAAGTGCAATAAACTAAAGATTGCAGAAAGTTGCAAAAAAGAAACAATGAAATAAAATTTGAATGAAATGAACACAGAATGAAATTTCAGTCGTTCATGGTTATGTTAATGTATTTGGTTTGTATTTATTCATAGTATGATTTACTTCATATTATCATATTTCAAAGTTTCAGCAGGGTTCAGCTAGTTAAATTAAACATTACATATGTAACAAATGTAATTTAATACCTGTTTCATGATCATTTCAAGTACGGAAGTATGATGGAAAACCAATATGGCCTAGAATAATTATATCACATTTTTGCAGTACTTCACTGCAGTATATAACAATAATTTTGAAAAACTATTAATTTATTTACATTAATTACTTTGTTTTTGTTAAAAATGACACTTGCCCATTCTGAGACAATGAGCTTCCCTGTTACAGTAGCTAGCAGTAATCAGTGTCTACAGGTGTTATCACACCTCTTCTTCATCTGTCGCAACAATCCCACTTAGTTTATAGGTATTATAGCTACAGTAGGCAAGATGAAACATTCAAGACCTTTAAATACCGTCTAAGGCCTTTTCTTTCCTGAGGAAACCAAGTTAATTTTCTTTTTTAAGAATTTTCCAGACGTACAGATACCCTGTATTTATGCCTTAAATTTTGAACACACATATAAATATAAAGCATTTATTACTTTGTGAACGTGGTAATAATTCTTCTGGCATTAAAAATCAAGTTCTCACATACTACAAAAGCATTTAAAAAATGTTATTTACAGCATCATTGGTTGGGGTTCAAAAAGGTTATCAGTACATCTATGCATTGTCTTCACTCCTTGAATTCCACATGTGTACAAAGTTTGTTCTGGTTTATTTATTGATGCATCAGACATGTATGAATAAAATGATATTTTGATGAATGAACTTAGAAGTTATATACTTTATATACATTAATTCATTTATTGAAACTCCTACTATAATGCATATTACTCTCCCTGTATAATCACAAGGAAAGCATTAGCACCTTTGAAACGTACAATATCAAAGTAATCTTTTAAAATAAATGGTTGCTATATATTCTATGCTCTTGTGTCTTTATTTTCCTAAAAGAAAAAGTCACACTTGAAGTGAAGGTTTTGTTCATTCTTAAAGAAGCCAAGTCTCAACAAAAGGTGTAGTTTATTAAATTATCCAAACCTTATAAGTAAACAGTGCCAGTGAGTATACGGTTTTACTCTATTCACATACACCTAAGCCATATTTGGATAAAAGCATACATTACAAAAGTCAACTTAAAATAATCCCTTCAGGAAAACTATGTAATGAAAACTACCAAATTGGCACAAACTTATTTGCAAAAAGGCAACAGAGTAAAAACAGGTGAAGAACCTTTTTTGACATTTAGTTAAATGAAAAAGAATAAAACTCACAAAAGTACAATTGTACAATCCAAATGACTAAATGTCAACGTCTAGTGCACATGCTGACAGCTAAAAAGCTTTTTTGTGACAAACTGAACCTTGACGTTTTAATAACGTAGAGGAAAAGAATGGAAGAGACCAGGCTGGAGGGAAAACTGAAACAAAAAAAAAAGACGATAACGTTAAGGGGGGGCGGGGGCGACAAAGGGTGCAGAGAAATTAAATTAATTGCACAGAATATCTAAAGACATGTTTGACCAAACATTAAGCACTGATGAAGAGCAGAAACACTGATTTTACACCAGGGTTTTAACAGGATACATTTGCTTTCTGAAAAATGTACCTTTCATAGGAAGAACGGCAGAAACACAAGACTTGCATAGAAAGAGCTTTTAGAATTCTCCGCTGCATAGACAATGAATGCTGCAGCATTTTATCAAGTAGTAACTAATGAAGATGGGAGGGGAGAGACAGTGTTGTTAAAGAGGAGCGCCGCTGAAATGTGGAATTATTCTGTAAAATGGATATTTATCTGAAAGCTTCCATAAAGATGTTTTTGTCTGTAAAGACATTAGCCCTCAAGGAAAGACTCCTTTAACTTCAGCATTACCTAAAAGGACAGTCTTATTCTTTCACTACAATAGATATGCAGTTCTTTCAACCCTCTTAAGAAATGTCAATTTTTGACAAAGGATTGTCCTCTCCTCTCACTCTGTTAAGGCATCCACTTAAGCAGAATACTTTAACACTCAGAATGTCTATTTTCAGCAAAGCTCCCCTTTAAAATATGCACCCGAAGGGTGCACCACTGAGTGCAGATTCACCAAATGCAGTCACCAAACTGCAACAGTTTTTTTCTTCAAAACACTTTGTAATATTACACTGACTTTATGAAACCAGATTCAGGTCCAGTTCCACATAGCTTACATGTTTAAGAACATCAACCCAAATACTGAGATGTTGTTGACAGTCAGAGGCTGTAAATTCACAAATATCTGACAAACAAGCACATAATATTTAGGTTGAATCTGTCTGGCACATTATGAACATATCGAGTAGATGAATGATTAGAGTACAGAGTCGGTGGATAATCCAGCATGAGGTTATAGTGACTAAACAGCAAACGGCCAGTTCTACGTTCACTGTGGTTTCTGAGTCTTAAAGCTGACCAGGAGGAGTTGGTTGCAGTGAGCACCATGAAGTTATACATTCAGCACTGCAACATGTCTGTCAGTACAAGAACGCACATTTGAGAGGAGATAAAAGGTCAGCTTTTATCATACATTAGGTAAGAGGAGATTTGGTTGAGGTGCATGTATTGCTTTAGATGTGAAAACAGTTCAGGTGCATAACTGAATTAAGTGACCTGTAAAAAGTGGCGACAGGTCAAGGAAAACATTCATTTTAACTTTTGGGTCATAGTCTAAATCTGTCAAAGTGAGAACCAAACTGGACCGGCTGCAGCTGAGAGTTAAAGTTTTGCCTTAATGCAGATATTTTGCAGTTTGAGCAAACACTTGATGAAAGAGGTTCACGGCAGGATTGAGGACTTCTATTCAACCCAGATGTATACTGATGATTCGACAGCCATCTTAAAGTTACCACAGTTTCGCTTATATTATGCATCAATCATCAAACTGTCAACTCTTTGTAGACTGGCCACTTCAAAGATTTACCAGCTCAGCAGTAATTAAACTGAAATTTAATATATCACATTCAATTGCTTATAGCTGGTCCACTTTAATTCCTTCAGGTGCTTAATAGAAACTTTTTTTAGTCAAAAAGTACTTTCAGGGAAGGAAAAAATACTTCTCTCTTGATATCTCAGCCAGTGTACCTTGGAAAGTTTCTCATTAAGAGGGACAAACTTGCACGTCATCTCCAGGTAAAACTGGGGCAGGTTTGAGCCATTATTTAGCCAGTATAACCATATTTTTAACTATGTTAACATCTATTCATGGCTGCATTGGTGCTATCCTTCAGTCTGAAACTTGTATTCAGTCAAAGGTTGTTGTTAATGTCTCTGCGTCCAACCAAAAACAGTTTAATTCTTGATAAACTTTCAATTTCCTGTGGATGAAAAACATTATTTTGTATTTCAGTGTAAAATGCAAAGCCACCAGCAGCAAGGTAATTTCATGTTTGTTGTTGCAGGTTCACAGCATTTCCTTGGCAGTGAAGCACTCCCATTTTAATACACATTTACAAAATGTACCACTTTGAAAATACTGGCACAGTAGCTGAAGGCATAGAGAAGGAACAATCAGATTTGATATGTGACATTATTTTGTGAACAGAGCACTCCAGAAGTAGAAATTGCACACATCCCTCTGTACTTTGACACTGTCAAGAAATTGTCTTTTCTTTAACATAAACACTGAACATTTAAAGCATAACGTAACACAAATGCACAAAAAGCACATTGCTTTCCCTTTCTGACCAGAGTTCCTGGTTGCTCCTGAATCCATCCAGGTGAGGCGAGCAGCTGGTCTGAGAGGTTACTTCCATCGTTTCCACTGTGGCTGTTAATAAAGTTGTCTGCCAGTCTTCGGGGTGAACGACTGCGGTTCTTTAAAAGGTTGCACGGTGGAGGGGGAGGGGGGGCAGTAACTTTAGTTTAACTGCTAGACAGTCGATGGTAAAAGTAGATGTAGCCTAAGTCTTTTGGAGGCCTTTCTGACAAACACACTTTGTGGTCGTTGTAGATCACCCACCTACAGGAAGAGAGAATTTGTTGTTTTATTTCAGTATGAAATGCTTTCAAAATGTCACTTCTTTCAAAGTGGACTGTTATGAGGACAGACAAAATGGGTCAATTTATTTTTTTCCCCATTCAGTCTAAAAAAAAAAAAAAAGAAAGAAAAAAGAAAAAATGCACTGTCCCAACGAGCTTGAATAATTTATTTTCAGACTTCTGGTGGCAAAAATAATGAATACAACAAATAATTTCTTTTTTTCCTGAGATGACTGATATAAAAGTAAAAACACATTCTATTTGTGTGATTAACAGGAAGTCCCTCATTGTCATAATATGCTCAGTCAGTTTTGTACCACAATCAACTGCATGAATGAAAACTGTGTGCAACTCACCTTCCCTCCTTTTTGATGTGACAAACATAATGTCCAGACATTGTGGATGCTCCCATGTGGCTGATGAAAGCAAAGAGCTCATAACCTGAAAAAGGGAACATCCTGTTACAGTTTGCTCCTCAGTCCCTCTCTTCAACCACAATGTTTCATCCCTGGCCCTCAGCATTGCACTCTGTCCCTTTCTCTGGCTCTCCACTAGATGCCCTCAGACTTTCCCTCTTTTCCCCCATCACTGACTACACACCTGTTCTCACTTCCCTCATCAGCCCTGCAGTTATGTGGCCACTCCGCCTGCTCCTCACCTGCAGCTAATGCTGTGTTACAAACTGCTCGAAATTCGGAAATGTCCAAGTTGAAATTTCTGACATCCAACCTCAAAGCGTTCCAGGTGCATGATGGTGCATGATGGTGCATGACACCAAAAGTTAACGAAAAACAAGGCTGACTGTGACAAACTGATGTTTATTAAGAGAGTGGCCCAGATTAATAGTGTCGTCATAGACGCAGTGCACTAATAAAGAGTTATGCTATATTTACATACTTGCTACAGTTATGCTATAAAATATAGCAAGTATTGCTACAGTTATACTTTATTTACATAATGGGCAACAAGACCAGGGAATATAAGTGTACTCACCGACAGGTGAAAATACCAAGGGCAACACTGCACGATTAAAGTTCAAATTTATTTAACTTTTGAGGCAAGAAGCGGATTGCCTTTGTATGTGAAAAACAGCTTTATGTCATAAGTCCGTTTTTGTTTTTTTTAGGAATACAGGGGCCTATGCAATCTGTTTTAATTTCTGCCAGATTTTTTCCCCGATTCCATGTTTTCCCATTTTATATAACTGAATTCTGTGTTTTACAATTTAAGCACATCTTGTCATCAGAAAGAGTGTGTATTCATGCGGCAGATTAATACCATTTCAACAATTCAATAAGAAAATATTACAAACTGAATCAATACCAATAATTTGATGTAATATGCAAATGTGAATTTAGAAATATTCCAATATAGGCATATTATGTATGGGGACAATTCACAATAAATGTATTTCAACAGAAGAATATTAAAATACTATTTAATAGGAGACAATTCACAATTAATATATTGTTATATTACATCATGTACTGTGACTTGTCCCCTATCAAACAGGTTATTCCTTGACACCCTCCATATAGTGCTGAACACACAGTCAGTGGGTCTGAGGAAGGCTACTCTTACGTGGGCAGCACTCCTACTTATTTACAAAGCTTGACGGATGTAGCTTTTAGGTTGTTGGAGGTCGGGAATTTCAGAGTTCTGAGTTGCCTGGAATGCAGTATAATTCCCTAATCATTCACTCACCATTTATACCAGCTCACTTCCCTTGTTCACTGTCAGTTCATCCTTTTTGCCATGTTCCTAGATTTTGCATTCCCATTACCTGACCTATATCTGGTCTGCCTGCCTGTTACCTGTTGGTTGCCCGTTTGACATCAGCAAAGTTGGCTTGTGAATGGAAGCCTCGCTGCTTTTGATTTGTAGTTTACGTTTCATGGACCTGTATCTGCCTGTATGGCAAGTAAGCTCATTTATGAACAATAAATCATTGTACCGCACCGATGTGCCTGCTTCATCTGCATTTGGCTCAATTCCCGATAAACCCACCCTGACACATCAAGTCACATATAGAACGGATTTAACAACTACATTTAGTAGTAGGCTTATACCATCTGTTACACATCTGTTTCAATCATGTCAACAACAGGCATTCATCAGCGTACAGATGAGCTGTAGCTATTAAGACTCTTTTAAAGCCTCCGCAAAGGTCTAGCCAGTAAGATAAAATGACTGAATAAAACTAATCAAAAAGATGAAACATACAGCTATATTTCTAAATCGTTCAACATTAATTTACAGATTTAACAACAACTTTATTGTTTTTTTATTGACATTTGTTTTGTTCCAGCTGCAAGAGCACACTGTTTACCATTATGAACACTACACAAACAGGATAATTTTGTGGCAAGGACAGTTCAGAATATGCTTCTGCGCAAATAAATTACAAATAATGAAAAACCAGAACGTCTGCTAATGGGATTTTATGATTTTCACCCACAATTTTGCATGGTTGTTGTTTAAACACCACTGGTATGCAAGGATGTAGATGCATTATTACATTGTACATATTTTTTTGTGTTTTGCGTTAAGAGTTAAAAAGCTCCTGAATCATGTTTTTAATGCCACTGTGCATAAATTTGGTCTGGCAGAGCAGGTCAGTGCCCAGGAGCACCAGAGGACACTCTGTATCAGCGCAGACATGAATTGGAGAAGAGGGTAAACTGGCCTGTGAGAGTTCATAACATCTAGGTGAAACTAAAACATCTGGAGGCAGAAAACATCCCCTTTCTAAGCTTACTCTTAATTGTACTCAGTTACTCACGTCCTGGTCCATCTTTGACTCGCGGCCCCGAGGTATCTCTGTCTGGGGACAGCGTGGAGTCACTGTGCGAGTTGGCGTTGGAAAAAGCGTTGTCGTTGGGCTCTGTGTCAGCCATGTCTGAAAGGGCGTCACTCTCCTCCTCCTCCGGATGGGTGAAGATCCAGTCGAGTGCTCGCTCCAGGTTATTGTTCTGAAACAACGGCTCAAGGTTACCACTTAATCTCACTGAAAGTCCAAACCAAAATGCCTTTAATATACCAGTGTTGACAGAAAATGTCTTTATTGTTGGATTCATACAACAGTATGAACAATAAGTCAGTTCAGAAAACCTTTACATTTGCACTGTAGGAGGATATCTCCCTCTCCTCTGCTGCAAGGAAACTGGTGCATAATATTCTAATGACTCAAGCAGCACTGTCTTTTCAAAAATACTAGTAGTAACAAGGAAATATTAGCTGTGCTAAATAAATATATAATCCAAAATAGAGGTGCGATTCCTTGAGAATGTCTGTCTTGGTTGGCAAGTGAAACTGCTTGCTTCTTGTGTCTATCCCAGTCAGGTCACTGAGGTTGAAAAAAGTTCCTCCTCCTAATTTTGGGCCGATAATAAACCGGCCGTGAGACCCCTTTCTGCTTCACACCTCCATCCCCCCTCATGAGGAAAATGTGTTAATTTCTTTTTCACTTCAGCAACATCATGGATGGCAGGGAGTTTGGTGACATTGAGGATGATAAACAAGGAAGCCTGGTGTCTATTTCTGTGTCTTAATAACAGTGGGCTAGGATATTTTTGCTGAGGGTAAATATGAAACACAAAACGTGAGAATCAGGGGGCAACTCACAACAAGTCAACACACTCAGAATAAGCGCCACCCACAGAATTCTGACTTTCTGGAAGTGGTGCTCTTTCCTTTGTCAGTTCGGTACTGGCACACACTAGCTACCCTTCCTTTTCTCATCATTCAAAACAAATTACTTTTGTCCCAAACACAATATATCACTTTGTGTGCAGCAGAGGATTTCAGTCTCAGGAGCAGGAGATGTATTAGACCCACGGTGTTTGCAGCAGCAAATGAAGGAACTTAGGTTGATAAACAATAAACAGATAACTCTTTATAATGTTAGAATAAATGTTGAGGATTAAATATATGAATAATCTGCTGGCAGAAACAAATTATTAGAAGAAAATATATGCCTTGTAATAAGTCTTGGAGCCAGCTAACGGAGAAAACAAAGTTAAGTGCAAACATGAACAGAGTAGGCAGAAGACTGACCGTGGCTTTGAGTGCCTGGATGCTGTGAGCGCGGGGGAAGCCCATGGAAGTGAGGATGGCGATGCTCTCCTCAGGGGGTGAGTTGCCTAGAAGTGTGGCACCCATGGGGCTGTCACTGGTGGAGGGACCAGGATCCATCATCGAAGGCAGAGTGAGAGGTTCTGCAAAGTCTGATAAAAAAGGGAGAGAATAATGAGATGCTGTAGCTCTCTATTTATTTTTAACCCTATATGTACACACAAAGCCATATATATTAAAATTCGAACACAGTAGAGACACAGGCAACTGCTTACATGAAATACTTCTTAGTACATGTCTCTACAGCAATCAAGTGTTTTTCTGTAAGTAAAACTCATTTTAGAATTTTCTGGGAAGTTCATGTCATCAACATCTCTGACTATGGATGATCTAGTGAGTATTTTTTTAAGAAACAAAACATCTTGAAAGGTGAAACACAGATCCATGATATTACTGCTGTTCGGAAGAATCCCCACAGGAGGAACGTAGCATGAATTTACATCAATTCAGGAAGCATCCTCAACTGAGAATACAGGCTTTGTTTCCAAGTCAACTGCAATGCTTTGAGCACTTTCAACAATTTCTAATGAAAGTGAAGAGACCCTCAACCTGGGAACAAGGACACTTTCACTGTAATTATCTGCTGTTGGCCATAAACAGAGCCTTCATTACTTGCCATAAATGAAAATGCACTTATCTCCCACTATCGTCTCTATCACGCCCTCCTTGTCTCGTGTCCTTTAGATTGCCCATAACACAGTTTTTATGCGACAGGGAGAAGCCAAGTAGTAAGATAACTGAACAGTGTATATTTGCATGTTAAGCTAAATTATTGTTAAACTGGTTGTTATTATTTAATTTCGAACATAAACTTTGACAGCTTCAATCTGTCTTTCAATCTCATCACAGCCTTTATTAAAGTTTATATGAACTCTGGTCCTGTTCAGTGAGGCTTATTACTGAATACCATGCTTTAAGTTTACCTTTGTAAATGTAACAAGTTCACCTCAGCCAAAAAGAGAGTTATGTTCTAAAAATGATGAAGTGAAAAGTTAAGTTTAAAAAAAACAAAAAACAAGTTGAAGTAATGCTAATGTGAAGGTAAAGAAACCAAAGAAATGTGGGGGAGGTATAAGAAGTAGTAACACTTGTACAGCAGTCAGGGTCAGACGCTTTTGAGCCTGAATGCAGCCCATTTTGCAGATGCATTAAGACCATTTAAAACCTAACAGGCAGAGGGCTGCTCTAATTTCCCTCCACTGTAGAGGCCCATTAGAGCCAACCAGGGAAATAACAGTGACAAGAGTCGACGCCTCAGGGGAACATCTCCACTACTGAGAGGCTTTATAAGAGAAAGTCGGCTTACAAAGTTTCTGATGACATTCTGATCACACACAGACATACAGAAATAAACACCTGCAGTACACAAAGGGATGCAAAGTCTGACACTTGCAAAAACAACTGATTGTAATGGAGGAAGTGGAGATGGAATACTTCTCGCACTTTGAATTACCTTTGCATTTAAAAAAAAAAAAAAAAAAAAAAAAAAAAAGGTCCCATACAAATAAACGTGCCTTGGCTTTGTATACTTGCTGCAGTTTTTTTTCAGTAAAAAAAAAAAATTATAAATCACTAGCTTCACATGTGAGCTGAACATCATATGACTGCTTGTGTTGCTTTGTGAAGCAGCAGACCTTTCTGAACCTTTCAGCAACACTTGGCTCTACTGTAAACTCTGTCCATTGAAACAAACACTGAAGTGACCTTCTTTAACACTACCTGCAAACACATCACATTTTAATTTACGGTAAACTATGAAAAAGTGTACACACTTTTCTTTCTGTTGTACTGTAATGCCTACATCTTCATCATCTGTGTAGTGTTTTCATTAATTTACTTAAAGCTGATAAAAGGCCTTAATGAAAAAGTATAAGAATTTGTGTTTCTGGATCTCTCACTACTTTTTTTCCAATGAAGGCAGTGAAGTTTCCTTACCAGGCTCCTCCATGTGGGCTATGATCCAGTTGAAGGCCATCTCAGGGCCCATGTTGCCTGTGTAGTAGACCGCCTTCCTACAGGCCTCCAGCGGAAAGCCCATCTCTGCCAGCTGCATAACTGCCACCTCGTCTATTTCTGGAGCTGGGGACACAATAAACTAAAACATCAATAACTAAAACATAGCAGTTGCTGATTCAACACAACCAGTAACCTTCCGGTTTAAACAACCAAACAGATTTGCTGTGGCTCTCTCTTCGGGTCTCATTAAACAAAGAGACCAGAAAAGAATCACCCCAGGGGATGCTTCTTTATCGAGGGATGATTTATCAAGGAGAGAAATGAGTCTGGCTAAAACAAGAAGAGCCATATGGAAAAGTAAAGTTTGTCTGGAGGTAGAGAGCAGCTGCAGCACCTGCTCAAGTATAGCCCCATAGCATTCATCACTATTGCTTGGTGACCAAAATACATTTTCCCCGGATATGACTTATATAAATGTTACATATTCATTTACATAGTACCGTAGTAGTAACTGAAAGGAGAAATGAAATACTCACAGTCTATGGAGCCCATGGAGTTATCTGAAAGAGGAGAAGAAACTTATTTTAGGTGACAGCACACAATGAGATCACTGTTTGTACTTTCACTTGTAAGAATGTTAAACAGTTAAATATTACAGATAACAGATATATAAGATATTACAGCAAATCAAACTAGAGAGAATTATCCAAATTTTGGGTTGGTAACACCATGGCAGGATTTTCCCGCTAAGGGCCCCAGAGCAAATGTTAAGTGCTGGGTCCCTTTCTCACCCATCTCTATGCATTTTGTTCAGCATTCCTACTAGAATATTACATTTTACCCAGGTTTGCTGTGTGGTGGTTTGATTAGTCACAAATAATTTAGGAATATACACAAGATCACCTGAAATAATGAAGGTCTGAAAACTAGATTTTGACCAACCTCAGAGTGAGACTATGTAACCTTTGAAAGAAGAAATAAATTCTTCTTACAAATGAAAAATTGAATTCATAACATCATTCTTCAATTCAATGTAAATGCTGAATTGGTTTGCTGACTTTGCCTCTTTTCTACTTATGCTGTTGATAACACTATTTTCGAACATTTACCATAGTCCTGTAATTGTAACTTCACGTCAAAAATGATATAGGCTCACTTTATTGTGCGGTATAAAGTCTCATATGGGTGTCCCTTTACAGACAGGGCTGATTCCAGTTAGCTGCAAGCTGGGCAAAAAACATGTTTGGCGGGGGCCTTGTCACCACCTGCGGTGAGGAGATTGATCGACCCCCACTGTTCCCAAGCACTGCAATCACAACTTGAGAGAGTCCCGCTCCCTTTAAACAAGCTTGATTTTTGTGATGCCTTTCCAATTGTGTTACTTTGGACAGTGAAATCTTAGCAATGTCTGCCACCAATACTCATTAAGGAGACAGATCCATAAATTATTTGAAGATGCTGGGTAAGAATAATCTGAACAAAAACATGTACACTGCTGTTTCATTCCCAAGTCCTCATTTACTCTACATGGACTTTTTTTTGTCACCAGTACTTTACCGGAGAGTTTTACACAAGGCAATTTCTTATGTTTTAAGTACTTGTAATGACTCAATAAAGTAATTTGCAGTTTGTTAAGTTTCTTTGTCTTGCTCACTCATGCGCTTCCTCCCGCTCTCTCATATTTTCATTGCATCAACAAAATTATAAAACAGATCCTTGCACACCTTTTTCCACAAAAAAAGACTTTTCCCATTTTAATTTCGAAGGAGACGAAATGATTAGCAAAAAAACCAAATCAATATCTATATGGTTTGAGCAGTTTTAATGGTTTGCTTTGTGCTTTAGAAAAATGGAATCACAAAAAGGCATGATACATTTTTTCTATCTTCCATTATCTTAATGGCCTGGAATCGTTGAGTGAATGGATGATACACAGGCCAATAAGAAATAATGTGATTCAAGCAGCATACAGGAAAACACGTTTTTGCGATGCTGTGTAATCAATGAGAAGCACTGAAGCCTTTTGGAAACAGAAGGGTGAGCAATGATTAATCGCTGCTGATGCCAGCCGGGGGATAATGGGCCGGTGGTTAATCGACAAAACTCATCATATAAATGAGAAATAAATAAATCAGAAAATGTATTGAAAACAGCACATCATTTCCTCTGACCTCTTTTCATTTCACGGTTTAAACCACATGACTTACACACTGGTACTTGTTTTAAATCCCTGTATGTAGAGAGAGAAGCTCAGACAGAAGTCAACATGGGGCAGGTGCGAAACAATTCAAACGACTCTACTGCCTCAAACTTACTACATCCAAAAAACATTTACACATATTTTCATGCATTCATTTTACTGTGTAGCTGCGTAGCTTATTGCTGTCAGATATGCAGTGCTGCATAAGTAAGGTAGTTTCAGCTCAAAGAAAGGATGCTTTAATGTGACTTTTACGTATACTGCAATCTTCCAAGAAGCCAATTCCATGTGTTTGGAAGTCTGAGATAGCAGGTACAGCACAAAACATGCAGTCCTGAAATATTAAAGTTCACTCAGACAAACATGTTCAGACTTTAGTTTCGTCCTCCGACTTTCCTGTCCTGAGAAAGAGCCAGCTAAAAAATTCTGTAAAGCTCTCAGAAAAAAAACCCTCCTGTGTCTGCCAATGTGTGAATCACAGTAAAGGCTGCTTGCAGATGTTACTGTGTCTTTGCTCCTTGGACCCCTTTTTGTGAGCTTGAGACAGTACAGAACACTTTGTGCTTCACGCCTGCTAAAATATTAAGGAGTACACTGATAAGTTGATGTAGCTGAACTTTGCAAACGACAAAAGGAGGACTAAAAGAATAGGAATTACAAATCACAGAGGAGACAGAGACAAAAAAAGCTGAACAAAAAGGAGGGATGTTGTAGTTTTGGCCTTTAGGAAGAGAGGCCGATAAAGAGGCTCAAGTACACTGTACGTTATACTGGAAATATCACTAAGCAAGCAGTCTAATGCAACCAAGTATTGAAAAAAGTAACAACAATACTGCTTACGCTCAGGAGCCTACAGTAGGTTATTCTCAGAGCAAAGGGAAGTCCATTACAAGGGGATCTCATTAAATCATTAGAACTGTAAGACTTAGCCACACTGTGTACTCAACAACTTTTAGTAATTGATTGAGCATGCCTTTCCTATGGGATTCAATATGCCCTTAAGAGAGAACTTGGGTGGCTTTGAGCAGAACATCATATTAAAGTCAATTTCACGGATCATTTGTCTCAGTCACAAAAATACCCTACACCTCCTGAAAAGGGTGCAATCCGATATATACTGTATTATATATTAAGAGGTCTTTCTAATATTCTGTACACTTTATGTACAGTATATGATTAGAGTGGAAAAAAACAAGTGCTCAGGGAAAACAATACCCTTTAAAATTAATAAGAGGACTGTGAAATTTAACATGAAGGGCCAAAAACGCCCCCAGTAGTTAAGAGTCGAGTATTTGCATTCACACATGCAAATACTGCAGTAAGTCATGTGATGTCATGAGTCATGTCAGTCTAATGACCAGGGGATCCTTCTCAGTGAATTCTGGATGAGAACAATGGAGCACTGTCTGATCTGAAAACTGGAGAATATCTCTGAAGTAGAACCAAACGTTGCCACCAATGATTATTTGCAAATATGTAGTAGAAATTAATAAAACACAAAATGTCAGGTTAAAAGAAAAAAAAAAGAAAATGTCTTTTACGTTATCCTAGTTGTAATCCCAGAGATGCCTTGCTAAAAAGTACAACAAAAGGTGTGTTATACTAACCGACATACACACACACACACACACACACACACACACACACACGACCCATTCCCACTTTAATCCACTCTTTGTGTAAAATACACATGTTCCATACCTCTAGTGTCCTCAGGTAGCACGATGGGAGGCATGAGGTCAGGCAGCTCCTCTTCACCCGCCTGCAGTCCTGTAGCCCGCAGCCGGCTCAGATCCAGAAAGTCTGGAACATCTATGGCCAAGTCTGTACATAGAGGAGACAAATAATATATCATATCGGAGGAATGCATTGACATGGATGGTGAGCTGAGCCTGTGCTTTCCCCCGAAGTGTGTTTCCAAAAGCATCTTAAGGCGACAATGATCTTAGCCCATAGAGGAGCGGCAGTCTTTTTTTTTTATCAAATCATTGTTATATTTGCTGTTTGTGTAAGTGATGCCACAAAACACGACTGATGGTGGGCCACATAAAACTCCAAATATTATACTGAAGATCACGATTTATAAATATCAGTTTAAACAATTACAGTTAACCTTGCAAAGCCAATTTAAGACAATCTGGGTGAATTTTGGCGAATTGAAAGCTGCAAGAATTACAGGAGAAGCCAAAAATGTACTTAAGCAGCAGTTTCACCTGCTACTGTACATGCCATGAGAATTTCAGACTGATGCTGCCCTCTGCTGAGCATATACAGTACTACAAATACTTATAATTAAGAAACAACATTGGTGGAGGCCAGTAGAAGACCCATTTAAATCCCATTAATCAGCGAAGGGAGACAGACAGTTACCTAGTTTCTTCGGCACCCAGTCAACCCCAAATGTGAATTTCTTGATCTGCAAAATCAGATACTCTGGGAAGGTGGAGAAACGAGAAGTTCTGCAGAGGAAAATAACATTTTAGTATCTTCAACCAAGTCCAGTTGCCCTTGACCTGGATGACTGAGAACCTTCACAGACAATTAAGATAAATTTATGAATACAACTGATTTTAATTTAAAGATATGTGGTAAAAAAAAAAAAAAAAACACTCATTGTACAGAGTAGTCATTACAGGCTCAGGAACAGGCGGCCCCTTTGCTTACTTGACTCCGGCTGACTTGGCCTGCAGCGCTGAGCTCCAGAAGTCGGGGACGTTCTCAGGCTCTGTGAAGGCCTGCAGGCACGCGGTAAAGGGGATCCGCGCTCTTACCGGCTCAGGGGGAGCCCGCATGTTCTCCTCAGCGTCCTTCCGCTTGGCCTCGTACACCAGCAGCTCCTCTGGTAGAATGACAAGAAAGAACACTTTGAGCGGTGCATAATTGATCTAAAACACCCCACAGTATTCAGTATTTTGAGAGAAATCAATAAATAATTTGAAGTGTTAATGTACCATTCAGGAGGGCTGCTCACTAAGGTCACATTTGTTTATTCTAATTATACAAACATTGTCACAATTAAAAGGACAACATTACAATAACATTAGCTACCGCTACATATCCTTTCAATAACACATAGCATTTGTCATATAATATCTTATGTCAAGCCAAGAATGTGTATGCAGTCACTTTTTCTTTCTGAACTACACAGCTCTCAGTCAGGACCTTCTGTGCCCTTTCAGAGAAGGACCTGCTGTTTCTCCCAGCGGCTGGAGCCACCTGAGCCCAGCATCATGCCAGCTGTACCGAACAGAAGCAGCTGTGGCTTCCTACTGCAGCTGAACATGTTTTGTGTGAGTGAGTGAGTGAGTGAGTGAGTGAGTGAGTGAGAGAGAGAGAGACGGGAGCTCCTTTACCTCGATTCGTAGCCGCCTCAATGGGGGCTGGCAGCTGGATGCAATAGTCCACCCGCTCAGTGTAACGAACTCGACGAGTCTGGCAGCACTGAACTCGCTCCTCCACCAGGAAACGAAAGACGTCGCTTGGATTCTCTGAGCCTGCACTGTTCCTCTGTAAACACAACAACATATTGGGAGGATGAGAGAGTGGGTTTATATATCAACAACAAAATCAGGCCATGAGCTCGGACACATATTTCAGTTTGATAATATATATCAGACATATTGTGGTGATGCCGCAATGGATAAGACACATACCTTTGGTGTAAGAGACCCAGGATCAATTCCACACTGCAAGACACTTAACCCCTAGTTGCTCCAGAGGTGTGTGACCTCTGACATGTATAGCAATTGTAAGTCGCTTTGGATAAAAGCATCAGCTAAATGTAAATGTAAATATTGTTAAGTATAAAATACAGACCTTTGATGTGACACTGATAAAACGGAGGTTCCTCCCAGACTAGTCAATAAACAGCGTTTTCTTTGCACACTTCATTTTTTATTTAATAGTTGATTTAAATAAGTAAAATAAAATCTTAATAGCACACATGCTGTCATCTGTCCCTTACATTGTAATGGTATTATCTGGCTAATGCACCGATAATCTCAAATTAACTGCATTAGCATAGTTTTAGTGTCCTATGGTCTAAAGGCTGTTACAAATACTTTTTAGAATAGTTCTGATTGTATTTTAGCAGTTAGCAGTAAAAAATATAAGTATGGTTCTACAAAAAGATATATCAATCAACAGTTTGAAACACAGGTATTTAAAATATAAGCTTCACATGTACCATAAACTTGTAAAGCTCCTGTGACACATGACAGCCTGAGGTTTGAAATGCAACTATATCTATAAGCTATTCTTTGCTGTGGTTTATTACAGTCCTCCTGGCATGACTTAAACCTAACTGCTGTTTGTATTAAGAGATCTGGGTCAGTTATTCATAAAGTAGTTGCGACTGTTTAATTTAGGAACCGCCTCAATTACCCCTTCATAGCTGAGAGTGTTACATCTTTTCAGAATCACAGGCGCATTCATCATTAGCACTGAGCAGCTCTGTCTCATCTCCCTACTTATGAACGGGGTCGGGGTCATTGAAGTTTAGACTGTGTTTATTTGAAGACTGTGATGAAGGATGGCATCGTGACTTAAAACAACCAGTTTGCGACGCAGCCTTTCTGCAACCCAGCCCTTCTATTCTAAGAAGCTACAGAAAAACACAAGTTATAATTTTACTCACGCCAAGTATGCAGGCTGACGTTGACAGAGGAAAATGTTGCTGATGGTGGTGGCTTTAGTCCCGTCATCTATGTCTGGATAACTAAATCGGTGTCTACTTTACAGACAGTTGTAAAGGCAAGAAAGTGGACCAAAGAAGGGGAAAACAGTAAGGGCATTTTTTTTCCTAAAAAAAAAAAACGTGTTCAAGCACAAGAGTTGTAAGGCGTCTATAGATAATGGGGCAAATATGGACAAATTGGGGCTCAGAAAATCTGGGTGGTATGTTTTGCTGTTCGTCACAACATTAGGTGGAGCGTCAGGTCCAAGTCAGGGCATGTATCATGGCTGAGGCAGAATAGGAAGCGTTATCTGGCCTCCCTGTGTAACAGATAGCACTGAGCTATATATATCCTAGTTGAGAAAGACACATCAGAGCACCCCATGTGTATGTACCAACCAAGGAGACAGTGTGCTGTGTTTAGTAAAAAACAGACCCTTACCCTCCCAACCCTACCCTCCCAATCAACTGCATGTCCATGTGTGTTAGGGGTCAGATGTAACCCAGCCATTTTGTGAAAATGTTATGATCACAAAAGTTTATAGTGTAGTATAGTGTAGTTTATAGTTTGTCAAAGGCAGGATCAGTCTATCTGTTGCATTAACTAGAATTATATCCCAGTGGATATGTATAAAACATAATAAATATAATAATTAGTCATTTAGCTGAAGTTTTTATTCAAAGCGACTTACAGTTGCTATATGCTGTATGTAATGCGTCATTGTAACCTTTCAAAGTTATAGTTAATCACATTTCTAGACTGAACAACAGCAAGTTTATGTTTATTTAACAGTTTATAACATTAAGATTACAATTTATAGCAACAGAGTCATCATCACAACTGGCCAAATACCATTTGCTGATGAAGATAATGGACCAGTGGATGTTGTGTTAAGTACAAAGATACCTTGGTTGTGGTGCTGCGTTAAAGGTGAAGAAGTCACTAAAATCATAAGGTGAAATCCTCTGAGGACTATCAACATCCAAATGAAGATTTAATGGTACATTGAGCAATACGTGGAGTAATATTTTGTTCTGAACTAAAGCGATTGACAGAGAGACCAACCAAGCAACAGAGGGGCAGAAAATAATGTTTCTCCTTACTTGCCATTGCTAAAATATGATTCTTTTAACAACGTACTTCAGTGAACAATTCGTGGCACTTCTCAAAAAAAAAAAAAAGAAAACAAAAAGTCTACTATGCAAATAATTCTATAAACACGACAAATGTGGACTAAGCTTATATACTGCACTACAACACAATTAAAGTGCACAACATATCATCCATTATATTTATTGTTTTATCAACCAACAGCATCTAATACTTCAACATTTGTACATCAGAGATATATATATGTTTTTTTTTGTTTGTTCCCCCCCCATGATGTCAAGGCCCCTTCACAGTCTACTGGCTGTAGTTTCTGTTCATTGGCAATCGCCTACTGTACTTTTTTTATTTTATTTTGACCTTTACAGGGTTTTAGTTTCACTCACCTCCACCAGGTTGATCATGTGCAGGAGGAACTCGTGGGCATCTTGTTGTCTGTTGGAGGAAAACTCTGGGTGTCCCCGGCTGACCAGGGCCTTCAACATCCGAGGAGAGATGCCCTTCTGCTGGTGCTGGAATTACAACATTTGGGCGTCACACAAGACAAGACAGCAGACTAGTGGTGATTTTTAAACACTGAAAGTAGCCTGCCAGTATCAGGCTCTATACAGAAGATATACCTGTGAAGAATTGTGTCACATAGCTCGTTATAGCTCCAGTAAAGAGTCTTGATTTACAACCTGAGAGTTGTGAATCTAATAAGAATCTAAAATATTATATTGAGACAATATTGTGTGATCCCAAAACAATAGTCAAAACATAACACAGACAGTGGTATTGGCTGTAACTTAAAGTTTAGTATGCAGAAAGGATAATGTTACAACAATGAATGAATAACTGGCATGACTGCTTCTCAAATTCTATAAATTCTTCTCCACGACTGGATTTCTTAACAAAAAAGTTTGTTTACCTATTGGTTATTAAAAAGGGCTTTAAAAAAAAAAAAGTGATGGAGCCTGCTAAGCAGAGAAAATAAATAAATAAATAAGATTGTGTCTGGTTCATCTGTCTGCTGGTGTGAAACACATGATACTCAAAGATGAAAGTATTCATAAGTCTTCGTGTTTCACTAGAAACAAGCAACACCCAATACTCCACAACTCGAAATACTTGTGTTCGGTCACTACCTGGTTATCTTATGCTAGTCCTGAAGTTATTGATACAGGCAGTCTGTGACTAAAAGGGAGTTTCTGCAGAGTTAGTGCTATGCTGAAGTAAAAGTTGAACACGTTCGATCTTCTCATTTGACCTAACTAAACATGTAAGTCAAAAAGTTCATGATTGATTAATTACAGATAGATCCAATGTGGAGACATCCCTACATCACCCTGCCACACTAATGTAGGCCAACCTCCAGCCAAACAAAAGTTATCACATAAAATCTTGGGCAGAGGAATAAACTTAAAAGGTAATTTTAATGAGAATATATATTATAATATATAATTGTATTGGGGAATATTTTCTTAGCACAAACAGACCACAGCATGCCAACTCAAGCCCCTTCCCCTTGTCTTCCCAGCTGTCAATATGTATCCAAACGTACCATCACATGTGTAGAAAGTACAGGGTGTCCGCTCTGCCCTATTAATTACTGTGGCTAGCAAGGCTTAAAATGGGCTTTAATGGTTTTCCTCTCCTAGTTTCCTGGCAGCTGTCTGGTATGTGGTTGAGGGGCAATGATTTCATATCATGCGCATTAAAATTAGTAACGCAAAACACACAAACAAATAAACCAAATAAATCAATATGTTCAATCACTTCAGAGACTGCAGGAAGCACAAGACAATCATTAAGCACCGCTAATATATGTGACTAAATTAAGTAGTGATGTGGGGAATTCAAAGCAAAACAACATTACAGCAGTGCCTGGGGCTGTGTTCTTAAACAATTTGAGTTGCACATTTGGGACCGCAGCCAACAGCTATTTTCAGACTACAGGAAAAAAGGTCAGAGCACATAAAAACTTGACAATGTATCTAAAAATCCCATCTTCCTTCAGTTTCGATCAACATCAAAAAGCTCAAGTGTATTAATGACACAGACGTTATGCATTATGAAAAAGTTGTTTCATGTTTAAAATTGGGAAAACATCAAACTGACAAGCTGAGACTCACGTCAGTTTGGTCCTTTACTGAAAAAGACCAATTTCACTACCACTCAGTACTAACATGCATCTGTCGGTTATGGACCCAGTTTGGGAGCTGGACATACCCAGTTTAATACCTTGTGTTCTTCTTTCATCACCTGTTCAATGAGCTCAGATTTCATGGGTGGTTTGGAGTACTGGCCTGAGAGCAGTCCGTGTCCTAGTTTAGCCCTGTCGGACAAAAACAAAAGGCAAAAATATTACAACACATCGTCAGTCTTTTAGTTTTTTTCTAGTATTTCAGGGGTGATTTCTTGTCAGAACAAACATTTCTGAGCCTTCAGACTATACACCTGGGGCTTGTTCCTCGAAGCAGTTAACTTGTTACCGAACATTTGAAGAATACATCACTTTTAGAAAAATTTGGAGAATATAAATCATTGTAATTCTTCAGATCCTTACAATTAGTTTGGTCACTCCGGCAGATGTGGCAATCTGTAATCCTTGGTGGTACATAATGTATTTGTGAACAGAGTGTGTGTGTTTATATATATATAAAAATAATCATTCCTCAGACATCCTACTGTATATAGAAAAATGACTTGTAATTCACCATACCAAACATTAACTGTAGGTGGCAGTGACTCAACCAATTTCAGCACAATCAGTTTCATCTGTAACAGTTTCTTCAAAAGCGTATGTTAAGATTCATATGAATCTTAGTTGTTTACATATATTAAGTATAAAAGGCAATAAAGTAAAATATTTCAAACTGAGCATTAAGTTTACTTTAGGTGTAATATCCTCCCCCAAAGGAAGAAATTATAGGTCAAGGCTAAAACAGTGAATATACATATTAGAGTCTGATGACAGTTGATAGATGCAGGAAACAAGGGAGAGAGATTGGGGGGGTAAGCAGCTAAGGGCTGCAGGTCGGATTCGGACCCTGACCCCTGAAGTAAGGACTCAGGCTTGTATATGGAGCACGCATTCTACAGGTGAGCTAAGCACACCCCTATTTTATTTTTTTTAACCTTACTCTAACCAGGAAAGTCTTTCAGAGATTAAAAATCTAATTTTGAAGAGTTTCCTGGCCAAGATAGACATCTAGTAAAAGGTATAAAATGCCCCAAAAATAATTTACAAAAAAAGAAATACAATAACTTATACTGATCTAAGACAATAAGATAATAAAGGCTGTAGCACCAATTAAAAGAATTATTGTTTTCCAAATAATCATTACACCATTGTGAAAAAAGGCATCGTTTTCATAATTATAGCAGCAAATAATTGCTGTCTTGTTTTCCCCCCCTCCTAAATGTATCTGAATCTCTTTCTGTACTCTATTTATGCACCGAGGCATCATCTGTATTAAGTACAGCATACAAGGCAATATATCACTTTAATTAGGTTAATCCTACTTTATTTAACTCTGCCTCCAGTGCTTTTAAGGGGGGTCATATTTAATCAATACAGGCCAGACGCATTACAGAGACACATATTCTCTTTCTTAATGACCTGATTTGTGCTGCCAGACAAACAGTGATGGGTATAAACATGTTTATCTGGCAATGAACTGTTTGTTGCTTCACATGAGTGATATTCATCTCCTGCCTGGCTAAGGCCCCTCTTACCTTTCATTTTAACACAGCATGTGACTGGCCTCTTGCAACACACTGGCTTACATGATAGAATACACTGAGCTCTCGCTCAGCATCGCAATTTATTGATCTTACCAACGTTTCGCTCTCAACAAAGATACAAATTTGAAGTTAGATACTCATAATTTAACCATTCTTTAGCCACAGAGACAGTGGCAGCTGGAAGACACTTTCACTTGTTTTGTATATTTTAAACACTGCATTATGTAACACTGGAGTCACTTACATTTGTGTGGCGAAGTCCTGGCTGGGGTCAAGAGGTGAATAGTCAAATATCCTCTGAAGATTCCCCACATACCTAAAGATGAAAATACATGTCACACACTAACCTCAAACGGAGCACATGGGACCCCACACAGACACAAGAGTTGGTACTTAGAAAACCTTCTGCTGGAGGCCAGGTTACTTATTTAAATACCCAAAGCTGTACTCAATGTTGTTTTACTCTGTATTTACAGCCAAACCTAATCCAGAGGTAGACAATCAACAAACAAATTATAAATAGTCATCAATAATTACAAGCAAGCGAGCTGACAGAGAACACTTCATAAAAATGTACTTACTTACCTTGACGTAACTAAATCAGCAATGCAAAAACTACTACAAAAAAGGTCCATCATGTCCATATGAACTAGTTTCAAGTGTTGACTGAGCTGTTTCGTGATGCCATTCAAAAATGACTGTTATACTTTGCCATGATTTAAAGGGTGCAACGTGTAAGAATAGAGACCACTCCAAACTCCAAAAAAAGGCGGGCAGCAAATCACATGTTGGGTCTTAACTGCTGCTAACTGTCAATAGCTTTTTAGCTCAATTAGCCGTGTAGCTAACTTAGGAGTCCTATTAGCTGACTGAGTCCGGAATGGCCACCAGGACCTGAACTGGGCAAACGGGCAACGGAACCAAACTCAGCAGCCTACAGCGATCACGGCCGGACCGGGACTGAACACAGCCTCTGAAACTGACGGAGGCCAGTGTGACAACAGGGAGGTGATTTACAGCAGTTCCAACCAGAATTGTGATGCATCAAGCAGAGAGTGGCTTAAGAGAGGCTGCAACAGCATGTAGAGCCAGAATATTTATACATCTAACTCGGTGAATTAAGGTTTTATTTCGACCAAACCCGAGTTAGTGATTGTTGGAACAGTGGTAAGACTAACCAAGATGGTTTTGCTGAGTTTTATTTTGTTACTATCAAGTTTGAATAAAATGTGTTTTACAATCAGGCAATTAGTTTGGTTTTTGGAAGGTTTAATATGTAAAATAGGCGTAAGATTTTTTTTTTCTTGACATTTTGTGCGAATATTTTGTTCACGTACAAAAGCTAAGAGAGCTGGTAAACATAGCCAACTCGCAGTTCGCACATATCTCTTAGCTGAAACTACAGCAGGGAGACAAGACACGCTGAAGCTAGCTGGTTAGCAAGCTAACTATCTCTGCAACACAATACATAGATAAATACATATCTTTGCCATAATATGAGAACTGTTACTGCTTCACATTCTCTTGATAATGTCTTAAATTCTCTCCATCATATTCTTACACATTGCACTTTTAACATTTAAAAATGTCATTTTGATCAGTGTAATCACAAATTACTTGGATAACTGAAACTTATCAAATTGCTGGTTGCAAGATTTCTTTGATAGCTGACAAATGCTATACCTGCCAATCAACTTTATATTTGAAATGTTTTATTTTAGCAGATTTGTTATTAAGTTAAGTCCTTTCCTATGCTGATTTAAGTATATTTTGTCTCCCTCATTTTGGAACACCAAAGTCATGCTGTGTTCCCCTTTGATTATGAGATTCTGTTTGCACTCAAAGTGACAAAGTGATGAGAAAAGTCTACACACAAATAATATAGTCTACATAATTTTACAAAATAAATATTGTGGTTTTCTTTAAGTCAAGTCTCATCACAGTGTACTCACATCCTCTGGAAGTCTGGGATGCTGAAGAGGACCTGCATCACTGTGCCGAGGTAGCAGCTGTTGCCGAGGTTTTTGATGCCTGTGTAACCAGAACCAAACACCGCCTTCAGCTTCATGCCCGACTCCTGGATCACCTCCCATTCGCTGACCCGCGGCCGGGAGTTATTGTCTGTGTGGTGACCATTCTCTGTCTGAAGGAGAAAAGAGCTTGGTGTAAAACCTTTAGGGTGGAAGCCTCACATTTTGGTTTATGTTTGGTTTTTGCACAGCAAACCCCACTTACTCTTTTCTGCATCTGTAGCATGTCTATTCCAAAGTGTGACAAGTGTTCTGATATGTGGGGGTCCAACACTGCTTCCTCCTCCTCAAATGAGTAGACATCTGAAACCAAAGATCCAGTTAGTCATTATGATAAGCTCATATTATAAACTAGTTATTAAAACAAAAACAATAAAAACAGCCATGTAATCCATTTTAAATAACCATGTCATGTGTCTCAGACCTGCTCCGTCTGGGGTGATGGTGTCCATTTTGACAGCCAAGGGGTAGTTGGTCTCTCTGTAGTGCTCCAGAGCGTGGCCGTTGCCTCCGCTACCATCAAAAAACCACTTCCCACAGAGCACTGCTCCATCTGTCAGATTCAGCCACAGGTTTTCCCTCATCTCGCACTTCTGACACTTCCAGCCACTGATAGCAAAGAAACAGACTTTTGTAACAGCTTGGTTGTTTTTTTTAATCCTGCAGTCATGCAAAGACTCCCTGAATGACAGCTTTTGGAAGATCAAAAAATTGCATTTTGCTCGTGCAGAAGTGATCAGATTTACATTTTGATTGTTAAAATAAAAATATAAACCTATCTCTAACCTATCTAACTGTTGCCATTTTTCACAGAGGGAAACGCGTATTGCGTTCCTTTTGGGGTTCTGGCGTACCCCAAAAGGCTGTACCTGCTGAGAAAGTAACAGAATCTATTGCTGTCATTAAAAAGGATTATTTCACCATATTCCACCAGATTAGACCATGTGAATTGCCACCCAAATTAAACTGTTAAATGTAATGCTCACTGTATAAATGATACAGTTGTGTATCAGTGTAGCTTGCTGCGTTCCTACCTAGGCGGGATCCTGACCCCGTTATCCAGCTGTCTGAGGCTCCTCGCATGTCTGGACACCTGGATCTCCTCCTCCCAGGATTCAGGCTCCTGCTTCTTGTAAGCTGATGGTGCATTGAGCACAGCGTCACAGGCGATGGTCACCTGAACATCAGAGGAAACAGCGGAGACAAAATTAACTTCTGGAAGTGGGTGTGACTGAGATCATGTTCAAAATATATCAACCTTTTTCTAAAGAGAAAACGTCAGAGAGATTAGGAACATCCACAAATATTATTTTAGTACTGTAGAAACATTAAACTTCTATCAATGAAACTTAAATGCAAGGTCAATAACAGCAAATAGAAAAGGACAAAAGTGGACATGCAAGACATTGTGAACAAAAACCTATTGATCTAGCTTAGGAAACAAACCATGCAAAACATTTTTAAACAAGAAGGGTATTCACCAGGTGTTTTCCCAGTAAATGTAAAAATATTATGCTCATCACAATTTGTACATTCACATTAAATGATAAATGCACTAAAAAAAAAAAAAAAAAAAAAAACACACAACACGACATGCCAAAAGCATGCTATTCAGTGTCCAAGCTCATACTACTCTAAAAACAAAGAAAACAGGAGCACTGACACACAGCCAGAAGTGATGAGGGCACCTATACAGTAGGTGCGTCCAGTGGTTCCCCAGAAACAGCAATTAGAGCTCAAGTGAATCACTGAAGAAAGTCTGAGCTTCCACAAATTATATTCTTGAGTGTTAAATTTTAAAACTGAACTTGTTCAGTGCCAGAGAAACCACTGAGTGCACCCTCCCATCGACATGCAAGGAAACACACAGAGCCCGTGCAGCAGTGACTCACTGACCAGAGCGGGCAACTCCTCAATATTTGGTAATGGGATCTCGAAGTGGTCTGGAAAAATGACAAGCTTGGCCTCGTCCTCATATTCATAGTCCTCGCCGTTAAAATCACGGTTTAGCTCTAAATCTACAGGGGGATGAAGTAAACATCCAGTCAACTGCTGTTAAGATAGTGACTGCTGTTTAAGACAACGCTGACTGACACTACATGATGAGCATGCTACAATCAACTTTGTTCTTGGTTATTTTTATTTTACGTTCTGTTCTTTTCTGCTCTTGAAAGGGAGGTCTGTTCTTTTTTGCTTCGTTCATTCACTTCAATACCATAATAGTCTGGAGGATGCAGCGAGCACAAACAGAACAAATAAAAAAAAAAAAAAACAGTGACAGCATGACTTCATAAAATGCTGATGACTCTTTTGCTCAGGCACAATTCATGTAGAGCTACTATATTTAGGCATTTATCACACTCTTTTCACCAGCAACGTGTAGAGTTACTGAGCAGTATGGAGGATGGCTTTGTCTGTGCAGCTACTGAAACTAAATGATCAAACACCCTCTGGTTCCAGCTAGTTGTCTGATCCATCCATCCATCCATCCATCCATCCATCCAGATATATAGTTATAGACTGTTTGTGACCTTTTTTAGACCAATGAAAAAAAAATAAGAATAATCTGCAGATCAATCAATAATTCGTTTCAGCCCTAGTTTACGGTCAACTAAGACAAAGAGTTTTAAAAGTTTTAAAACCTCACAATGAAGAAGCTGGAACCTAGGACTGGGCGATATGGCCAAAAATGTTATCACCATAAAAAAATAATATCATTCGATATAAATAATTATGACAATAAATGTCAAATCATTATTTCTTTCAAGTTTAAAAGGTGGACTTTTGCTCCTGAGTGAGTGAGTTTTTTAAAACAGATAGTTAATTGTAGTTTTAAGCTATTCTTTATGGTCAGAACATGACAAACACTTGATGCCAAACAGTGGATCACTGAGGTAGAACATTCAAAACAATTATGATAAAATCTTTTTTTCAACAAATATGCAGGAGTAAAATTAAGTAAAATCTTTTTCTCCCCCCTCAACAAAATAAATATTTTAATAGAAAGATAAAGTGCTAATTTGTTTGCTATTGATGAAACATTTATTGAACATTTGTTATATTGTGTGAGGAAAATTATACTGTAATAATTATCATTATTGTTTTACTGCCAAGCCCTTCTAAAATCAGAACATTTTTGCTCACAGGAAATGGCTACTCACGTCTCTCTCTCTCTCTCTCTGGCTGAGCCACCTGCACTATACTTACAATCCTCATATGGATCCTCTTTTTGTCCATGTTATTTGTTTGAGGCTATAACAGGGTGCAATTTGTAAAAAAAGTATTTTTTTTGTCATGAAAATACCCCCCACCTCCCTCCGCACGGTTTGGCACGCAGGTGAACTGTGGATTGATTGCAAAGTTTAACCATCACAGTATGAGAAAAGGTTTTACTGCCACTGTTAGCCTACTTAGTAACAAGTAAGTAATAAATAACTAAAATATATAACGTTACATCGCGATGCAGAGTTGCAGTGAAAAGAAGATAGATGCATGCTGTGTAAAAGCGCAGTGAGTGGGTAAGGGGAGGGCGACTGATTTAAAAGCGTCACTTTCAAGAGAGTCATTGAGTGAAACCCCCGTAGCTGTGACTTTGGGCATGTTCACACTGTTGTAACCTGGACACTGTGTTGCTTGTCATCATAGAAACAGATCATCATATTTTGATGTTTATTGCACCTTCAGTAATATCGGCTGCCTTCTCATCAACACACAGCTCCGCTGCTCAACGGAGCAAAGTGTTGATAGGCTATTATTCGCAACGTGTAACAAGTCAGATAGTGCTGTGGGTGGGACATAAATAAGTAAATAAAGAAGTTTTTTTTAAAGTGCAGCAAACAGGTCAAGATGTAGATGGGGGTGCGTTGCCAAAGAAGCTTGGGAACCGCTGGGCTAGTGGATTAATTAACCAATCATTTCATCTCTAATCAAAATAATATTTTGAAAGGAAATCTAGAGAGAACCTCTTCTCTTAAATCACTCTCCATATTGACTTGTCCGTCCTCCACTCCAGCCTAAAATCGTGTAATGACTCATGAGAAACAGGATCATAGGTTAACCCCGACATTGTTATTGTGCCCACTTGTTTCATGGTAACGTCTGACATTAACAGCTAGCGGCTTGATTAGATCACTGGACTGGTATGGAGATGACGGCGGATACATACTGCTGTCACATCAAACATCCAAAATGAACGGCAGCAAGAATTGTCCCAGAGAAGGAGCTTTTAAGGAGAGACAAATTCCTATGAGACATTTTTAATGTACACCTAATGTACAGCAGTCAGATCAAAAGCAATGGATAAAGTCTATTAAACTCAGGACAATAACAAAACAGGAACTTCAATTAAGTAGGAGGTTGAGTGGAAGGAATTCCTCCCCCCGCCAGGCCAGCACTAAGGGAGGGAGAGTGACAAGGAGCAAGAGAGACACCTGGTCCTCTCCAAGCAGTGTCATAGCTGCAGTAGGAGTGTGTCAGCTTAGAAGTGAGGTTGACAGGTGGTGGCAGCTGACAGGCCGGCGACAAATCCCCCCCCCCCCACGTCAAAAAGGAGGAGGAGGAGCAGGCCTGGCTTTGATTTAGAACAGTTACCAACCACATACAACCACATACAAATAAATGGGCTATATTTGGAGCACAGGAGGAGGAGGAGCATAGGTCTCATCATGGGAAATATCTGACGCTTTGGGAAAAGGCCTGGCTGGAGGGGCAGCTGGCAGGTCAGCGCAGTGTAACAAACAATAACACCAGCTTGTAACGAAGGGGGGTTCTCTAAGCGGAGAGAGGCGTTTTCTCACATTTAGTTTAAGAGTTTAATATAAAAACATGAACTTAATGGAAAAAATATAATATGCGTCCAGAGCAGCACGTTTTTCCTATCTCCAAGAAGCTTTAATGTCTCATAACTCTTCAAGCCCAGAAGAGGCAAAACTCTCCAATATTTCCATGAATCCTTTCAGATTTATTTCGTAACTCATTAAGAGGTTGGGAACTACTGGACTAAACTATCTAACTGTATTTTAAGTAGACTAAAATAGCTCCACCAGCTACAACATTGCAATGTTACTTAAAGATTAGTGTTAACAATCTAATAATGTCATATATAATATTCAGTCACAGGGGGCATTTTATGCATAAGGAGTACTTTTTCTTGATATTTTAAGTACATTTTACTAATATTACTTCACTTAAGTAACAGTGATTGCAGGATAGATTTTCACTTGTAATGCAGTATTTTTACATAGTTTAACTGATATTTTTACCTAAGTAAAGGATCAGAGTACTTCTTCCACCACTGCCTCTAACCGACAGGCAAACCTAACCTACCTAGAAACACTTTTCCATTTCTCCGTCTGGGTATGGCGCCTCCTGCAGCTCCTGTGGCTTTCTGTGGGAAACAGGAAGCAAAGGATTACATTGGATCAAATGATCATCATATTTAAAACATCTTTTGACAACTTTGCTGATACTCTTTATAAAATGCTAGGAAAGCTTGTGTGCTTTGCTGTGACAGAAGGTGCAGATGGTTGTCATTTTGTTAGAAATAGATGCTGGATGTTCCAGTTGCCAGGTCAGGTTACAGGGCAAGGGGAAAAACCCCTTCCATGGCAGGGTCAAAATAAAAAAAATAAATTATAAATTACATGACTTGACTTGGACAGATATCATTTACAGTACGTCATGTGTTTGGGCCTGTCTTTGCATGTAGAGTGCAATCGATCATCTTTCTATTTTGTCCACTTCATACTATCCAGAGTGATAAAAACTAAGATAAAATAATCAATCTTTAACAGACCAATAGATAAACATTTTCAGCTGTGATCCATTGATCAATTAACAAATAGAAACCAGTTTGTCAGGGAATCTACTAAAACGTGAATATGCCAAATGACTAAATAAACAACCCAGCGCCACCGACTGGTTTCCTGTTAATCCTGTCAGGCTAAGGTGGCTTCCTGTTCACTCAGCAGGGAGGAGGACACGACAGGAGATGGACAGAAAGACAGGGAATGCTGACACATTTGAGACCAAGTGGATTCATGGGGGGGGGGAAAACAGCAGACACAGGAGCCTGCAGAATGTGAGCAGCTGTTTCTGGTCAGATCCAGGCATGAAAATAGTAGCTCTTTACAAAGCAGCGCTTATCTGTGGGCAATTAGAGCCAGTGAGAAGACACGGCAGCAGCTCAAGCCTTTGTTGTTTATCATCAACTTTTAAAAGAGGGCTTGTCTGGGCCCATGAGTGCTTTGTTGAGTTAATTTTTTGTACATACAGGGATGGACAAAATGACAGAAATGCCTTAAAATATAATGCAATCCAATGCACCACCACCACAAACTTGTAAATTGGTACTAATCATATATAAAATAATAATACTTATCTTAAAAGAAACATTACATTTAAACCCTAGTAAATTTTTTACTTTATTATTCTCTCTCTCTCTCAAATTTTATTTAATTAATTGGATGTGTGCCAAAAGAAAACTGTCTATTATTTCCACATAATTAGTACCAGATTACCAGGTTGCTTTTTAGAAACCCGGCAGGAAGTAATAAGGAAATGAGGGAACTGTAAAATAAAGCATTACTAATATAGATACAAAGCACAAATGGAACAGTGTGAAAGGTTATAGTGTGATATGGGGAGTACAGATACACACAGAGCTGAAAACACTCAGACAGACCTCTGAAGGTCAAAACAGTCAGGTCCAATGAAAAGCCTAACAAAGTTAACATTTTCATCTTTTTCAAATTAAATGTTGATGGCAAAGCATTCAAGCTCCAAATACATGCAGGTCATGCAACGTAATTTAATCACTGATGCTCAAAACAATTGGATTGTGATATCAGCAATCCAAGTCTTGCAGCATACCTTTTTATTAAGCACCTTACAGTACTGCATACTTCTGCAACATCAGTCACCAAAGTGGGAATTTAACATGTAATCCTGTCAGCGTTAACATAGTCTACCAACCGAAAATTCATATAAGATGGGAAACACTTTACTTTCAGTCCTCCTATTTATCATTTGAGCAGTTTACAAACGCTTAATAAAGGCAGGCATTAGCTTAGTCCGTGGGGACTTCGCTTGGGAGAGTCACCAGTTTGAGTCCAGCACGGACGACTGCCAAAGGTAACACACTATAACGCAGTTATATATATAGTGTGATATATAGGCTTTTGTAAGGGTTTATTAATGTGCAGTATTTGGCAACAATTATCAGTTTTCATATAAAGATATATTTTACATTATTACAACTGTGTTTCACTAGATTGCCTTTTATTATCTGTTTATACAGCAGCGTCATCTAATGAGTGCCCACAGGAGGACTTACAGTTAAAGTCAAGTCAATTTTATTTATACAGGCCAATGTCACAAATCATGTGCTTCAGGAGCTAAAAAAAATTATATATTATATTACATGATGTGAGACACACAAAGTGCATTAATATTTTGTGCATAACTATATCAAGAATGAGTTAAATCAGTTTTTACTTACTAAAATCTCTTTTTTTAATATAATTTTTGTGCAATTTAGATGTGGATGTATGTGGTGGTTGTATTTTACTTTTCAGTTCTATTCCTAATGATTAATGTTTCCATCCATCCATCGTCAACCGCTTACAGGGTCGCGGGGGCTGGAGACAATCCCAGCTGACATTGGCGAAAGGCGGGCTACACCCTGGACAGGTCGCCAATCCATTGCAGGGCCAAACATAGACAAAAAACCAGTCACACTCACACCTAAGGACAATTTAGGGTCACCAATTAACCTAGTCCGCATGTCTTTGGACGGTGGGGGGAAGCCGGAGCGCCCGGACAGAACCCACGCAGACACGGGGAGAACATGCAAATTCCACACAAAAAGGCCAGGGTTGTTTTTTGATTGCCCTTTATAAATGTGATTTATAAACATAAACAAAAAAGATTACTGTCATTCTTACAACTAATACTGCCTCCAACTCCACATTAACTGCTATTATACAGGATGCAATTATAAAATCAGTACCCAATAAAATACAGGGCAGGGGTAAAACTCACCTCTTTGACATGGCGTTTGAGGTGCATGTAAACACTCTGTCCTGTTTTGCGATAATGCCTCTCCACATGTTCCCGTCCAAAGCCCAGGAATGTGTTCATACACACATACAGGCCTCCCTCTGACTCCTGCGGATCAAAACAAACAACAATGAACAGCAGCACGAGGTGAACAACCTTCAACACAACAGCACATTTGAATCTTTATTTTGCCTAATGTCAGACAGATTACGTGCAGTATATCATATCCTCACACAAGTATTTCTTCTTAAAATGCCTTCTCTAAAATGGAATTGTAGCTTTATTAAAAGTATTTCACAGCAAACATCAGATGACAATAATCATTTCAGTAAAAGCAAATGACTGTCATGACAAAAACAAAACTAGGTTTTTGGTGTCAGTCTCAAGAAATGTACTGGAGATGAGCTGTATTGTGTTCCACACTACTTGGCACTAGTTGGAAATAATTTAAACACGATATGCACAATGGAAATGCAAGAAAGAGACGTGTGCCAATGATTCTGCAAGCACATTTTCAAAAAAGGCCTTATTGCCCAAACAGTGTGTTTTGTCAAACGGCCAAAAATTTAAATAAAAAAAAATAAATAGTACCTCTGCTTTTGGGGGGTGCTGAGGACCTGCATGTTTTGCTCCAGTTTAAAAACACAGTAACCTTATTAAACTGCTGGTGAGTGCCTATGGACTGAGGCCCACACAGTTACTGTATCTAAAACAGCTTGTTACAGGATACAAAGGTTTGATCATTTTGTCACATTCAAAAGATCTGCATGTGATGCAAATTTAAAGAGGTTTTAAATATTTTCACACATGAACTGTCAGAGTCAAAATACACCAAGATTACTACTTCAAAACTAATGTAAATCTGCTATCAGTGTAGGCCTTATAAACCTCTGTGATAAACCTTTAAGTAGCCCAGAGTGACATTTGAGCTTCAACAGTGCAAGGATAAAAATAAACCAGTCCTGGGCCAACATGATGAACTCCAGACAGCTGAGTCACCGTTAAATACGGTTTACAGCCAAAAAAAAAAAATAGGTTTTTGGTTGTATGTAAATTTTCTTAAGAGCCAAAACCGCAGAATTTCTATCGGTCATGAGTCTATACAAGAACAGAAAAGGTTGAACTCTGTATAAAATCTCTAACATTAAAAAATGTGTCATTTCAAAGTTTTTAAAATGTAAATCAATCTAAATATGAAATGTTTTGATGCCCAGTCACTATTGCCCACTATTCACAGAGGAAACAGAAAATAAGGGAACAAAATAAAAGACAACATGCAGAGGAATGAGACTTTCTATGAACAAAACCCAAACTTTCAAGTGACACAAACACACAATATTTAGGCCTATTATAAAAAGACCCCAACAGACACACTATCAAGTATTTTTTAAAGTAAACATTTTTTAAGTCAATATATGAGTGTTTCAGTTCTACAATAGTTAGCATGAATTTCGCTTGGTCATTGTAAACACACTGTTGAACACTCTGAATTTTAACTGTAGGCCTACATCACACCATTCACTGAGAAAAAAAAAACAGACAAAAATTCACTGTTGTTAGCATACAATAATGGAAATATTACGAGGTTCCAGCTGAGCACCACTGACACACTTCAAGTCCATTTTTAGCCAAATTATACAAACAAAAAAAAGATGGCTGTAAATTCACTACCAAGCGGCACGCGCACACACACACACACACCAGCTACAACCTGACAGGGCTGCTCATGCTTTTCAGATAAATTCAAAGCTCGGGGCAGGTGTGGTAGCTTGTGTATTTAATTACTGATTTAATTGGCCTGGTTGGAGCGGTAATGTGGCCTGGCTTGGCCGTCTACCTCCCGCCTCGGCACAAAGGGAACCCCTCCATCCCTCCCTCTTTCCTGAGATGTAAACAACATTTAATTATTTATTTTCAAGTTCACGGGAGAGACACGCATATATTACAGCAGATTCACTTGTGCCAAGTCAGTCAAGTCAGCCCGCCTAACAACCCCCGCTCCAAACATCACGCTCATGTCTCGGTGTGTGTGGGGGGAGGCAGACACTTACTGGAGAGTCGAAGGAAAAGGCGCACTCGCTCTTAAAAACCCTGTCTCCGGTTCTGGGCACCCTGATGGTGGGCATGAACGGGACCAGCAGTTCTCCTAGGTCTGCAGCCATCTTCGCATTCCTGCTTCTCGCACCACAGTGCTGCGGAGCCCCCGGAGCAGCGCTGTCAGAGCAGAGGATGCTATTTTTAAAGCACTCCCTTCTCTACATTCCTCCGGCCAGCGCGACGTGACGCTGGAAAACCATAAAAATAAAATGACAAGAGGGGTGGAGGCTGGTTGCTACACAGGCGGAACAGCTAAGGCCGTGGAGGCTAGTACTGTTGTTCTTTTGGTGGGTGTTTTTTTTTCTTCTTGCAAAAAAGCTTTGACCTGCGCAGAAATTACATCGCTCCTGTTGACTGTAGTGACGCTCTCTGCACACAGGGATGTTTTACCAGAAGGGCCCCTCCCACCTCTTAGGATGATTCATAAAGCCACCCACACTTACTACAGCATGTTCCCCCCTCCAGGATTCAGGAAAAGCATTACTATGATTTAGTAGCTGCTGATTCCAGTATCATAGACACACAACAAAATACTCCATCACTCTTTATTCCACGCTCCTATTTTTATTTTTATATTTCTATATTTCCTCTATATATTATCATTATTTATATTTCTTGTTTAGCAACGTGAGCAACAGTATCCAAAAAATAACCTTAAGGAATCAATAAAGTGTTTCTGAAAGAGCCTACTGATAATCTACTAATTAATGTGCAGGAGCTTTTGTTGTTAAAATTATAAAAATAAATAAATACATTAGGGGGTTACTGTACATTCAGTTTTATTTCTCAGTAGCATTTTGCATCTTCTTGTGCATCTTATCCAATGTGTGGATGTCTACAACCACCTTTAATAAGAGGCCCTTTGTCCATCAGACAACAATCATTTTGTTTGCACAGCTCTGCCACCAGGTGGATGTGCTCCTTAATTGCAAAAAGAAAAATCTAGAAAATTAAGCAACCGATTTGCCAAAAATATATCATCAAAAAAGTGACTCTGTGCAGCCTGTCCTTGTTGACATTGCGTTGCCAAGTCCCTTGTGGATGTGCATAAACAAGTGTGATCTGTTCATTATGAGCTAAATACCCAATACTCTATTGAAAGACTACATCTCAATTTGTTTCACATTTCTTTATTTATCATAGGAATAAGAAATGTAATGTATCTAGTGCACCTAACTGAAGCTATTTGAATTTGTAAAAGCGCTTTGGATAAAAGCGATATATAACTGCAGTCCATTCATCTGCATCCCTCATCCCTGCTTAGGCTCTTACAAACAAATGGATTGTTCAGATTCAGGATTTTTTGAATTTTAAAGAACAAATTAAACAAATTGTCTCCAGGTGTGTATGTACTTTACATCACTGTGTATGCATTGACATGTAGGTGCAAACGTATATAGCCTAAATGTGTATGACCAGCTGACCCATTTAAAACTCAAATTGTTGTTTCAGATTTTGAAGAGCACTGGAAACCATTTATTATTTAATTTTGTTTATCCAAGGGCAGATATTTCATGTCACTGATGGTGGAGGACAACAAAAACATCTCCCAGCAGAGGGTTTGAAAAAGTTTGAAAAAGGCAGCAGACCAAACCACTGTGAGGCATAGAAGGGGGAAGGACATAATCTTTCAAAGCTTAAAAAAGGCTTCGGACTCTAGAAGAGAAGAGCTGTTGACCATTTGTGTACAGAATACATTGACTAAAAGCTGACAGATAACAGTGGTTATATTTAATTGTAAAAGTTATTGCTAAGGACAATTCATAAGTTTTGGGGTATTAGTAGGGACATGTCTCTACCCTCCCAGAACTCAAATAAAAATGAGCCCCCCAGATAGAGAGAGAGAGAGAGAGAGAGAGAGAGCTTTAATTACTTTACTTGTTTAATGAAATGTATGGGGTTGATTGTTCTTATGTAGTTTGTATGATGCTTTGGCAATATTGTTACATAATAATGTGTTAATAACACAATAAAGCTAATTTGAATTGAACTGAGAGAAAGGGGTGGGATATTATGTTTTTGGACTGTAAGAGGACGCAGAAGCACCTGCAGGAAATGTACACCGACTCAAGGGAGACCTTAGCTAGTTGGTGGATTTAAAGTTTGGACCTTCTTGCTGTAAGGCAGCATGCTATACACTGAGCCACTGTGCTTCCAAGCAATATCAATGAATCTACAAAGATTTAAAATAATTTTACCCAGACAAGGTCAAAACTATTTTGCCACATGGAGACAAGACAAAATATAAACACTTTTATTTAGTAGCAGCTGATTCCAGTATTCTACACACCCAACAAAACACAGTTTTTGTTAAAACTGTAAATAAAAATAAGGGGTTACTATACATTAAATTTTACTAAGTAGCATTTTGCATCTTCATGTGCAATAAAGACACTGGAAACAAAAAATCAGAGTCCATATACATACTTTATTTAGGTAAGAAGGGAAAAAATGTACAAACAGTGAGACTGATCGGCATGATGTACGAATAGCAGACACATCTTAAATTAAGAGTCAGGTGATGACTTGGGGCTGTAGTCAATTAGCTCCTTGTTGAGGGTTTCCACCTGGAACCACGGGCCATCTCCCTTCTGCCTCATCTGTCGACGTACCTCCAGCTGTGTCAGTCTGTTGACGTCAAAAAGGCAGGGCATTAATAAAGTCACGCTTCGGAAATGGAAACCGAGGGTAAGGTGTGAATCCCAGAATAGTGCTAGAACACCCCTCATGTTCACTTTTCACAAAGACAGAAGGAAGGAAAAAGGTTTGGTGTGCAGCAAACATTTCAGTTTGGTAAGATACGTTCAGAATTATTGTTTAACAGTGGAATTATAAAGTTGTAATTTTATGACTAGACAAATGGCTATGACAGCCTTTCTAACTGCCACAGATAAAACTTCCTCCTTAACACTTTCAGTTAAGTGCAAAGTGGATTTGTAAAGGAACTGCTGACAAACAATTCTTTCAACAACATGAAGCCTGTTGTGTTGGGACCAAACTATCACATTGCGGCCTGGATGTTTCAGTGCAATGATATCCATTTAGAGAACACTGGTACAGATATCAGCTGATCTAATTAAACATGCACAGGAATCTGCCTCATATGTTTATCTAACGGGAATCTAATCTCAAACCTCGAGATTAATCAACTGTCAAAAGAAATATCACAGAACTACAGGACTGATCTCTTAAAATGTATTCAGACTTAAAGCAATGACACCACTGACTGTGCTATGTGGCTTTGCCAAACATGATTTAATTAATTTAATGGTTTCCACTTTAAAATGAGAAAAACAAAATATTCTGTGTTTTTCTTCTTCTAAAACAATTTACTTCCAAGACTGATTATTTGTGTCACTGGTGAAGTTTAATGACAGTTACAAAATGTCTTTCTGCCGCTGTATCACAACTGCTTTGTGGTCTTCACACAGGACTTTGGTGACAGAAGCTACAACACCGGTGCTAACACTCACCTCATGTCTGCTTTTTCTTTCTCTATTTGGACTGCAGCCATCATCTTTTCATAGTCCTTCACTGGGGAATCATAGATTGTCCTTGCAATCCACCTGGTGATGGGGTGCTGAAGTGACAGGGAAAAAGATACGCATGACAAAATATTTTCAATAATTAAACAATTACTGGGTTTTCAGTTAAGTAAACAATTAGTTGAACAATTACTATGACTATACTAGATTTTATCCTTTTACATACGTACCACATGAATGAAAGGAGAACTGTAAATAGGCTCCTCCTGAAATATCTATTATAGAACTCTGTCTAGATCCAAAATGCACTCAAAAAAAAAAAAATCTGTGGTCTGAACATTGCAGACATAAAGCACACAAAACTTTCACTAGAGGAAATCACACTTGTTTTAAACACTGGCAGCACAGGCTTTGTGACGGCAAGGATGATTATGGTGTGCACATAGTATGAAGCCCAATTCCAAATTGAATGGATGCTTGAGCCCATCCTTCCCTAAACCAGGGTTCAGATCAGTGACAGAAAGAACCTCTGAAAGAACTAATGGGAAAGATGCTAGGCACATACCTTGTAGTACTCCCAGTGTTCAGGTTCATAGCCCTCAGGAATTTCAGCCAGCTCTGCCTCACCTTCACGACACAATGACATTCAAGCTCAATTCAAAGTAACATGTGACTTCTTTTGATTTACTCCTTCAATCACATCTTTAAATGGCCAGCTATTATCAAGTTATCCAAATAAAGCAAAAAGAGGCTTACTTACCGATGAAGACATTCACACATGTGACAATGACAGCCATAGGAATGCCGGTCAGAAGGATATAATATTGCTGAGAAAAAAAACGAGAAGAAAATGAAAAACTGAGAACTCTAATGTTTTGCATAAGGGGTGGTCAAGACTGGAAGTCTAATCAAGCCAAGATGTCTGGAATAATTCTTCCTTTTAGGGCAAAAGTAGTGGACATTTTATGCATGGCTTATAAGCACAGAAGTAATTGTTAGAGCAGACATGATACTGATACTTGCATTACTCACTACTGGCTCCATGTAATGTTAGTAATCGTAAGTAAGTAAAGTGTGTAAGCTTATTCTATTGCTAAACTAAATGCAAGTCCTGCTGGATTAGTGCATTGTCATTTGTGTTGTTCTACGTAGCACCATGGTCCTGGAGGAGTCCTGTCTTGTTTCTGTGTACTAGCTGTATATGGTTGAAAGGACAATAAAGACAGTCTAAATATGACATGAGCATGCACAAACATGTCTCAAATAAGGCTTATTTATTAGGTGAATTTCCAACAGTTTTGAACAGTGCTTTAAGGAATACAACTTTAAAGACAGCTGGTGAGGCTGAACTTGAGTAAAATTACATTACAAGCTTTTAGTACCCTTGTCCAAACTTCAGAAGAGTGAGAAGTACAGCAGGGCTCCACTTCAGTGTCTTGGCTTTTGACACAGCTGTCTATGAAGATTGATTGCTGCTGGCATCGACATTTATATCTACTAACTGCAGCTCCCACATTTAGGCGTTTGCACCCCCTTCATTTGTCACAATCACAGGTAATGAATGAGATGGTGTTACAGTACTCACCAATAAGCGTAGAAATCTCCTGTCATAGTAGTCAGAGGGTTTGATGACAAACATTTTCTTTCCATGACCCCAACGAACGGCCACTGCAAAACAAGGAAGGGGATACTGTTGTTACCATTTCCCGATTAAAGTTGTGGGCCTTATTTACATAGTATCGAAATCATGATGTCAGACTAGACAGACTGGTATTTTGGTTCTTGTGATAATGTCATGTAGATTCAATGTTTCTTGATTTTTAAGATTGAGGTCAAAGTTCTGAACTTATTGGACTGTAGTATCTGAGTGAGCTGAACAGTCATTGTCACATTATGTCCACATTACTGATGATCGTTCTTTAAATGCGCCTTAAATAAAATCAGGATGAACAAAATCAACAAATTCCCTATAATGATCATTATTACAGCTGTATCTTGATATCAATATGACAATGATAATTACTTTTCAAAATCGTGTGGGAAAATGTTTAGTGTGCATCCCACTGAGTAAAATGTTTTTTACTAAAATAAATCCTACAAATTACAAATATTTATAGGTTCCTTGTATTTAGACTACATGGTTATTGCAGAAGTTGGTAAAATACAAGCATTTATTTCGACAGAAAAACTGTAAACCACATCATTTTATTCGGAAATTGTTTGATTATCCGGGACATTATTCAATGGGGTAAAATTAAATTTAACGCATTGTAAGTTTATTTCTGACGCATAACATTAGGTCCATATCATTTCATGAGATAATAAACTGTCATTCAAGCTGAAAAACAACTATAACGCCGGCTACCAAATAAAGCTTGCACTAATAAAAAGAGCCGTTTAAAGATGAAGATGAAGAAATGTGAGCAGATACCTGTAGCTATTACGGTTTAACTTTTTGTTGACAACAGGACAAACGTTAGCGGTTAGCTAGCTAATGTTAAAAAGCTAACGAGCCCCAGCGCAAGGTCATAAGAAGAGACGGACACCTCCAGGGTAAAACTTCTCACTCTTTAAATGATCGGGGTGCCTCTTACCTTTATCTGCTCGCGGGATTGTTCGCGTGAGTAAATTTGCTGCATTATTTCCAGATTTCAGAGGACTCAGTCTGGCTGCAAAAGCAGCCGCAGACCTGAGAACGCTCATTCCCACCATCGCTACTGTGGGACGACAACTCAACAACACGATCTCTGATTGGTCGAGGACAGAGTAAAGCAGAAATCGCCATTTTAAGTAAGGGCAAACACGTTTATTTGTATTATTGTTAAGTGGTATTATTGTGTAAGCATAGTATATAAAGGTACGACGTACATTTATATTAATAAGTCGAAAAAGTCAAACAATAAAAAATACATATTTGGTGCAGAAAAATGCATGACGGGTAATGTGGGAAGGACTACGGAAAAGATGGCGGCGTCCTCATCGGCAGGACGCGTTTTGACTCTTTGCAAGCAATTTCAAAATGTCTGTAGGATATCTTCAGCGATAAATTCTCAGCACTGTGCTGCTAATTTGACCAAATACCAGTCTCACCTTTACAGGTAAGAAGGTGCTGAAACATGTTAATGGAAGCGTGTCCAACGCTGGCTCTGCTCCTTAACGGTTTGTGTAGATTGTGTAGGAGTCATTAACTTATATTAGGTTTAAATTATTGTTTTCAGTTACAGGGTGCTCTTTGTGTCCTCAATAAATGTAGATGTAGACGGTTGTATTTGCTATATTTAAATACAGGAAGTCATCACAGGCTGCATATGGTCCACTAATCTGATATACCAACAATATCATTACCGTTAAACTGAAGCAGTCGCTGACAATGAAATTCTTTTTGTAAGGCCCCGAGAAACAATGCGCATACAAAAACATACTAAAGAAAATAACTCGTTTTGGGATTTGTCTAAAACAAGTGTTTCTCTAGTGCTCTCTGAAGTCAGACTAAGAGGTGCAATTTTAGCGAAATAGCATGCAAATTGCAAATTAAAGGGGTTAAATCTTGTTATGTGAATTTATTTTGCATTCACCAGGGTAAAGTCTCCACTCGTTGGCCTGTCGTGGTGCAGTCCCATCAGCTCTGTGGGTCAGTGTCGAGCCCTGCACACAACCATCAACAGAAGAGGGCTGGAAGAGTTTTTTGACCTACCTGAGAACTGGGGAGAGGCAAAAGTGAAGTCGGGTAAAACCAACAAGTACACAGCACAGTAAATGATAGAAAAACAATCATGCAGATTTTTTTTCTAGGAAATGCCCAAATCCTTGGATAATTAGGGTTCCATACAAGTGAGCAAGACTCATGTGGCCATTTAAACACATTATGTTGCTCTAGCACCCTTCTAACACAAATTTACCCACCAGGCATGATGACAGCATTTTACACTTATTTTGTTTGTCATAATTTTACAGCTGCACCATGGACTGCCAAACAACTGAGAACAAAGAGCAATGAAGATTTACACAAACTCTGGTAAGCTCGGCTGAGATCACACTGGTGCTTCGCAGTGTAAAAACATTTATCAGCTGTGTTTTAATGCACTCATTCTGCTTCAGGTATGTGCTGTTGAAAGAAAAGAACATGTTGCTCACACTTGAGCAGGAATCAAGAAGGCAACGGGTTCAGATGCCAAGTCCAGAAAGATTAAGGAAGGTTGGTATGATGCTCAAGATGACCCCTCTACCATTACCGTAGAAACAGTGAATCACATTTGACAGATCAACTCTGGCTCAGCCTTTGGCAGAGTTAGTTGGGATGCAGGGTTTGTGGGTGTTGCTTGTGTTAAAGCAGGTGCCCTAGCTAAGGTAAATTTTGCCGTCTTCTTCCTCAAAGGTCGACAGGTCAATGATCAGACTGGAGACAGTGGTGAATGAGAGAGAGACTGCACTGCGTCTGCTGCAGACAGGACAGGAGAAGGGCAGACCAGGAGCCTGGAGGAGGAACATATTTGGACATGTCTACTGGTGAGGGCAGAGTCTTGGTATACAATATAGCATGCATACACGTGGAGAAATGCCACTCTCTTTTCTCACTCTATTAACCATTTAAAAAGGCTCACTGTGGAGTTTTAGACCTCTAGCAGCGTTATGGAGCTGTTTTGTTTCTCATGCACGTGGATGCCCTTGCATTGACATAAACAATGCTGTAATAAAAAAAAAAATAATTAAATTAAAATATCCGTTTCGCTGGGCACCCCAGTATCTCACCTGGTAGAGCAGTACCATGTACTAATGCTGGTCGGTCTTTTAACAGAACGTCTTCAGTGTAGGCAAAGTTGATTTTAGATTTTCTGCAGGTAGTCTGTAATCCGGTTGCTGTACTTCCAAAGGGCCAGGCTTTGGAAAATGAAACATGGGAAGTGGCATCACTCACGTACACTTTTCTTTCCCTCAGGTATCGATTCAAAGAGTATGCTATCCCTTGGTACATGAATAAAAGATACAGGCGAAAGAGGTTCTACACACCCAAGTTTGTCCAACCACACATAAGGTAAGATATAGCACACATGCAATCTTGAGCTCTTCTTATGTTTTAGTAGATATAAAAGGCTGTGTGTGTGTGTGTGTGTGTGTGTGTGTGTGTGTATAGAGTGTAACCCTTATGGTATGCAAAATTCCTGTCCTCTTGCAAAAATCTAATTGTTGATTACTACTGCCCCGCCCCACGCATTCTTTTGTCTTGCAGGCTGCGCATAGAGAAACATCTTCGAGAGAAGGCCAGGAAAGCCAGCTTAGAGAGGGAAACCCAGGCCAAACTCAAGGACAGGTTTCCTCAAATGAAAGTTCCTGCATCATGATATTTTACAATTAAAGCGTTTGACAGCTATGAGCCTGACTCACGTCAAATGGTGGTCAAACGGTCCTATGTAGATTGAGTGTATTTTTTTTCAGCTGTTATTTCATCCTATAACGTAAATTATGCTATGGCTGTAAACGTTTCCATACTTATTAAAACACACCATGTATTGAGTTTTCTTCATGTTTTACTAGTTTGTAAGATTCATTTTTAAGGTTTGGATGTCATGACTCTGGAGAACTTTTAAGAAAGGGTTTTGCAACTTTACAGCACCCTGATACGGTTACCTAAATGTTTCCTGCTCGGTTTCCATCAAACAGCTACATTTCAGTCCTTTAAGCACTTAATACAAGAAACCCTCAGTGGAACTAAAATAATCCACATACAAAAGTGGGCTATTATAGTCACTCATTTTAAAGAAATCATTTAACAAAAAAGAACTTTATTTTTAAAAGACCATATGTAGCCAATGACAAGCAAAGTGAAAATTAAATACAGATTTATTTGAGTTGACTCACAAATAAGCACAGGCGAGAATTGACTGGCTTTTGCTTATGATCAGCTTACTACACACAAAAAATAAAGGCTTATGGACAAGACATTGTTCAACTTAAACTGTAAGGTTATCCACCAAACACATGTCACCCAAATTTTACATTGTCTGTATTCTGCAGAAACCCTGGACAACACATCTTGTGTTTCTCACATTGTGTTTTCCCCAGTGTGATCAAAAACTTGAGCTGAGGACCAATTGCTGATATTTACTGGCCATTAGACCATGTCAGACTCTGTCAAAACCGGGACAAAAGGTAATGGACAATAGGTAGCAAGACAAAGCTTTGTCAATTTCAGAAAAACTGACTTAAGGTTTCCACAAAACACCAGCAATTTAAAAATAAGGCAACGGCCCTTCTGTTATGATAAACAAAGGAACTTAAACCTCATTTCATCATAGTGACGCAGTTAACTTTGTTGTCTGATTTTCACAATAAATCCTAGACAGGCGGCATATGGACAAACTCAATTATTTCTAAAAACAAAACCATACAAAACGAGAGCGATCATCCGCAGGTGTTCCTGAGTCCAGGGGTTAGAGGTGAACGATTCATGATGTTGAGCTTGTGGCAAAGACGGTGACAGACAGGGTACGGTGGCAAAAATCAAGGGCACTTCCTGTCCACACACTGCTTTCCTCCCTCTTCGTACTCCTGTTTAGAGATCCACATCTGCTGGAAGGTTCCCTGGCAGACAGAGGAAATGCGTTTAGTTTGTATACGTCAGGGTAAAATGGGTTTGGAAAGCACACACATAACTAAAGCTGTGAAGCAAAAGTGGATGTGTGAACCTGAATACAGTTCTCATGTATTTTGCCTCCACTTATCAAATTGCAAGAAATATGGCGATAAAGTGAAACATTACACCCTACAAAAAGCAGTTTTCCCATACTGGAATCAAAAATCCATCTATGTAATAGAAAGTGTGTGAGAGACTACTGTCAAAGAGTTTTGTTTTGTTTTTAAACAACTGTAACTGCTGTGTGTCCTTACAAGTGATGCCAGGATTGAGCCTCCTATCCAGGCACTGAACCTGCGCTCCACTGTAGTGTTGTTGGCTATCAGCTTCAGCCTCATGCTCTGCAAATCACAGACAAACACGTCAAACTCTTGCAGGAAATAAAGTAGTGTTCATGTGTTGATGGATTTAAAAGATTAGACAAGATCAGAAATTGTGTATTAATGAATACATATGGTTTGAACAAAAGAACGGCAGTGTCATTTTCAGATAACGACAGGCAGCACAGTAGTTTGAATTTGCAGTCTATGATTAACTAAAGCCTAAGATAAGCTAATGTTCATCTGAACAACATGAGGAAGTAGCGATGTTAACTCACCGGAGGGGTTTTCTGGGAGAGTTCTCTGTTCAGTCGGTCTGTGAAGCCCTGAATGAGCGTGTTTCCTCCAGTCACCACCACGCTTCCGTACAGACCCTGAGACAAAATGTGAAAGGTCAGTAAATCAGAGTTTCTGGTTTTAAAGGAAACGCCGAAGATTCAGGAGCAAAAACTAAAGCGCAACACAAACACACAGGCCTCCTATCAAACACATTCTCTGACAACCTTACATTGTTGGATATGAAAAAGTGACAATGAATGAATTCCAGGGGTTATTCTATTACCAAATTTTGCAATATATGTATATTTTGGGCATACCCAATTTGCCTCAACCAGCTTCATCTACTTTTGATTTCCTGCATTGGGAGATATTTCTTGATATCCCCCAAGAGTAGTGTACGAAAACGTATTGTATTCAGCTGCTACTGGCCAAACGTCTTGGACACAACAAATAAATGAAAATGAAAAGCACATAAAAAGTGTTTTACGCTGCTTTTTAATTGAAGCTACATCTTTAATGATTCATTCATCTATTTTAAATGTTTGAGAAAGTCATCTTTACCCGTTTAGTCATGTGAAATTCACTTAACTTAGGAGCATCATTTAAATGGATAAAAAGTTAAACTCAAGAAACATATTTCAGCGACCAAAAAAACCCCAAAAACTTGCAACCAATGTTTAAAACATCTAAATAAATCACCGGCCGGATGTCAATGTCACACATTCCCACGCTGGTCGTCACCACATGGCCAACTCCCAACATGGTATTTCCAGACAGGCCCTGATGTGATCAGAACAAACACATTATTTTTTTTTTTTTTACATTTTCCACAAATGAACCTGTAACACATAAGAAGCAACACATATGGAGTCTAAACAAGTATTCTGTCATAGAGTATGTTTTGGCTGCTCTGTTACCTCCATAGTTAAACTCATGGAGCATTCTGATCGCACACACACACACCTTGGCATTAGAGGGGTCAAACAGCCCCTCTGGGATCTTCAGCCTCTCAGCACCAAAGTCACAGTTGTAGCCGTTGGGAAGCTCATAGTGCACTGTGGGCATCTGTGCGGCAACCCTGATGAAAGAGGGGGGGATACCTGTGAGTTAGATATTTTGGGATGAAATTGACATTTTAAACTTTCAGATGATATATACTTTTAGCATGCAAACTTCCATGGAAGCAGAGGGATAAAGTAAAGAACAATGTCCATCAAGCTATTGTGAAATTAACCATGACAGGCTGATTAATTATGCCGATTAAAGCACAAAACTGGTCCATACAGAAGCCAGATCGTGTGCATGTTGAAATGGCGTAAAACACACGTCTACGCAATGGACAGATTCATATTGCAAATAATGCTCTTACTGTTCATCATATGGCGAGTCTGACACCTGCAGCACAGATGCCTGGAAGTCCTGGATCACACACTGCAAATATTAAGAAAAGACAAGTTGACACACACTCAACAAAACACAATACAGACGGTTCCTTTATTAATGCAAGGAGACAGCAAATGCAGAGTCTAAGAATTTGCTGCTTACATTACACATGTAGTTGTGCCATGAGCGGGTGACTTGAGGTAGTTTCTCCTTTTTCTTCCAACTGGCTGGGGATCCCTCCCGCACTGGATCCTGTAATCACAAACACCGTGGATGACACTGTCTGGTATGAAGTAAGATGACAATACGGACCAATACAGACGGTGTAGGTAAATTATGTTAAAAAAACATTTGAAATATATATGTATGTACATCCAAGACTCAACAAAGCTAACATTATGATCACCTATTTAAAAACAATGGATGTTAATATTAATATATGTTAATAAATATTCAATAATATTCAGGCTGGAGCAATGTTTGCCAAATACTTTTACAAGATTATTTAAAATATACCTTTCCACCTGTTAAACACTGAAATTAAATTCTCTATAAATTTGGTTTCCACACAAACATCTTACCTTTGACGCAATCATGTAAGGGGGGATTATTTCAACATTTAACTCTTGAAAAAGCTCCCTACACTGCATGCTCATGAAGTCTCCAGCCAGGGGCGATTTGACGATTCCTGTCAGAGAGAATAAATGTGACTTGAAGGAATACGGTGAATATCTATCATGTTTACATATAATACTACTCCACACTCTGTTTAAACTTGCTCAACTTGTTACATCACCATTACCATCGTGTGCTAATGAAATCTGCTGAATCACTCTCCTTTTGTTTCATTGCAGCTCTGACTCAAGTAGCTTTGCAACAAGCATTATACTACTGTTCTACAACACGATTTAGTTTCATCATGATTTAAAATCAGGCACCATTTACACAGTTATTGTGAAATAGCATACGATATGGCTCACTGAAAAAAACCCTCTTTCCCAACAACAATTCAGAATGGTAACAGAAGCTTGTAATAAAAGTTGCAGGAACAGCCATCTTGAATGGCAAGGCAGAGATACAGGCTCCAACCAGCAGATGGCAACAGAAATCATAGCAGGATGCATCAATGAAGAATTTAGGACTATATAATTTACATGAATCCTCTTAGGCTTATATGTAAGCAAAGTTAAATCTGCAGGTAGATTGCCAGCTTATGATGAATGATTTAGAATAATTGGTCACCTTGCTGCAGGACGTAGCCATCGTGCACTGGAATTGCTGTGGTGTGTGTGGCTCCACTGTCCAGGACCAAGCCTGTAGACCGACCATTGGCAAAGCTTGGATGCTCAGAGTAAAGGAAATGCAGTACAGTGCAACATATAATATATAATATTAGTTCAACAGACTCTGAGACCATTGTCAAACAGTAAAGGACAATTAAGTGTCCGATATTATTAATGACTCTATCCCATATTTTCTGGATGAAGTGGAATAGTAAAGGATACGCAGAGAGCACCGCTGATTTGCAGAGAAAGAAGGCAGGAATGTTGTAATGTTCAAACATCAGCTCTGTTAGTTTCTCGCGTTTCGCTCGTGTGTTCCACTGCAGACGCAAAAACAGAAAATAGACCGCTTACAACACAAATATTGTCAGCACAACACAAGTTTCTCCATGAGGTGACGAGGATCAGCGCAGGGAACAAACTACAGACAACACCATGATTACAGCTAAAACAAACTGCATCTCAAAAAGGTAACCTGCTACTATGATTATTTAACTAACAACTTCATATTTAAAGACAGAACAGGACTTTAAATTACTAATTTTTTGACAACTCAAATCTGGCTGATAAATTCAAACTATGTGAATACTGTTTAGCCTTGATACAATCCCAGAATAAGTAGCCAGTGTTGTTCAGACTCCAGCTGGTACAAATGCTAACTCACCGATGCTTCTGACATGAGCACTGGATGCAGGCTTGGTTCAGACTTGAAGTGCATCTTGTAGGTGTGATCCAAAATGGCCTGGAAGCTGTCCCAGTCCTCAACTGTAAACGGGGCAGGAGAGAAAAGAAGTACAGGGATTGTTAAATGTCAAACCACCATCAAATTACTTCTGATACTTAGCTAATATACAGGTGAGGACAACCAATTATTTGTGCTTAACATGAGAGAAAAGTTGTTGAAATTCCACATATAGTCTTGGGAAATAGTGTGCAGTTATTGGTGGAAACTGAAATAAAGATAAAGCTGTTTCATACAGAGAACACCTTTTTTTAACACATGTAGATATAAGTCCTATACACAAACAAAGACATACCATGAGCACACGGCATCTATGTTCTCGAGGTCTGTCTTTAATTTATCCGTAGCTACAGGCCTACAAAAAAAATGTACGTCACAAAAACCAAGTATCTTCCATGATCGTCACTGCTGGGTCAGATGGTGGAGAAAATAGAGCACTGATGAGCTTTTTTAGATAATAATTTGAGCACCAGGCACCAATGTTCCAGGTCAGCCCTCTGAGGGAGCCTGTGGTCCCACGGTGCTGTTCTGCTGCAATTAAGATTGGTGTCACACTTGTCTCTAAATAGCCCCACAGCCAAACTCCACTGGACCAGATTCTGATGAGCATCGTCAGCTAGGTCAGCGCACCGGAGCGCATGTTTCATATCCGCTGTTGCTGTAGCAACCTCGGGGTAACAGAAATACAACACACCTACAAAAAATGTTGCATCCGTAGCAGAGAATTTCAGCTTGGCTGTGAACATTTTGGACAGAGTGGAAATGATTGGGCAATTACCAGATCAATCAACAGACAGGAAATTAATTTGATAATTTTACTACAATTAATTAATCAAAAAGAATAGACAATAATGAAATAATGAAATAGATGTCAGTGGCAGCTGTAGTTTTGGATAATAGTTGAGAAGATGTGAGAAAAACACCTCAAAAGTGGTCGGCAATAGGTGGCCCACAGGCCAGAACTGGCACCCCAGCAATAACATCTGGCCTCCAGCCAGATTGCTTTGATAGCAGAAAAATAAATCCATAATAGCGGCTCTGCTGAAAAAGATCTCAGTCATGACAGCCACATAATCACTTCCTCTTAAGTGATTGTACCTCCAAAATAAAAGCGCAAGAACGTTTTTTGCAGCAATACTTTATGTCGAGTTTATTGAGAGCTTTTACTTTGAAGTTCTGAAGGACATTCAAAAGAGTCTCTGGCTTGCTTGACACACCTCTGAAAAAGTTTAAGAATGCGTATCAAACGCCGGGTCGTGCACACACACACAGCAGCACATGCTTTATTGTGAGCATGTGCAAAAATGTCCTTATGATCAATTTGTTTAACAAGGGAGAAAGAAAAAACATCCGCCATAGGCCTATGTTGCGATCAATCATACAACCCTCCCAACAGCAGTCCCGCTCATACCAACTGAGCTAAACGTAGCTTACAAATAAGCGCTCAAGGATTTGAAATAATTTGACTATGTTCTGGCTCACCCTGTAACAGCCTGAGAAAAAACTTGGGCCGATGCCAGACTTATTTGCCGACCCCTGCCATAGGATAACAGCAATATTTAGACAGGGTATCTCGTTCAGCATCAACAAAAGCACAGGACATGTGACCAACATTTGGCTTTTGGATGTTCGAAACATCCAACAATCAAACAAGAGCAAATGAGGATGGGAAAATATGATCACAATGAGGCAGACGCGGCGGTAAACCCAAGACTGAAAGAGGTCTGCGTACCATTGAGAGGACACTAGACGGGAAGGTTCATGATAATGAGTTGCCTTGGTCTTCAAATAATCTAATTATTATTCATGATGAAAGGCAGTCATCTATACGGCCAGGGGTTGTGACAAGTTTGTCTACAAAGTCGGCTGTCTAATTATGGATATGGATCAAGCAGACAGGATCATAAATACTCATTGCGTCACAGTATACGTCACAGATCAGGACAGAAAATGGCATCATATAACCTATGTATGTTCACATGGGTTCTATATTCTATCATTTATCAGCATTGCACATACACAGTTGAAGCAATCTGGTCAGTACATTTGGATTATGAACCAAATTCAAATTCTGTTTTATTTATTACTGTCTGCTCACTATTTACCACAACCAAGATCCAAAATGACTTTGGATTTTTAATGCATGAAAAAAAAAAAAAAAACAATAAATCACATGCCATGAGACATGAACACTCACTCATGCCATTCTTGAGCGGAGACATGACCTCCATGTTCTCCCGGGGTACCCTCAGCTGGTTGGTATCAATATAGTACGTGGTGCCACTCTGCTTGCCCTTGTCACCATCCGTCTCCATAGGAGTGCTGCCATCCTCTCGGTCAAGGGTCACCCCTATCACCGTGGGGAAGTCCGCCTGAGCAGAGCCAAAACAAAACAGGCCGGAATACAAGTCACAAGACACACTCTCACACAACCTGGTTTACCAATAACAATCATGACAAAAACTCATTAAAAAAGAGTGACTTATTTGTTTGCTATAGAAAGCTGCATTTTATAGCTACATGCATTACTAGAATTACAAAAAAAGTAATTGTAGTTAATTCATCGTAAATTTCATTATTTATTATTTTACTCCTCACATGTGAATATTTGTTGTTAGTTTTCTTAATTTTCTATGATATTCAACCTAATATCTTTGGGGATTGGATGGCTGGTCGCCAAAACATGACATATGAATATGGCAACTTGGGCTCTGGGAACCTGTGATAGACATTTGTGACATTATTCTGGCATTTTATAGATTAAACAATTGATCGATTTTGAATATAACTGTTAGCTACAGATTATCAGGATCAATAGCATGGCTATTTAATATGCTTTCATAGCAACTCTTTCCACAAAACCAGGAACTGTCATGCAAACTATAACCTCACACATTAATGAGGTCCTATTGTGATGGTGTGTGAATGATGGGGTTATGTGATAAGGCCATTATTACATAGATTAATGAAAGTATGGCAAATCAAGTGTCCATCGCTGACACTCCTCTTGCCAAACAGATATTTACACAGTCAAGATCTCCACCTAAAGCACAGATAAATCAAAACCCAGCAAGTTCTCCAGAACAATTGGAACTCAATTTATGCTGTCTGTCTCCAGGGTGACAGCCCTCATTTCTTGACATTGGCATACCCCCGGAGGGAAGATGAAGATGCACAGAGGAAGAAAAAGACACATAGTTAATCAGGTCATTTGAGCGATCCACTTACCTTGGGACAGTCTTCTCCTGCGTAGCCAGCTCTTACAGAATATGAGCCAATGTCGAACACCAAAGCTCCCACCTCATCTGCAGAAATGAGATGCGTTATGAAACTGTATATTTACCAATACTTCTCACAATTATCACAGCTATGCAATGGTATATAATATATGAGCAAACTACTGATATTAGCATTATCATTTTTCATTTTCATTTAGTGTGCTTGCTTGTATATGCTTATGTGAAAAAAGTATCCAGTTTACTTTCTCAACAAATATTTTACATACTTCAAGTCAATAAGTGATTAAGTCCGATCCCTAAAATGACAAATCACATTTTAATATATTTTTCATTGAATTTAGTACATAAAGAGCAGTTTCTTAAATATTATTTTTTCTTTTTCCCCACTCATCACAAAATATTCCCATTCCCACACTCCAAACCATCACATGAAATGTAAACTAAACATAATACCATTAATCTGTTTTGTACATGAATCTGCACGCTGTCTTATTAGTATTCTATGATATCAGTGTTTCACAAATTAAAATGTATTAAAACAAAAAATTGAATGGTAACTTGTAGTGCTGAAATAATTTGTCAGTGTAGATGCAGAGTTATTCAATTATGCCTGCTTTAATTGTGAATTTATAAAGTAAAAATACACACATATTGCTCAGTATTGGCACAGATGTCAAACCTACATATGTCATTACATGCTCCTCAGTTGATACTTTAAATGCCCTTTGTTCAATTAACATATTCTACCTTAAGAGAATAAAGTACATGGTGTGAAGATGCAGATCACAAAGTAAGACTCTTTTGAGTTGGACGGTGTATGTACTAAAACTTTACTTTAAAGACCCACTTCTCCCATTCATTTTCACCAATGCCTTAATACATTAACACAAACATTATCATTTAAAATTGAACTCTGTATGTATAGGTATCATTATCACTGACAACAGCATGAAGTACACCTCATAAAGTTAAAGTTATTTCACATCTGTGTGAATGTCAGCAGAAAGGCACATGTAGCAAATGACGACCACTCTTCAAGCTCAATCACTGTGACATACTTGGAAACATTTCTCCACTTCTAAGAAAGCTATATTTAACGTTACACATACAGAATGGGATGTGCTCATGAGTTCGGCAAGCCCACTTTCATTCATTTCCTAGCTAGCTAGCTCGTCGGTACGGGATTGGTTTACATGATTGTTGCACAAGCAAACTAAGCCTAAGTCATAACACGTCGCACTTACAGCGTTAACAAAGAAATATTTTCTTAAACGCATGGCGATTAAAAATGCTAGCAAGAATGTAGCTTTACTGTACCGCGGAGCTAGTTAAATGTTAGCACAGCTAGCATAGCTAGCTAACTCTAAAGCTACCGCACGGGACAACGTGGACAACAGTTTTATTTTTATCATGAGGTCTCACTCACCGCCTCCATACACTCCGCCACTCATCCTCTAATCGCAACAGCAACTTTCTTAATATAAGTTATTACAGCAGAATCACAACCGCTAAACGGTTAATCACAACAAAGGAAATGTGTTAGCATGGATCAATCTAACAAAGCAGGCGCCACACTGCGTAGAGGCGGCCGTCCAATCAGAATGTAGCACAGCATCAGGACTTCCGTTTCAGCTGTGACGGAAATTTCAAGAGACTGAAAGTGCTTCTATGCTCTGGAGTGGACGTGGCTCTGCGAGCTTGATATCTACGTGAGTGAAAAACTGATTATAAGTAGGATTAACTTACTTTTAACCGTCAAAAACCGATGCATAGACAGTCAAAGTGCATGATTTAACAGGACGGTGATGTTAGTAACGTTAAGTGTGAACAGCAAGACCTTGAGTCACGGTCGTTAAGACTTTAGGTATTGACCCTTAAATTAACCATGTCACGTCTGCTACAAAAGTAGCAACAGTGGCATGCAGAATCACTGTTAAGTGTCTTATTTCTGTACTATAAAACACCAGAAGTTTAAGTTTCGACATCCTCGTGGTTGTGCAAGCAGGTTGGGTGGACAATATGGTAATGAGTAATTTGCTGACCATACTGAAAGTCTGAGTCCAACTATGGTTATATAACGCATAGGCTATTTTGAATGAAACCCATACAGCTAAAATTCACTAATATTACTTATAACCAGTTACAGATCTAACACACGTTGTTTAATTTTGGCTGGTGTTTTATTAACCTTCTGCTTCATGTATTTTTGATATAAAGGTGATATGTAAATATAACGCATTTTCACAATCAATCTATTCACTACCAGAAGATATGAAATAGGGAAATAGGAGTTTCAGCTTTAACAAGAATATTGTGAATGAAATTCTTGTGTAGCTAGTCAACTGTATTGATAAAGAAGGTTTCAGGAAACTGTCTTAAAGTGTGTAAGTTGTAGTGGCATCTAGGGGTGAGGGTTGCGAATTGCAACCAACATCTCAGTCACCGTTCACCCTTCCCTTTGCAAGCGTGTAGGTGAAACTAAGGTGGCTAACCAAAAGCTCCTATTTTTATACTAGTTAGCAGTCTCTTGCCAAATCTGTTGACTCTCCTCATTCCCTGTAGCACATGTTCACTGTATTCTGCATTGACTATAATGCAGCTGATGCAACGTTTGAAGTTAAGTATTCATTTTGAAATTCAAATTATTTCTTGACCTTTAAAGCAGCAGTTGACAGAACTGGAGCTTAAATGGTTGGTTCATTGACAAAATCAATAAGCTATAATTTTGATAATCGATTAAGTAAGTTGCTTATCAAGGAAAATCTTAAACATTCTCTGCTTCAGGCTTCTTAAATCTTTGAATTTTAGCCCGTTGATCAGACAAGACCAAACATTTGAAGACATGTTTTTGGTAAAAAAAAAAATTCAACAGAATAATCGTTAGTGGCAGTCCTAGACACAACTAGCTCATCTGATCCTTTTGGTGAGATTGTTATGTCAACAATTATTTACAGATGTTCTTCAAGCATTTTTAAACTTGTAAAATAAATGTTTAACTTGGTTTGCTTCCAGCATCCATGCAGCGCTGCATCACTCTGACCCTTGCCCGGCACAACAGGCTCATCTTGAGAAATAAATTTGCATTTGTCCGCTGCCAGCAGTCAGCAGCCATGTCAGGTCTCCTCATCAACCAGCCCAAATACTCCTGGCTGAAAGAGCTGGGCCTGTCTGAAGATAACCCTGGTGTTTACAACGGGAACTGGGGAGGCAGCGGGGAGGTCATCACGTCATACTGCCCCGCCAACAATGAGCCGATTGCCAGAGTAACCCAAGCAACTTTGGCAGAGTATGAAGAAACTGTCCAGAAGACAAGGGAGGCTTGGAAGATTTGGGCAGATATTCCAGCTCCCAAAAGAGGCGAGATTGTGAGGCAGATTGGAGATGCTCTCAGAAAGAAGATTAAAGTCCTTGGGAGCCTGGTGTCTCTAGAAATGGGCAAGATCTATGTTGAGGGAGTGGGAGAGGTTCAGGAATACGTTGATGTCTGTGATTATGCTGTTGGTCTGTCTAGAATGATTGGAGGGCCCATCCTGCCCTCAGAAAGACCAGGACATGCCCTGCTCGAACAGTGGAACCCAGTTGGTCTTGTCGGCATCATCACTGCCTTTAACTTCCCTGTGGCTGTCTACGGCTGGAACAATGCCATCGCTCTGACTTGCGGCAACGTCTGCCTCTGGAAAGGAGCCCCAACCACACCGCTGACAAGTGTTGCAGTTACCAAGATTGTGGCTGAGGTGCTCGAGCAGAACAACCTACCCGGCGCTATCTGCGCCATGACCTGCGGAGGCGCTGATATCGGCACAGCCATGGCAAAGGATGAGCGCGTGGATCTGGTGTCGTTTACTGGCAGCACCCATGTTGGCAAGATGGTGGCCATGATGGTGCAGGAAAGGTTTGGTCGTAAGCTGCTGGAGCTCGGCGGAAACAATGCTATCATTGTTTTTGAGGATGCTGACCTGAATCTGGTGGTGCCCTCCGCTGTCTTTGCATCTGTGGGAACCGCTGGCCAGCGTTGCACCACAACCAGGAGGCTTATGTTGCACGAGAGTGTTCACGACACAGTGGTTGAGAGGATCGCTAAGGCCTACAAACAAGTCCGCATCGGAGACCCGTGGGATCCCAGCACCCTGTATGGGCCTCTGCACACCAAACAAGCTGTGCAGCAGTATCTGGCAGCCATTGAGCAGGCCAAGCAGCAGGGTGGCACTCTGGTCTGCGGAGGAAAGGTGATGGATCGCCCTGGAAACTACGTGGAGCCAACCATCATCACAGGGCTCGCTCACGATGCCCCCATTGTCCACACCGAAACCTTTGTCCCCATACTGTATGTCCTCAAGTTCAAGACAGAAGAGGAGGCATTTGCCTGGAACAACGAGGTCCAGCAGGGCCTGTCCAGCAGCATCTTCACCAAAGATATGGGTAGGGTTTTCCGCTGGCTGGGACCCAAAGGTTCCGACTGCGGCATCGTGAATGTCAACATTCCTACAAGCGGTGCTGAGATCGGAGGAGCCTTTGGTGGAGAGAAACACACCGGAGGAGGAAGAGAGTCAGGCAGTGACTCATGGAAGCAGTACATGAGGCGTTCAACCTGCACGATAAATTACAGCAAGGATCTTCCTCTGGCCCAGGGAATCAAGTTTGAGTGAAGCCTTCAGATAGTTTGTTGTTTAAGTGTTCGATGAGCTGTAAAGGACAACACTAAATGATTTAGTGGCAGAGTGTTGGCTAACAAATGCTAAACATAAGTCATTGCATTTTTGCATTCAGAAAGGTGAGTTTGAATAAAAAATTGGAATAATGTCAGATCTGTTGTCCTGTATCAGATCTCTGCCCATGGTTGCATTAGATGTGAATCCTGCTTTTGAAATAACAGTTTGAAAATAGTTTTGTTTTAAAGGTCAAGTAATTTTCATCCAAATGGTGTGCACTTTTTTACAAGCACTTAGAAAGTGAGCTAGATGACTGTACCAGATACTTCATACTGGAAAAAAAATAAAAAAATAAATCTTGCCTTTTATTTTGAAAGAAAAACTGGAGTGGACATTATTAATGTGTAGATTAGTCATCGCAGTACAAACAGCATTTCAGAAAAAAGTGTTTGTCATCAAGTTTTCCACAATCCTAAAATTATCATGAAAATAAAAAGACTGTTCAAGGTTGAATGAAGGTAGCTATGAAAACACTGGCTGTATTTCCTTTACAGATTTATTATTCTGTACTGCATCTAGAGCTCTCTTTAGAAAAGAGTCACACTGTGGCACTTTCCAGGTAACAACAAATAAAAGGCTTCATGTTGACGTGGACTTGGTCGGCCTATTTTTTTAACATTAATAGAGATTAATAATGGCAGCTGTTTCATTGCGCCTTGGTAATTTTTATGATCCTTATTTTTCCCATGTGTCTCTGATTTTGATGAGGAAGAAAAATTGTCTGATTGTTCACTGTTTTGAAAATGACACTGAAAATGAAATCATCTCTCATAGCTTGTATCTTAAAAGAAAATACTTTACTAATGACTATTTAAAGATGACAACCAGTTTTATGTAACTTTTCTGAAGATTTCAAAAGACAAACAATTGTATAAAATCAGACAGCAGACCATTTGCAAAGGAGGCTAAGCATTACTTTATTTACTTTAATACTAGACTTTATTTACAACCATTGTTTGAAAAGAGGAAGAAGAAAGTATTTGAACATGGATTGGCACTAGCAGTAGTGCTTAAAGGTTTCCACTGTCCATGTACAAATCAATGATCTGGCAGGCAGGCACAATCCAAAACCCACAGAAGTGTAATGGAATTACTCGGCCATCCTAGCGACAAAATGTAGCATGTGATAATTGGTGGTAAAAAAAATAACAGTTTTGTATACATTTTCCCACAGCACGCATTTTGACGTGACATTGTAGGAAGTGCCTGTTTAGCCTGCTGCCACTGCGACCCAGTTCTGGATAAGTGGAAGTAAATTCACAGATGGATGGATGGTAGGAAAAGCACAGGTGTTAGTAATAACATTTAAAAAGGCTCTGTTCTATTGAAAGGGACCCTAAAACTGAAGCAGCTAAATGGAAATCAGCCATCATTAACTTTATGGTTTACATCAGTGCTCTTTGCGACATATGAAAATATCCTATTGGCCTATTGTTTCAGATTCTCATTTCAGAGGAGGTTCTCACATCTGTCATGCTTTATATACTTACCAATGAATGTACTGTAGATGTTTTTGACAACATCAAAATGACCTTGTGGGAGTAATTGCCTCACCATGAACCCATCCTGGAACTCAGTATTACAACATGTTTGCCGTAAACAGCAGAGAATTTCTGGAAGTTGTCATGTAATGTCTAAGTATAGTATTGAAAAAATTAACACTGTTCCTTTAATAGAAATACTACTCTATCTCCCATCCTCCATGTCCCCCATATGCTCACCCTCCCAATCAGCAGCTGGCTACCTCATACTCCAGCTCCATCTCTCTCTCTCTCTCTCTCTCTCTCTCTCTCTCACCCTTTCTCTCTCTCTCTATTTACTGCCCCTCCCAGTAGCATCTACACTCACAGCTGAAAGGAAGAACTGAAAGGACAGCTCATATTCCATGCCATTTAGGACGTATGCAGAAAACGCCCACTTCCTCTACTATTCATCTTCACTGGAAAAAGGTAGAAAACCTTTAATTCTTTTTCTAAATGTAGGAGCTTCTGGTTTGCATTAATGCACAAAGTGGTGTTTCCTCTGGATTCATTCATCTGTGATTCACATCAGAACAATCACTGCCAGAGGAAACCTAAAATTAAAATAACTGCATATTCTTGGTAAATATGTACATAATGAAGCCTATTTCTACGGTTTAGAATAATATTTTTATTTTAACAAAGAAATGAATATCTGAAATCTGCACTAGAAGTGTTATTTGAATTAAAATGGAGATGGGTGTGGAGTCAAAACTAACAGTTGAGCCACCTCTGCAGAATTAATAGAGGAAACACTAGTGACTGTGGGTTTTGGCGGTGAGCTTGTCAAACCGATCTGTAGCTCTGGCATCAAAGATTGTGTTTAGTTTTCAGACAACTAGCAGATAATATCTTGGTCTTATCTCTAGTTCTGAACCTGTGATGCACCAAAATGTCAAGTCAGAATAGTGTTGTAGCTTTAACTGAGGGCATTTGAAAAGGGTGGTACTTCCTTAAAATTTTCCCCCCATACATAACTTGTGTGAATCACTTCTTCGGAAACTCAGAGCATGTTAGTTCACGCTTTGTGTTGCTTGTTGCACCCCTAATTTACAGAAGTGTCTGGGATTCCCCTGGACTGAAACACTCTCACTTCTTCTCTTTGCACATTTCCTCTGCAGCTTCTCCCTGAAACAGAACTTACAAGCTTCAAGCCTACTCATTCTGGTGTTGATTGACTCCTTCATGTACATATACATGTAACAGGTGCTTTAATTTCAACTTATAATACAGATGTTTGACAGGAAACATCTATGATGTTGCATTTTTGGAAAATGAACTTTCAGTCATAGGAGTATTTTTGGATATTTGCATTCACCTTTTAAATATACTATATATATATATAGTATATAAATATTTGCATGTTAATATTTATTTTAACATTAATGTCACTAACAAATAAATTCTTAAAAACTAAACTAAAAACTTTAAGACATCTGATTTAATTTTATCACTTATCATCTAGTCCTATTATTTCTTGAGTTATATGTGTGTTTGTGCACATTTTATGTGAATGAGCTGAAGACCATTCCACATTGGTGGACAATAAAGTTTTAAATTATTGTATTCTCTGAGTGAGACAAACAGCATTTTGAGTTTTGTTTAATTATATAAATACCTTATGTGATAGCATACTGATATTAAAGTATTGCTGTGGTATAATGATTAATTTAGTCCATATGTCCCACCTCCACCTCAAACTGGACAATTCTCTGTTGCATGTATGTGCTTCTGCCCTGTTCTGTTCATTTGGATAGCAACAGTACTTGGCCTTTGCCATCTGCAAATCTGACTCCACAATCGGTGTCCCGATCGTTGATGGTGACATGAGATGTCATTATCACAGAAACCATGAGGGCTCTTCACAAAGCTGCCGCTGTGACAGTCTCTCGTGGGCCAACAACAGCATGGAGATTAGACAAGAACCTGAAACAGGGACAGAGTAAACTGCTTGTAGTTACGCTCTGGACTTCTGAGAACCTATGCGTGAATATCACTGTGGATCCGCTGGGGGTGGTAATAGCTGACGTGCCAGATCTCTCCTTTTAGATTGTGTAAAATGCGGTGCAGTCATACATTCTGATTTAAGTACTGTGGAGGAAGGTTTTGCTTTTTTGGAGATATGAATGCACAACATTTGCAATGTGTTCACATCTAGCGAAAGCAGCACACATACTCCAGCCTATAAGAGTACTTATATTTACAAATTACATTAAAATGATCCAATCTGAGAAAAAGACCATAATGTGATCTTTGAACAGATAGTTCATCAGCAGTGTTTGACTCAAAGTGGATCATTTCAATTAGGCCAGTCAAGCCCAAGCTGTGCCAGTCAGCAAGTAAAACCCTGAAACTGTCAACATCTATTTTCCTCATCACACACAGAGAGAGAGAGAGAGAGAGAGAGGTGGCGAGCCCAGCAAGGCACGCATATTTTAAGTCACTTTGCACTCTTCAAGAGGGCCCTTTTTTCAGTAATCCATTATGCATAGCAGCTCTGGCTCTCCCTGGTATTTCTCCTACCTTCTTGACGTCAGTTGCCATTTGTGAGGGTTACCCTAGCAACGGCCAGCCTCCCCGGGAGATGTCTGGTGGATAAGACGGCCCTGATAAAGCCTTTTACGGTTATACTCTTGCTACACCTTTTTAATTGCCTTTGATATAGTGGAAGTATTACATGGAGGTCGTCAGGGTGCGTCGCCACATGTGGGCAAAAACTGGGAACATGCAGATAAAAATAGGCCTTGAGAAGCTGCTTCAGATTGACGTCCCATTATCTCCACTTGATTTGATCACCCACGTGTTGGGCTCATTTTTGAGCAGCCCTGTGAAACTGAATTGGACACTATAGATCTATTTTTGTTTACATTCTGCTCTACTCTTCTGTTACACAAAAGACATGTGTAAGAACCATTTTTAACAATGTGAGTAGTGATGAGACAATATGTATACAGCACGCAGCTCATCGTGATGCCTCTGAACAATGTGCGGATGTAATTATGAGATTATATGAAAAGATCAAATATCATCCGAGTTATTCATGTAAGCCATTAAACCGTAAATCCTCTATGGCATGCAAACTTGTCCATGCACATTATTGATTGTTGTAGAAAATGTATTATTGCCGCAGAGGTCAACGTCATTTTGCATCTATGCAAAACATCAGATGGCAAACAATGGGATGAAGACAACATCTGTCTACAAATACCAACCTGTTGTTAGTTTTGGGCCCTTTTTTTATACAGTAAAAGGGGTATTGTGTGGTCAGCTCTTGTTATTCCTCCTAAGCCCTAAAACCACCCTGACATTCAAATTATTTTATTCAGCTGCCTGACTGTTACTGCACTTTGAGCTCAGTTGCTTGCACAAGCCATGCTGTATTTGCATTGATTCAAAAATGTCTAATTCTTTGGCAACAATACAGTTGAGATACTGTAAAAGATACCTGTTCCAGGCTCCAGGAGACTATTTATAGCCTCACCAACATGTGTGTCTTTCTTTTTTTTCATACACCAGGCTATTGATGTGCTATTTTTACAGTGTCAATTTGCTCCCTCCCTCTCCATTTGGTTGCCAAGCAATGAGCCAAGGGACCTGATTGGCCAAGGATGTGCTTTTGGACACCTTGACTCTGATTCTCAGCTGGCTAATGAATTCAGTCTTTTTGCTCGCTAGAGGCACACAGCAGAAGAGTTGATCCCTTCTTGTGTTGTTTAAAAAAAACATCCCTGTAAACCAATCTCTGGTCAGAAAAGGCTAAAATATTAAATCAATGAATTGTGTAGTAAAAATGCATAACTAGAGTTGAGCTGTAGTTGCATGCTTTATATTAACCTTTGAACAATCATTATTAAATCTGTTAAGCAACAGAAGACACGACACAACAGAAAGCTTGGGATAACCCACGATTATATCATCTTTAAAACAAGTTAGGCTATGGACGAAACCTGTTTGTGTATCATTGTTCATACCACCCATACATTTAACAATAACAGTAAAACCATTCGGACGTCATGATTATTGTGAGGATGTGAGCACTATTTGTGTCTCCGATATAGTGTCAGATTTGCGGCTCACACTTGGTATGTATCATCCAATTTCTCTAAACTATGTGAGGATTTTCAGCTGTATACAGTTCGAATTAGAAGCTAGTATAGAGGAATTAATAAATGTTCTCATTTTGTAAGTAACACTTTGTAACACTTCCTGTGCATTCCTGTTTTTATGAATGTGTTTATTGCCTATCTCAAGGCTCCACTAATGACACACCAACCACAACATATGTTTCTGATATAATGCTAATCCTAATCCTCATAATTTGTTTAGAGGGAAATTGGTCTGACACACCTAAACTACTGCTGTGTGTGTGTGAATTCAATTAGACTTAATCTGACCCCATGCCACTCCGAAAGGAAACCAAGGGCTGGGCAACTTTCATCTTCCCTCCATTGATTATGGCTCGTGCAGAGATATGGAAAAGCCTATCCCACTGCTCCCTTTCATTGGCCCCATTAAAAATTCATCCTGTCCTAATGGAGAGAGATCCTTTTCAATGAGCCCACTGCAGGCCAACCGTGGTGTGCCGTGCTGAGACTTGGCACAGCTGTCTTCTGGCAAAAATCAAACCTTACAGCTTTAGGTTTTGAAATAGAAACTGATTCATCTTCACTTTTCTGTGTTGTAGTTACTGGATATATTGTAAATGATTTAAGTCTCAAAAGTGTAGGAACAGAAAGAAACAACATTCTGTAGTAAATTGTCTTCCATTTCCATTGTTTTCATGTCACTTGGAACAATAAGATAATTTATTATAAGTGTGTAACCAGTACGTAATTTACAATCTGACTATTTATATGCCTTTGGATAAAAGCGTCAGATAAATGTAATGTAATATTGATAAACTGACTAATCATTTGGTCTCCAAAATGTCAGAAAATAATGAAAAATGCCCATCACAGTTCCCAGAGCCCATATTAAAATATTTGTTTTGTCCAACAAACAGTTCAAAACCCAAAGATGTGCAGTTTACTGTCAAAGAACACAATCAGAAGAAAATTAATTTAAATATTACTTTAAAAAAATGAGCAATATACCATAGATTTACACCTCTTCTGCTTTATTCTGTGTTAGACCAAAAAGTGGCTTTGCAAACCTGAGGTGAAGTCCTTTTGAAGCACTGTAATACTACTACTACTTTATAGGTCTAATATTTGTTTCCTGTATCCCATTCGGTTCCTTTTTGTTGAGGGGGCTGACAGACGGTACCATTTCGTCCATGGGTTACAAAACAAATTTCAGTCATTTCCCCAAACATGAAGGAAACGTTATTACCGATTGTTTTTGAGTACTTGGTTTATTATAACGAGACTTAGCGACAGACTGATATTTTAAAACGTTTTATATTTGCTAGTTTAAAAAAAACATGAATCTATTCACCACCACGCACCCCTCAGCGTAGGCTGTTGCCATGTTCCCACTTTCATGGGTGTGGTGATTAGCTTGCTTGGTGAAAAATTTAGTCTAATCCGACCGGAGTTGTGCTGGCTTCTACCCCTTTAAACCGATTAAATTGTCTTAAAATTAACGCGGCTGCCTTTGCGATTTCTCCCACAGCTGGGACCATGGTTGTCGTTTGAAAACGGATCGGTGTGATACAGATTGCAAGGACGGACAGAGTCAAAAAAAAAGCCTGTTTCAGGTAAGGACGTGTTGTCTTGTCTTGATATTTTGGTGGATTTAAGGCTATTTCCTGCTTTGCTAACGGCGGCTCTATTTTGTTTTACATAGAGGGTGAGATGCAAAAATGTCCGTACACTTGAAATATTGTCACTGGTCTGAGCAGCAGTGTAGCTCTTGACATAACTGTTCCCAGGCTACTATTGCCTCAGTGCTGTTTTTTTCCTTCTAAGCAAAGCTTTCCACTGCTGAAAATTTACTGCTGAAAATTCACTGCTATCCAAACGCGGCCTTTTACAGGCTGTCAAACGATTCACAGGCGGAACTACAGGGGAAAAACCTTTCACTAGTAGACACACATGTCGTCTGATCCCATTTCATACATCAGATTTGTCATTTGTGGCTACACGAGACCCTGCGTAGCTTAAATTCCCTTTTTCTATTAAATATACATGCCAGTCCGCCTTCAACCGAGAGGCAACTGGTAGCGTGACGGGGCGCGCGACTCATGCAATTTGTTGCTTGTGTCAGAAATGTATCTCGACTCAGATCAATTCATAATAGATGTTAATTTAATCTAGAGTCTCTGTGTGTCCAAACGATGTAGCTGATGGCTTCCTGTCTTGATTGTTGTTGACAGTCGGTGTATAAGGCTGGACAGTGGGTTGCTATTGATGCACGATATAGTTACAGTATGAAGTAAGTTTGTGAAACTTAATCATGTATGTTGTCAATCCGCAGCTTATTTTGGCCTGGTTAACGTTAGTACTTACCTACATGTTTCAGTACATTTGGCACGTTTAATCAAATGTGAAGGTGGACAGTATTGTGATTAACATAACGTTTAAATATAAATAAAGTGTGTATGATGGCCGAGTAGATAACATACACTTGTTCATTTAGAAGAGTTATATCACTTAACTGTAATACAGTCTTTAAAGCCAGGTAAAGCTTTAAAGGTTCGCCAATGATTAGATAAGTTGATCAACAGAAAATAAATGACAATAATTTTGATAATTAATGCTTTATCATTTGTCAATTATCCTGCGATAATGCCAAAAACTCTCTAGTCAGGTTAGTCTACTAAATGAACAAAAATCAACAGATCATCAATAATTAAAGTAATTGTTATTTGCAGCCCTACAGCCAGGAAAAGACAACACCGATAACATTTTACAGTAACCCCTGGAAAATGAAAGCCAGTATACAGTACTCACAATAATAATATTGTGTGCATTGAGCTCACAGGTTTGGGTCGGTAAAATAATCAGTATATCATAAATATAATAATCAACGTTAATTTGAATTTTATTGCATCTCCTATTTGTACAGCTGTGTTGCCAAACCTATACCACATCTTACCACACCTATGCCACACCTCAGAGAAACTAACTTGTGGTAAAAGCAAAAAAACAGCAGTTTTTATAACTGGACCCATTATACCTTCGCAGGAAATCTCGAACTTTAACGTAACACAATTGTGCTTCACTTCAGTTTGTGCATGTCACTTAAAATCCGTCTTGTCCAAACAGGCCCCATCTTATTGGGCTCTTGTAGTTTTGATTAGGAATTACGTATGACTGCATTATGTGTAATTCTGTAACCATCTGGTTTAGGTGGGGTGAAACCTGTGATCAAAGTAGGTCATACTGTCAGATCTGTGCAATAATAAGCAAAATCAAACTTTCTAATTTTGCTGGGTACCAACCAAAACACCTACATGGTGGCTCCGACTGATGCGTATATCTTCCATACCAGATATTCTCTAAGCAGTTTTATATATATATATATATATATATATATATATATATATATATATATATATATATATATATATATATATATATATATATATATATATATATATATATATATATATATATATATATATGAATGATGTAAGATATGTGAACATATGTATCAGCTGACTTGGAGGTAGACATGTGGCCTCTTACCTTACTGGAATCTTACCAGGTATTTCCTCCATTCCTTTGCATAGTCAGTGGGTTATCTGAACAAGTTTACTGCTGGTGGAGTGGCCCTGCTGGATCCAGTTTTCACTTTCACACACCAAACCGTGGTGATTTATCCTGCTCATTTTCAGCGGGGCCCATCAAGTACAGACACTCATGGCTCCTGAAATTGGCTCTCATATAGAAACTGCTAGGACAAGAACAGGTGTAGGTGAATGGTTATTGTCTTTTTATAAGATGTTTAACACAATTTGAACAAAATACCTGAACAAAGTTTCTATCCTTTAGCAGTGTGTATCATAAATGTAATAAAAATGTCTGAAGTTGATGAATTGTGTAGAAGCTGATTTGGATACAAGGAAGGGAAAAGGGCTCCATAATTGTTGGACTTAAGCCTTTAGATTGTAGAATTATTACAAATTAAAACGCATCGTAACATTTGAAAACAGACAGTCTGTAACCAGGGAAATATTCAAGTCAGCGAAATGTATTGTAAGTGAGCGAAATGTCTTAATGTACAGAAAGTAAAGAAAGTGTAATTCAAAGTCTTGTCATTTTATATTGGAAATAAGAATACTTGTATCCAATGCAGGCAGTGATTTTGATAATGATAAATATTAAAATTTCACTGTAAACACGGGTATAAGTGCTCACAGTTGGCTATAGTGGAACAATTTATTCAGACCTTGGCTGTTCATAATGTTAATTCCTTAACTTCCTGACAATTCCATGTTGTTGGGCCCCTGTGGCTCTGGGTGCAGCTGCACTGCCTGCACCTCCTGCTGCTCTGTTCGCCAGTATTTAATTTTTTTGATCAGGGCAGATGCGACTGATTTTCTACTGTATGTGACCTAGAAGGAGCAGAAGGTGTCTCTGACAGATTTATGTTAGATGCAATACTGATGAGTGTTATGACTCCCATCATGTTTGTTGTGAATCTTCACTTTGAACTGCTTCTGGATTTTGTTTTCACGTTCTCTTAAAGCACTTATGGTTGTATATTTGCTGCTGATCATAAACTATCTAGTGAGCAGGGACACACACTGTAGGGTCTCCTGTAACAAATATCTTGTGACCAAGTGACTGACGATGACCTTACTGCTGAGATGTTAAGATCTCTCCATGTGTCTGAGTGGCATAAAAATGAAAGTGAAAGTTTGCATGCCAGTGTCTCAAACATGATAAACAGAATACAGTCATGTTAACACGCTACAGCAGCCTATGATGTTTTGACACCTGAACCTAGTGTTGTAGTGAAGACCACCCAAACCAAGACCGAGGGAGGGCGAGACAGAGTCAAGACCAAGACCAGTTCCCCACCTTACATGACACACAATAAAATGTGGAACGATAGGATCATAGGTACCTCTCAAATTGATCTGAAAGATCCACACACCTATTAAAACACCCACATACAAAAACCAAGAGCTGAAACCAACTTAAGCATCTTTATTCAACACTCCTTTTCCATGCTTACAATCGTGGGGAGGGGTGACAGTCGTTAACGGGAACAACACATTTTTAATTAGGGTTATTGGTTGCATTTGAAGCAAAACGTTTTACATCCAATCAAAGTTAGGATGTTAACAAATAAATCAGACAATGCAAAAGCAATTTCTTGATATTCCCAAAGTTATGGTCTTGACTGGACTCCTCAATTTCCGAGACCGAGACAAGACCGAGTACAAATACGGTCGAGTCCGAGAGGAGTCCAAGACCGGTCTCGAGTACTACAACACTACCTGAACCAACTAAAGGGCTGCAACTAAAGATTATTTTCATTATCAATTCATCTTCTGATTATTTCCCTGATTAATTAATTTAATTGTGTGGCTTATAAAAATGGCAGAAAGTCAGTAGTAAATAAATGCCCGCCACAGTTTCCCAGAGCCTAGAGTGACATCTTCAAATCCATTGGTTCAAAACCCAAATATGTTCAGTTTACTATGAGAGAAAGCTAAGACAATTAGCAAATATTCACATTTGAGAAGCTGTGGATTTTGGCATTTTGCTCAAAAAAGGACTTTATAATAAATCAGTTAGCAAAATAGGTGAAAAATCTGTCATTTGACTAATCGATTAGTCAACTGATTAAAAAAGCACATGCAAGCTGCATGTGCTTTTTTATTATATACCAGTCAAAGACACATTTCAAAACTTATACTTAAAACTTATATAATTTATCAAAGTTTTTGCTTAATATAATTGTTTTTATTCTGGCCATTAAAATAATGTATTTTCTGTTGTCTCCTTTTATTTCTGTCTGTTGTTGCTTATTTAATCCCTTTACTGATTACATTTTATGTTAGATACCATAGTTATTGGTTAACTGATACATGTATGATTAATTTTTTAATTAAAACCACCATGGACACTATCTATAACCAGAGTGGTGTGTAATGGTCATTTATAAGCTCCTCTGGCATTGTTAGAAGACTTTGTCAACACAGCAGTGATTTGAAGTGTAATCGCACCTCATTCTTTTCATTGACCAAATGCAAACATGTGATTAAGAGCATGCCTACATCAATTTCTAGCTAACTACTGGCTGAGATTTATAAAAGAGAATTATGTGTAGGCACAGCCCTATGAAAGTGACGCAAAGTGCACCGGTTTGCCTTTTTCTGCCTTCCTGCAGTTTTTCTTATGCCAATGAATGGAAGCTGTTTTGGTCCCAATTCAGACACAGTGGTCTCTTGCTGGCTGTTGGGAGCTTCATCATGAGCTTGAACATGTTGGTTGGTGTCAGAAGGGCAGTAACAATTATAGCTTCCCATGGCCAGTCTCAGAGACCCAACTGCGGTGGTGCCAAGCAGCACTATCTACTGTAGCTGGCAGCCACATACTAAACAATGGGCATCTCCAACACACAGCTCTGCCTTTGTCGCCCCTGATACTGTGCCATGCTCTGGGCCTGCATTGGGCCTGCCTGGCTGGCTGCATGACTCCACTCTCACATCTGGAGAAAAGACACACATAGTTGCTCACTGAGGTTTACCACTAAGGTAAACTTTACCTGTTCCTTTTGTAGGGACCATTTGTCTTTGTGGTAGCTTATTTTGGCTGCGGTTGACATGTGGTTACTTATGACAGCAGTAATGAGTGGCCTGTTTTGGTTTTGAAATGACTAATATTTAGTATCCATGTGTAAATGAGACAATTTGTTGTGGCACTTTTAACAAGTCACTCCCTTGGCCTGCCTAAAATCAGAGCTGTCCGTTTTATCCAAACTGATAGTAAAGCACCCCAACACATCACGTTTTTTTTTAAGCGTCACCTTCCATCATACCTGCGTTATTTTCCACCACCATCTCTCTTGTGTGCTCCGTTGCCTTTCACAATACAAGCCTCAGGCTGAAAGCATCGATTGAAAATATTTAAGAGTGTAGAAGGTCATGTTGGGTGTTTTGGTAGTCCACAAGGCGCTCTCTGTGACGTGGCAGATTTCAGAGGCATACAGTATAATGGATCCATGGCGGTCATAGAACAGCACCACATCATAGGCGAGCTGACGCTGAGAGCATCTCTTCTGGGGGATTGCGTCAGCTAAGAGTGATGTCACTCCTGGGCAGCTGAATACATTGCAACGCTCGCTGTCCCTGATGGCTCGTTACTCTCAAAAACCTCTTTGGCTGAGACACAAGTCCACGATGAGCAGTCCAAGGCATCCTCTCTTCTGTTAGCAGAGCAGAAGCACAATGACCAAAACCAAGTGAACCAGGAATCCAAAAGAGTAACTTCCCACACACTTACAATATCTTAGGGAAATCTCAGCAGCATGAATGAAAATCATTGTCTTTGTCATTGTCTTTTCACTGTTGGGATGTTATTTTGTGGTGAATAAGTAGCTGGGGCCCTCTGCAAAAAATGAAGATAAAGCACAAATGATCCTCCTCTTTGCATTAACAGGATTTTCTGAGGAGAGGAAGGCCTGGACTCAGTCTAATTGTTAAATTATAGAAAATGGAACTGAAAATTTAATCTCTGAGGGTTAGACAGCTGACTGTAAAACAGCCTGGAAAATGACGGTGGGTGGTGCAGTCCAAACATTTCTGAGGAGTGTCTAAGTGCTTTGTGACCCACATTCAGGCTCCCCAAGGTAAAGGAAGTGGCAACTCGCACATGCATATACGCGCACACACATACGTGCATGCACGTACAAACAGATGCTCAGTCTGACACACATTTAAATAAACGTCTGTCACATAATGTATACACACGTAGTTAAATAAATGAACATATGTTATTTTGCTCATTTGGAAATATTGCCTAATAAGCCATCCAGATCTGGCCACAGTACAAAACACACACACACATTCACAGCTCTTTGGGACGGGCCGGGCAAACAGCACAACGCAACAACACAAAAGGCTGATTGAGACAGGAAAGGTCAAAGCCTGGCTCATTTGGCCTTTTGAACCAGACTGTGGGTGTTTGAAGAGCCAGGCCACCCTCCAGGCCCACCCTTCGCAGCACCCTCCTTTGGTCTGAACCCATACAGGATAGCTATGTTTGTCTGATGGAAGTTCCCATCCTTCACTCTCCGTGTGCCTGTTGAGCTCATAGTATTTCTGTCTCTCTTTTTTTTTTCTTGCAGGTGTCAGCTGGTAAAACGTGTGAGGGTGAGTGAGTGAGCGAGCGAGTGTGTGTGTGTGTGTGTGTGAGTGTGTGTGAGTGCGTGTGCGCGTGCTTGCAGGCACGTGTGTTTGCCCAGCCCAGTCAGTATTTGGAGTGGAATACGGCCTGAACACATCACAGAGGGACAATGAGTGAGCTGGAACAGTTGAGGCAGGAAGCCGAGCAACTACGCAGTCAGATCCGGGTACGGCAACACTTTGTGTGTGTTAGTACATCACATGTGTACCACTGTCCAGTCACTGCAAGCTGTGACTCACAGTTTCAGATGAGAATGGTAACGCGCTCTGCATATAACCTGTCAATCGGCCACTTTCATTCTTGTACAGAAATTAGATTGTAGGAATTGATCTATAAATGTCAATTGCTTTTGTGTGACTGTTCCGTGACCATTAGAACTTGTGGCACATGTTTAGACACGTTTGTCTTTTAAAGTTTGTTTATTTGTGACATTGTTAGTGTTTGTCTGTGCAGTAACCACGTGTTACATCTAACTATGCAGCGACTGAAAAAAATGAACTTTGTTGCTGGTCAGTGTGATTATTAAGGTTTTTGTTGTGTTGCAGGATGCCAGGAAAGCCTGCAGTGACTCCACTCTGTCACAGGTAAGACTTCCCCACCACATATAGAATACTGTGTAAACAATTGCAAACCATGAATTAAGTTTTGACCCTTTAAGTTGTAATGTAGCCTGTTCATTTCTATATCAATTGGACTTTTCTGAAGCTAGATAAGACAATCTCGCTTGTGAATACTTGAGAGAAATACAGTTGTAACAAAAAAAACTTGTCATTGCCTTCAGTGTTAGTCAGTGGCTGATCGGTAGAAGGTGGTAGAAGTGTCAAAATAGACATTACAAATCGTTCCTGGTCTGCCCTCGGCCTGTCAGCATTTACAACATGTTGTCACTGCATCCATATAAATATAAATATTCCACAGACATTATGTAGAAATTTAACCGCCAGGGTTATTTGTCATTGTCAATTGTGGAGCGATGTCGGGCAGTTTTTGCTGCCTCAGCTAGAGTCTACAGTCCAGTAATGTGTGTATTTGCGGTGATAAAACTGTGTGGGCCTTGGGTGTCACAGCTAACGCTTCTTCCTGTGTTTTGGCAGATCACAGCTGGTCTGGACTCAGTGGGCCGGATACAGATGCGGACGCGACGCACTCTCAGGGGCCACCTGGCCAAGATCTATGCAATGCACTGGGGTAGCGACTCCAGGTAGTGAACTTATTCTACGGACAACTCAATTGGCTAAGAGTAGTATAGAATATGAACCTTTTAATTCCTTTTGAGTTTTTGTTTTTTTGTCGTCTTGTTCTGATTTATCTTTTTATTATGTTTTATTTTTAGGAACATTTCTGATAATTGGCAGACATACAGTCTGTACTTTAAGATAACATTTAACTCTCTTCCCCCACTTCTGGAAAGTTTTGGGATACCTTACAGAAGAGACTACTGCACTGTTACACCCTCAGTCCATTGTCTACTAAATGTTTTTCAGCAAAATAATTTTGATGCAGTGGTTGGCCCTGGTTTGGTGGGGTTTTTTTCTGCTGTCTACGTGATGATGCTTTAGGTTGCTTGCTTGATGGTTTCCACTCAAAATAGTCACACTGGAATGTAATTATATCTGCTCTTTAGTTTAAATGAATTACCTACGGTGGCCCACAGGAGACAAGGGTCACTAAAAAATGGTAATGCTTTAAAAACACAAAGGGATGCTAATAATCAGCACATTTTAGCCCATTTTCTTTTCTAATTTTATTGGAATTATACAAACTTTGAAGGTCACTTCCCCCCTGAGGCTTAATTTCTGTCACCTGCCAGCAGACTGTGGAATTTCTAGACAATATCTACAGTTTGCCAGGGATGGACAACAAAGTGCCTCCAAGGGCTGTCAATCTGTAGGTTTTCATTCCAGCCAAACATGGACACGCCTTCAGGCACCGCGCAGGGAGCTTTCAATAAAATCGCCAGTCTGGTATCGGTCTAATCTCTGTCTTGGAAATTGACTTTACTGCGTAAATTCTTATATTAGTTGTAATATCTAATGTATTTTCACAACTTTACTATCTATATCTAGGCCATGCAATGTAGCAAAACTTCAGCTATGGCAGCATATCGGTACCAAATTACTCACTGCAAATATGCACTAGTATAATTACCGAAACATTTTGGGGTTTTCAACAGCTTGTATCAATGTAATGAAACAATTTATTCTGTGTTTAATATGTCTGTGTCACTCTTTACCTTTCTCTCTGTCCATCTGTCTCCCAATGCAATGCACTGGGGCAGTGACGGAAGTCCCAGGTGTGGGGCTATATTACTACCAGTACCACTATTACCACTACTACTACTACTCTACTAATATGACTAATACAGCCATAATGTACTGTCACTACTGCCACCTCCACTACTACTACTGTACATCTGTCTAGCACTGTTTTTTTACGCCCTCACTATGAGCACAGTAATGATATTCACTGGGCATAGAGACAGGCAGCCACCACAGCTTATTTAATATTGCCTTAAAGATGCAGTTTGTAAGATCTAAACCTCTTTGACAGTTTTCCAAATGTATTGATGATTCAAAATGAATCGGTGAGTGAAGTTAATCTCTGTCCAGATTTGACTGCAACTGTGAGTTGTCACTAAATCAAAACTTACAAACTGCTTTTTTAACTGTTTACTAGATTTTTTAACACTGATCCCACACTTCAGTTCTGTTAAATTGGATTTCTCTTTTTTACACCACAAAAATCTGTGTTTGAGTGTAACTCTGTTTGATTACAAAGCTAAATACTGGTATTACCTGCAGTTGATGATGCATAGGCTGTTCATTCCTGATTATTCTGTTAAGTGTGTGTATTGGTGTGCATGTGTGTGCCTAGCCACCCTCTGGGTGACCCTGCAGGAGTCCAGTGTTTATTTTGTATACAGCCAATGACATTTGAGTGCGATGGGTCTCCTCTTGATTGTAGCGTAGCACTGTCAAACTACTTCCTGGAGAGATGGAAACTCAGTCAGGGTGGGAGGGAGGGGTTCCGGTTGTCTCTGCATCTGCACCACTTATTACTCTCACTCTTTACTGATTGTTTGTACCTTGTACTCTTCTGTCTTCCTCCCTTTTTTTTTTTTTTTTTTTGCTGTACCTTCATGCTGCCCCACCTCAGCTTCTTACTAGTGCTTTCCCAGCCCCTCAGACTTCCACCTCCCGCCTGACAGCAGGGACTTTTACATAACAGGGGTAATGAATATTAGATGTATGGGGACATTTAAAAGTAGCTTCCCTGGATGAGGAGACATCCACCAGGAGGGGGCAGAAAGAGGGAAGATGGAGGGGAATGAATGCCATTTACCCATTCAGACAGTATAGCACAGTAGTCTGCTAGGTGGCTGGCTATCATTGCTTTTAATATGCATGTACCGTAGATTATGTGTTTTGGGTTTGTTTTTTTTCAATGTGGGAGCCAAGTCTAATGCTGCTGTTCTTAACTTGTTTCCAGGTTACTTGTCAGTGCCTCACAAGATGGAAAGCTAATCATCTGGGACAGCTACACGACAAATAAGGTGAGATTATGTGATAGAATATGTCATATGTACAAGAATAGTTGTGTTAAAATCCACATACGTTACAGTACATGTAAAAGTTTTCTGAAATGTGCTGCTCCTGTCAGATTTCACTGACTCTACTCTTTTTGATTGGAGAGAGGGTTTGATAAGCTGATATCAAGTGTCCAGATGTGTTTTGTTGGTGAAATAGTGAAAGCATACGAGAGAAATCACACAGACTTATTGTTATGCAAATTTAGATTTGTCTTCTAACTAGACTTGGTTGAAGAAAAAATTTGTCTTATTACCCATAAATAATGGAATAAAAATATGTGGTCGCCTCATGCCTTATAGCTTTAATTCAGCATCTATACCATCTGAACCTCTGTGCCTTAACAGTACGGAGATATTGCTCATACACTGTTTTCACATCTAAAGTGCAGAAAGAAACCCTAGATTCGCTTGTAAATGTTAAGTCCTGTTGCCTTTGCACCATCTGATGTAATTATGTTTTCACGTTGGTTATTGGCATCTTTTGCAACAGTGCCACTCAGACATCCTATTCTGAAGTACAGAAAATAATTTTGTGAGCTGTTGATTTAAAAGCACCACACAGCATTTTGGATTAAAACATTAAATGACCCAGAATAAATAAATTATCCTTAAAGATCAACATTATTTCCCTTTTTGCATTTCATGAAGAAATAACTGACTCTCCTTGTCCTCAGATGCACGCCATCCCTCTGCGCTCTTCCTGGGTGATGACGTGCGCCTATGCCCCCTCTGGGAACTATGTGGCCTGCGGAGGCCTGGACAACATCTGCTCCATATACAGCCTGAAGACCCGCGAGGGCAACGTGCGCGTCACCCGAGAGCTACCCGGACACACAGGTAGACACATGGGCCAGCCAACAAATAGTGCTTATAAACTGAGCCTGTCTTTGGCTGGACTGAACAGAACCACTAACCCTGAGCATATTAAATGTTATTTCGATACTAACTCATATTCTTAGCTGAGGACAGCACTCCAGCATGCCTGATTTGGCCAATACCTGTGAAGCACACATTCTCTTACTGTAGATTTAGATTTCAGATATTCTGTATAGACGGGCTGGCAGGTTCAATGAGTCAAAAGAGGAAAGGTGTTGTTGTTTTTCTCCTGTTTTTATGTTTTCACTGGCTTATATACAGTACGTCTTCTGGCACAAACATTTCCTTGAAAAGTAAGATAGATCAGTGTGGGGGCTTTGTCTTTCCCATGCACTGTAGTCAGGACAATGTAAGCATGTAATATGGAAAAAAGTAAAATTTTCATTAGGCTGTCAGCCCAGGCAGAGAAAGAGAGGGTAGTATTTTATCATGGTGAGAAATTGCCTTCACAATAATTTCACTAATATACTCATGCAACTCTACCCCCGGGGCTACAGTGCTGGATAAACATGCCTGCTTAAACCAGTATCCCCCAAAAATAAGTTTTGTATTTCAAATCACAGGATTTGGATTAAGGGTGGACTCAGCTACCTGTGCACAATGAAATCCAAAAATGAGTAGGAATGCTCTTTAGGGCCACAGGCCACACTTGCATGACACAACATTTTGAAGAAGGATTAGCACAGCAGTAAAAGTTCAGTTGTGGTAGACCACCGTGTGGGTAGTTAAAGAGTTAAGGGTCATGCCCAGGGGTACTAACAGGGCAGGGCACTGCAGTGCTCTCCTTATCTGATGCTGAACCTCTGTTTATCTCCAGGTTACTTGTCCTGCTGTCGTTTCCTGGATGACAACCAGATACTGACCAGCTCGGGAGACACCACCTGGTGAGCAATGCCTCTCTGCTGCCGCCGCACAGCTTAAAGACATTAACGCTTTACATGATGGAAATATTTTATTGATATTCCTGTTTCCATGCTGCACAGTAGACTGAAAATAATTCTCATTATATAAAGTTAATACTGTAATGTAGGAGCTGGAACCAGCAAATATTTGACATTTTTGCTTGAAAAATTACTAAAATCATTACTTGATTATCAAAATAGTTGACAATTAACTTTCTTTCGATTGATGAATCAATTATTGTTGCAGCTCTAATTGTCTCTCACACACAGAATCTTCCTGTGCTGTGTAATTCACACCTGCGCCTTCATTATAACTGAGGGGACACTTTGGTTACTCTTACCTAACCACTACCTACTTTCTTGCAGCGCATTGTGGGACATAGAGACAGGCCAGCAGGCCACGTCCTTCACTGGCCACACAGGGGATGTGATGAGTTTGTCTCTAAGCCCGGACTACAAGACCTTTGTGTCAGGAGCCTGCGACGCCACCTCCAAGCTGTGGGACATCCGTGATGGCATGTGCAGGCAGTCCTTCACCGGCCATGTGTCCGACATAAACGCTGTCACCGTGAGTACTGAAACTTTAGTCACATACACACTGCAGAAAGGAAGAACATCTGGATTTGCTATAGAAACCACTGCTGCTCGTGTCTACCATCCAAACATGCTGCTGGTGCTGTTACAAGAAATATTCTATGGCAGTTTTCATGAGAATGAAAACTAGACCGTAAGAGATTGAATTTTAACTGACTATGTTGTGGAGGTTAGACATTTTGATCTTGACAGTATCAGTATCTTGGAAAAGGTAAATTATAAAGTATAGACATACTAAAACCCACTGCACCTTATTTTGAAGAGAAAATATGATGCGAGTCAAGTCAGTGATAAGAAACAAAGAATCTATTAATTTCCTGATTAAAATAAGGAAAAAAAAATCTTTTAAGTGTTTGTTTTGTTGTCTGGTTAACAAGCCAGACCATTATTGTTTTACTTTTTTTATCTTTTTGTTGTGGCAATCTAATTCAGTGGACAACATTAATACACTGGAAATCCAGTGTTACTCATGTCAAAGTACTCCCTGCTCTGGGAAAAATAAGAAGCCTCTTTTTAAAGAAAGCCTCTCTTCAGAGACTCAAGAAACATAATATAATGACTTAACGCCTTCCTTACTTCTGCTTGATTTACATTTTTTTCTCCTGCAGTTTTTCCCCAATGGGAATGCCTTTGGCACAGGCTCAGATGATGCCACCTGCAGGCTGTTTGACCTGCGTGCCGACCAGGAGCTGATGATGTACAGCCACGATAACATTATCTGCGGAATCACCTCCGTGGCTTTCTCCAAGAGTGGCCGACTGCTCCTGGCCGGCTACGATGACTTCAACTGCAACGTCTGGGACACTCTGAAAGGCGAGCGTGCAGGTAAGCAATGTCAGAAATCTGTTTTATTTGAGGTGACAGATGAGGAGACCATGTTTTCATGAGACTTGATTTCCTAACCTGCATTTACACTCCAGAAGTCGCTCAAACCAGTGTTCTTGTTCAGTGACATCAGCAAAAATCTGCGTGGGGTACATTTTTTTCCTTTAACTTTGATTTGGACCACATGAACAATGAGGCATCAAACCTAATATGACTTGCATTTGACCACTTAAATCCAAACGTGTTATGACCATTAGGGTCTACAGCATCTTGGATTTTGTCCTGGCAAAGTGTGTAGTTAAAATATGTGTGTTGTATGTTTATTTCCTCACTGCACAAAGTGAGATAATTGCACATAAACCTAATTGTAACCTGAAAACTAACTTAAGATTTTTAATAGTCTTAATTCATTTTAAGACTTCAAGAATTTATATTTTTATAATTTGGTTACAAAGGCAGGTGTGCCATCTGTGCCATCTGTTACTGTATTGCACACACATTTAAATGTGCTTTGGTAATAGTTTATTTTTATTGGTAACATTTGGTCTATAAAATGTCAGAAGTTTTTATTTATTTTTTACTGTTTTCTGATGTTTTCTAGAATAAACAAATAGTTGAGAAAATAATCTGCAGATCAATTGATAATGAAAATAATCATTGACTGCTGCCACATAAGACAAAGAATTCTCACATTATAACTGGAAATTTTGGTTTGTGCTGAAACAATTTCTCTAAATAGTTCCCAGTTATTTTTCTGTCACACGTAAGTTGCATCCTGGAATAGATATGAACAGGCATCGTAATAAATTAGAAATGGGCAGCAAATTGAAAATTAAACATAAAAGCATGTAGTGTGATTTCTGAGTAATTAATGATGTTATGATTTAATGGCTCTTGATTTGGGCTTTGGGTTCCAGATTTTTTGGAAATATTTTAATTGAAGTTATTTTCTTCGACCTCCAGGTGTGCTTGCGGGCCACGACAACAGAGTGAGCTGCTTAGGGGTGACAGAAGACGGCATGGCTGTGGCCACCGGCTCCTGGGACAGTTTCCTCCGGATCTGGAACTAAGGAAACCTCTTCCCTGTTGTACTCAATCACTGCCCTCCAACTTCCTCCCCGCAACCCCACCCTACATATCCCAACTTATCTGCTGGGCTGGACATGCGGGGTACACACTGTGTCAGCCGAAATCCTCTAATGACACCCCCAGTTCTGTGCTCTATTGGCGACCTGCCCACTTGTGAGAAAGTACCAACTCTTTCTACCTTTCAAAGTGACGTTTTTTTCACCCAGCTATTACACAAAAACAAAAATAAGAACCTTTCAATAGAGTTGTCCAACCAGAAATAAAAAAGAGATGCGTTGAATCTGAAAAATAGAAGATTTCGACCTTATACCAATTCTCTAGAAGGCGATAAAGAGCGTCTGTTACCATGAACAAGATCAGCGTTGGTGTGTAATATGTAAATGTATATATAAAGACAGTATATATGTATAGCATTATGTGTGTATATATGCATCATATATGCATATATAATGTGTATGTATATATTTTTGTAGTTAATTTCCCACCCTTGAGTTTTTTTTAATGATTTTGGGGGTTTTATGTTTTATTTTAAATGTACATAATCACAATTTCTACACAACATAATGCCAGAAACACTTTTATCCTGTGTGAGTACCAGCATGTCAGACCATTTAGACACAGCAGCGTATTGTAATTTCACCTAACAAATCACCTTTCATTTTCTAAAATTTCTGGTACTTGCTGATGTAGTTAAGTCCACTCATCCAGCAACAAAAGAGGATATAGCTAGCAAGCAAAACAATTTGCAAACATTTGGCCCAGCTAAACTTATTTTCCTTAGTGTGTGTGTGTGTGTGTGTGTGTGTGTGTGTGTTATGGTTACAGCCAGTTGGCATAACTTGTGCATCCTGTATCTTCAAATGTCGTGTCCATGTGAATGATGGCTATGATGGTATTTTTTATTTTCTTTTAACAATGCGACCCCTGGCATCCCTCACCAGTCTTTACATTAGGAAGGAAACCGTCACACTGCTGTGGTAGTGATTTAGAGAGAGAGCTTCAAAACCAACAAGCAGCGTTTAGTCTGGATTCAGCTTTAGCTCCAAAGTAGAAACCAGTGAATTTAAGGCTAAGATAGAAAACTTTAGTTAACTGGAGGCCCTGCCTTGGCCTCTGCTCAAATCGATTGTGGTTTCAAATCATCGGATGCTGAGTATCTGAAGACCACACTCATTCCATGCAAATCAACAACTGTGTGACATGTTCGACCCAACAATGGTCAGAAACAGATGTTTTGCATCATAATATCTTCGTCTCCTGTGGCCTATAGAATCTACACTTTTCCTTAAAGTCGAGACAACGAGCATCTCAAGTTGCCCATACAAATGACACTGATGGAGAGAAGGGCATCGCAAAGAGGGAGACCTTTTCCTCAAGCAGAAGCTGTTTTCTATTTGTGAGCCTGTATGGACACATGGTCGAGCGGTCAGTCATTAAATGAGGATTTTCAAGGACCATAAAGGACAGCAGTGACTCTGCCAGCGGCCTCTGAGGACTAGAGAAAAGATGAGGAGAGAGGCAGAAAGATGTCTGAGCTCACAATGTCATTATCTTCTTTCTTTTTTTTTTCTAAAATGAAGGATCAACAAGTCCTTTTTGTTGTTGGCAAGGTGTGAAATAATCAACTGTGTGGAAATTAATTCATGTTAGCCACTCCAAAATCACACCAGTACCACCACACGCCTGTTTTAAAAAGATAAAAAGGGAAGGGGAAAAAGGGTTGAATTTAGTTTTTTTTCTTTCCTCACCAGAACCATGTTAAGAACTGTTAAATATAGCTAGTGAAGAAAGTACACTTGGTAGACAGAAATGTACACTTAGTAGAGCGCTAGAAATGCACTCACAAACTAGTACAAATGTAAACCATTGAGCACGTGACTTATTTAGCTATAGAAGTGGTATCAGTGGAGTATTTTCTCATCACGCATCTTCCACTATTTTGGTTCCTCCAAAGGCTTATTTTTTGAAAAATTAATACACATAATGTATGTGAGTTGGACCTATCCATCGGCTGTCACAGGTGCCTATCTCTAAATATAAACATTTAACCCACATGGACTGGAGAAAGGAGGGTTTGTGCTCCTGTGAGATGTGGCACTATTGTCTCCATTCTGCCTTACGATACCATTCATAATAGAAGGTAATACTAGCATTGACTGCAGTAATGTTTTCCACTTACGATTCCTTTTTTACACACTGATCAATAAGAAAGTTTGCTAATCATTTTTCTTTTCCCAATAGAAGCATATTCTGATACTAGTAAACACTAAAAAAAGCATGCTTACAGAAAAACCACCACGACCACATGCAGCTCCATAATGCTTCTTAAAGCAAGTGTTTTACATCACTTTTTATACAATTGTGCTTTCTACTACTACCGTACAGATTGTAGTATTTATTTAGGTTCAATCAGCTATCAGTGAAACCCCTCATTGGCATACCGTGATTCTAGTGACTTATTTTTAGTTTTTATGTTTTAGCTGCTTCTACTTGGCTTTGCATTAATGAATCAATTGTGAGAGAATGTTAAGAAATAACAGTCAGTTTTTAGCCTGAGAATATCTTTGAGGTGTGTAGGATGTGATATGTATTGCATATCAGTGTTGAGGGTGGTTGTGTGTGTGTGTGTGTGGGGGGGGGGGTGATTTGCTGATGTATGTGGAGAACATAGATCTAAGTGTTACTTCCTCATTTGTGCCAATGTTATCCACAGACCCTGAGCTGTGAACTGAAAACTAGTCAGTGTGACAAAAACAGTGTTTGCTCACTTTACTCAAGTGCCACCCTTCCCCATATCCATCAGTTAAAGTCACATCAGTACCTGATTTTACACCCAATCTGTTGTCTGATCAAACAGGCGGATCTCTAAAGATGGGTTTTGGTATCCTTAAGTGTTATTAAGTTTACAGCGCTTATTAACAATAAAGTTTCTTTTTAAGTCAGTGGAAATCGGACGTAAAGATGATCGAAAGACGATATGCAATTAAAGGAAGAGCTAAATATTTTTGTGAAATGTGGCTTTCTGGCAGTTGGCAGCCTGTTAGCTTAGCACAAAGACTGAAAACAGAGGGAAACAGCTAGCCTGGTTCTGTTAGGTAAAAAAAAATCTGCCTTCCAGCACCTCTGAACCTCAAAAATGATCGTGTTATATCTAATTTGTTTAACAAAAATCATATTGTAAAAACGACAATTTGCTGGATTATTTCTTGGCTCAAATGCTAGCTGTAACTTCCTTGAGTTTCCACCTATTTCTTGTTCATCTTAAATAAAATTATGATGGGCAAACACTGTTAGTGTTTGACAGAGCCTAGGCTCGCCGTTTCAACTTTGTGCTAAGCTAGCTGGCAGCCAGCAGTAGCCTTTGTTAACAGGCAGCATTTGGAGCAGTCTTCTCTAAGTATGGCTAAGTATACCCCCCCCCCCCCCCCGCTCTTTTATATCTGAGCTGTGTCAAATTAGGGTACACTGTACTGTATATGTACTGTATCATTACTGACAGTGATGATTCAGCAGGCAACCAATTCCCGCTCTGTGTAGTTGAGCAGTATTATAGCAGCTGGAACCTGAAATAGTAACACTTCTACGTGCCTGTGCAGTTCTCTCATCTAAGTAGTGCAGTAAACTCATTAATCAAAAAGGTGCTTGACTTAGTTTAATTTCACATTGTTGTATTTACCTGAAGTCTCTGCTCCCAGTTTATTCTCTCCACTACACAACTTTTATGAAGCTGTTCAATCGGCTTATTTGATGTTCCAAAAATTTGTTGCATTTACAGTATTGTCTGAAGTACCAAGCTCAATGAACCTGAATCTGTGACTTCTTTGGAAGTTTGTATGTTTTGGCAGTAGATTTTGACGATCAATTTAAGTCGCCGTTGATACTCACAGTGCTAATGTCTAACTTCAAAGGGCAGATGTAAACAAACGTGGAACTCCTGCACATGTTCAGTTTCGAGGACTGCATTTGCACGATCCTCCAATTTAGTATCTGAATATGGAGGGGGGGGGGGTGTATTTTCAATAAAAAAAAATCAATGTCACCCCATCACTTGAATTGGTTATGTAACATGATTCCCGCCACCACACAATCACAAAATAATGCACTGCCCTTTGACTCTACAACCTACTGTTCTGACATTTGTTTTGATTTTATTTATTGTTTTTTGTTATAAGCCAGTAAAGACCAGGGACTTGGTGCCATGATAATTCTTACAGTGCTATTGTGTGAAATTATAATCACTTGTTATGAATAATTTTTATAGTCTTTTTCACACCAGACCCTTTTTTTGTATTTGTACAGTGGCTTGGTGATACCGATATGTTGCCATGAGTTATTGTAACCAATAAAAAGCTTCTAACCAAGAATACAAATCCTGGCTGACTTCCTTTACAAAAGATTTGACTGTATGCAAGCCTGTAAAGATATAGAGATAGAGATAGATAGATAGAGAGATAGATCTATATAGATAGATATAGAGAGATAGAGAAAGAGATAGATATCTATCTATAGATAGAGATATATAGATAGAGATATATATATAGATATATATAATTAGTATTTGCTTCTGTTTTTGACACAAAATTGAAACAATAGAAAGTAGTAAACTTATTTGATTCTAGACAGAATAGTTAGTTCTGGACAAATTACCATTTTTACAGTTAATTAACAATTTTTCTTTTTCACAGCAAATATTTGGATTGCTTTAAGCCAAAAGCTCTACTGTATTTATATTAGTATTTAATTTTCACAGATGTTACATGTTAGTAGTAATTTTGATAGGTGCAACAAGTATAAAATGTAAAAAGCACAGCCATGGTTACTTTCTTTGCCTGCAAGTGGCAACATCCAAACGGTTATATCTGCAGGGCTACTCTCCTTTCCCATAGGTGACATGGGCTGATTAAAAGACATGCTGAATGCATTTCCTTACTCACAAAACATTTGTAAAGTTGCGCACATGGATGTGGTCCTCGTGTGCAATCCCAAAGTAGATGTGGGCCCAGCCGTACAAGCATTTCTCCGTAGTGCTACTGGAGGTCAAACAACTCCATAGGGTACCTTTTAAAACAGTGTTCTCAAAGGAACGTCTTTCAAATAAATGCACAACAGGTCAGTTTTTGGATTGTGGCAGATTTAATACAATCAGGCAAATCTGGGAGGTATTTCAACACACAAGGAAAGGCAATTTTACAAGTGTAGACTGGTGTAATTGTCATTACAAGTCTAATGGGTATAAATAAAATAGGATATTATAAAATGAGGATTTCCAAAGCCTTTCATCTATACAGTGAAGATAATTAGAAAATGGAACATGAACGTACAGTATGTTAAAGACATGCTTTCCCTTTCTACTAAAATTATTTCTCAGTGAATTTACACTAACTAGGTCCATATAATCAAAACATCTGTTCTCTTTGATTATTAAATCCATTTCTTTTTTGTTGCCAACTTACAGCAGATCATGTGTCTGGACAAATACATGTGCCGTATAACAGACACGCAAACTTCATTTGCTCCCCAAATGTTAGTCCCCCCCCCTGCCAAAAAGAAGGCATATTCACAGAAGCACGTTGATGTCAAAATGTAGCACCCGACCGGTAGCCTTCACGCCAACCGAGATTATATCGCCATCATCTTTGCACACCGTGAGTCCAAGTTAATTTGTTTTACAGTTTGCTGTTTTTCAAGCACGTGATGAATAGCTGAGGAGGAGAGGAAAATACTTTCATGTCTGGGCCTTTACTTTCTGTCCACTAAGAGTGAAACTGACAATTGTATTCATTATCAATTAATCTTTTTATTTTTAGTCTACAAAATGTCAAAAAATAATGAGAAGTGGCCATTTAGTTACCAAAAACACCAAATAGTCAATTTGAAACAACATCATCTTCAAATTGACCATTTGGTGTGGCAACAACAAAAACATTTCCTTTTTTCATTCAAATGACACAAAAGAACTGAACCTTTACATTTGAAAAGCTGCAGAAGTTTAGTTTCCCTGCTGATTATCAAAATATCTATAGATAGATTTCTTTTCGTTTGACCAGTCGATTAATCCATTCATCTTTTCAGCACTACTGTCCACACAGAAAACTGTAGTGTAAAGTTTAAGTCGTGATCGGGCGTGGTAAGGCAGCGCCTGGTTGAGGAATGACTGGCTCAACAAGAACCAAGCTGTGTGAAGTGATGAAGCAGAACAGCTCACTGCTGAGGCTGCAGGTACTCGTTTGTGAACTCCGCCAACTGTCTCTCCAGATCTGTCGCTTTATGTCTGCAGAGAGAAGAAACACGTCACAACTTCATCCAAAACACTAATCAAGTAAAGCTTATTGTAATCAAATTTATTTCCAACAGTTAATTTCATATTTTCAGAACTGTTCTGCTGAGCATGCACTATGTAGTATTTTTTTAACAGCTATTTTCTATGCCTTGCACACCCAAATTTTCACATTACCTTGACTAATTAGATCTCTACTAAGGCTGAAGTTGGGTGTCAACAAATTGTAGGTACTTCATAATAATGGTGCAAGTTGTCCGGCCTTAACAGGTGCAAAGAGGTTTATTTAGTAAACATAAGTGTGTGTGGGTGAGCAATTAGGTGCTTTAAAATTTCATTCATTTTAGAGACTAAAATGAACATCATCAACTGCATTTACAGAGTAAGTGTTCAATCAGTTGTGATACTGAAGCTGCAGCTTTAGTAAACATTCTCCAAAGCATTAAAAAATTTAACGCATCTCTCTCTCTATCTCTGAATTGAAATCCCTGCGTTATGAGTACTACTCATTTTATCACATTCTTTAAAGAACTAATTTAGCCAATTTCCACCCATAGTTTGATATATTGAGACACAACAATGTACACTTAATCAATACTCTAAATTAAAGGAAGCTCTATTTGTTCACAAGTATAGATGGAGCAGCGGCAATACAAATTCATTTGAATTACACATCTGTTGACTGACAGCAGGGTTGTGCAGCAAGCTTGAGTTGGAAAAAAACCCATCAAATTCTTTGCCAGGTCTGGCAAATTTGACTAAGTTTGAATGTAGAATTTGATCGTTTCCAGGACTGTGCTGTTACTCTAGTATCATTCACATTATGTGAGATATTCATTTTCCCCAGACTAGATCTTCCCAAATTCTAAGGCAGTCAATCTGTTCATGTTGTCCCCAGTAAGAGCAGGAGCCGGACTGACCGTAGGCTCTTGGAGTGGCTCTGGACTGTCTCCAGCTGATCTATCTTAGCTGTCAGTTGGCGGATTTCAGCCTCCAGCTCTTTCTGTGTCTGGTCCACCTGCTGACAGAGCCGAGCAAAGGTCGTAGCCATCTCCCTGGCAACACAGAGGGCACAGCGTCTCAGTGCTTATTTATTTAGCTCTGCTACAAAGGGGAAGGCTGGGTGGGGCACAGAGGAGGGTGGAGCAGGTGTGTGCGTGTGTGTGCGTGTGTATATAAATTAAAAACATTATGGGGAGTCAGGCTTTGTCAATAGGCTTAAATACCACCGACAGGGGATTTCACCCTAACCCCATCAAAGACAAACTATTACTATTAACATTATGATGCAGTAAGAGCTTAATACAATATAACATCAAATGACAAATAAATTTATTATCCTACTGGCCTTGCCATAGTGATGAAAATGGCTATAATCTCTGTACATATCAATACAAAATCATCTTCAATTGGAGACCTTACTTTGTAATTGTCACACACTGTATAGCGAGTCCACATTTCACATACTGCTCTGTCTACTTGTTCTACTATAAAATGACAGAAATGATGCGGCATCAGGACTTACTGTTGAACCTGGTGGCTACAGTTTGCACTGGTAAAGCTGACGATGAGCTGCAGCTTCTCGGTTGCGTAGTCCACAAACTGGCGCTTCAGAGCGCGCTCTTTTGCCCTTGTGGTCCAAGTGAGTCTCTCATACAGGTACAGCAAGCCATACATTGAGGCTGACAGGGCAATCAGCCGCCACCCAACTGTTCTATACACCTTAGAAAATAAATAAACAAACAGAAGCCAGGTTAGCACCCTTACAGTTAGACTGGCCTAACTAAAAGAAAACCTACATTATCAGGAATGGTTTGCAGTGTCATGTCATAAAAATGGAGTCATCAGGGTTTACCTTTGCATTCAAATCTTTAAACCTCATATTTATAATACACTACTAGTTGTTTCTTTTGTTGCCATAATCTACAGCAGACACAATGCTGCCAAATGAATTTTTGACAACAAACAATATTTTAAATATCTTTCTATGCAAACTGTTATTGCACAATTAGAAGCAGAAATGTGACATCTAATAAGAGAAAACTCATAATGTTAAGCAAAGTCAACCTTGAAACAATCTTTTAGTCGCAAAATATTTATTTTGACAAAAGACAGAACACTATGTGTAACATTATGTGTACATTTATCCTGGAAGCTGACAATTTTGGAAACAACATACCACTCCCCCAACGATGACAATGCTCATTGAAGTGCGAGAGGTGAGGGACGCCACGTTGTTTGCAATGACTACCATCAGGTCCTCCTGGGTCATGAGAGCCGTCTCGTGGTTGGGCTGGGATATCGTGGAGGGGGGTCCTGAGGAGGGCGTACAGGCCAGTGCTGGTCGAGAGGACTGAGTAATGACAGAGTTTTCTTCACTATACATTTTCTATGGTGTTTATGTGAACATTTGTATTATTATTAACACTAAATATCACAATATGAATCACAGAAGACATAATAGAACTCTCTACCAAAGTCTTTCCAGCCTGTACCTGGAAGTTGTGGTCCACCAGTTTGAGAGCTCTCTGCGCGTTGACAGATCCAAGGAAGCGGTGGACTAATGCTGTCCAGCCCAACGAAAACTGAAACTCAATGTTCTCCTGGAAGTCGCTGCAAAGTTTGGCGCAGTTAAGGTCGTAACTCAGGTCAAACTTCCTGCTGGGCACCAGCATGTGGACTTGGCTCTGGGCCGAAGAGGGAAGCAGAGGGAGCATGCTCTCTGGAGAGTGTGAGAATTACAATAAACAGGGGATAAACAGAAATCAACAGCATCATTGTATCATAGCTTAGTAAACATGCACCGGTGCACAATATTTCACACTATTAGTCCGTTTTTATCTCTGGTCCCATTCCCACAGTTGGTCGCGGTGCTGGCCGCTTCAGTAGACTCCTTGGCCTCCATGACTGGCTCCAGTCCGCCTGCAGGGCTCATCGTGTGTGTTATGTGGATAATTTTAATATTTTCTGGCAAAGAATGTCTCTTTTTAAGACAGACGGACTTCACCCAAACAAATGGCGCTCAGAAATGTTAGCTGCGCACATACAGCATGTGGTGCGGTCCACACATGATTTATGTGAATGACTAATCATTCAAGCAGCACACCTGGACACACCACCGCTCACTGAACAGATCTCTGCTTCACTGCCACAAACAACTGTCTCCACCTGCTCGCATGTAAAGCCGTCTGCTCCCAGCGCTGTTCCACAGACTTCTATTCCTGTCATCATCACGCATAGACCAGTAAACCGAAATGTGCACATCCCACACAGAAATAATAGTAATCTCTTAAGGATTAGGACAACTGCACCAACTCCAGCACCCAGAACAAACTCATTTAAAATGGCTCTCTTCAATGTGAGATCACTTTCAAGTAATGATTTTATCTTGTCTGCAAATCTAGATTTTATGTTTTTAACTGAATCCTGGTTGCAGATGAATGACTATAGCCAGCTAGCTGAACTGTGTCCGCCTCAATATGATTGCTTTAGTCAACCGAGGGTCAGTGGTCGTGGTGGTGGGCTAGTGAGCGTGTATAGGAAAAATTTTAAATGTCATCAAGTACGCTGTGATGAATTTAACTCCTTTGAAGTTCTCACTCTTAAAGTTGGAGGGCTGCAACCTATCATATTTGTTATAATTTATCGCCCCCCAAAACCACCTGGAGGATTTTTAGCAGAACTTCCTGAATTTTTATCTACTCTGGTTTTAAATTATGACAGAATTGTTCTTTGTGGTGATTTTAATATTCATGTTGATGACCCCAACAATGTTAATGCAACTAACTTTTTAAATATGGCCACTTCTTTTCACTTCAAACAACATGTCAAAGGGCAAACACATAACCGTGGTCATACACTGGACTTGGTTTTTACCCTGGGTGTCAGCATTTCCTCTGTGGAATTGGTGGACATGACCATATCTGACCACAGATGTATTGTTTTTAGCTGCGATTCGCCTGTTACTCATGCCGCCTCACCAAGCTCTGTGTGTTCTCGCATCTTTAATGAACAAAGTGTTTCAAAGTTTTGCGCATTCTTTCAGAGCCAAAGCCAACACCTGTCTGATTCCAACACCAACAATCTGGTCAATCACTTCAATCATATCTGCTTGTCGTCACTAAATATTACTGCTCCTCTAAAGGTTAGGCCTACGTCTAAAGCTAGTAAGCAACCATGGATAAATGACAGCATTCGCAGCCTAAAAAGGGAATGCAGGAAAGCAGAGCGCAGATGGAAAAAATCTAGTCTCCAAGTCCATTATCTCAGTCTGAAGGATTTATTAATTAACTACAATAACATGGTTAAGGATGCGAGAACACACTATTTTTCTGAACTCATTACTACACATAAACACAATCCCAGGTTTCTGTTTAAGACTGTGGATCAGCTGGTAAACCCAACCCCTCCTTGTGCCTCAGCTGGAAGTAATGATGACTGTGAATTGTTTTTATCTTATTTTACCAATAAGGTAGTGTCAATCAGAGCCTCTATTACCCCCACTGCCTCTTACTCAGAGGTTCCTCACCAGCAACAAGAGACTTTTAACCAGTTTTATCCCATCGACTTGTCTGAGCTTTTAAAAACAGTATCACAAATGAGAGTGTCCTCCAGCCCACTTGATGTAATACTTTCAGTAAAAATTTTGTAGGTAATCGATTCTGTTGGGCCCCATTTGATCTCTGTTTTCAACAGCTCCCTATCTACTGGTTGTGTCTCTGATTATTTTTAAAACGGCTTGCATGAACCCACTTTTAAAGAAACCTGGTTTAGATCCCTCCCTCCCACATAATTTTAGACCAATTTCAAAACTGCCTTTTATTGCAAAGATTCTAGAAAGAATTGTGTCCAAACAGCTGCTCAATGTGCTGGAAAATAACAAATTATTTGAAAAGTTTCAGTCTGGTTTTAGGAAGTACCACAGCACTGAGACTGCCCTGCTTAAAGTCACCAATGACCTTTTAATGTCTGCCGATGAAGGTATGTGCTCAGTCCTTGTACTCCTGGACCTTAGCGCTGCTTTTGACACCATTGATCACAACATCATGTTAGACAGACTGAGGCACTGGGTGGGGATCTCTGGTACTGCCCTAGAATGGTTTTCATCCTACCTGTCAAATAGGAAGTTTTGTGTGTCTGTAAACAACTATGTCTCCTCATTCTGTCCAGTTAAATATGGTGTGCCTCAGGGGTCGGTCTTGGGACCCACTTTGTTTTTCTTGTATCTGCTTCCCCTTGGACATATTATCCATAAACATGGCATTTCTTTTCATATTTATGCTGATGACACTCAAATATACTTGCCCGTCAGATCTACAGACCCTGGAATGCTGAGTTCACTTAACAACTGCCTTTGTGAAGTTAAAAAATGGATGTCAAATAATTTCCTCCAGCTGAACTCAGACAAAACAGAAATCCTGGTCATCGGGTCTCAGCAGATGGCTGCCATCTGCTGGTTCCCTAGTAAATCACATTAAGCCTGTGGCAAAGAACCTTGGTGTTTGGTTTGATAGTAATTTAAATTTCGAGCAGCACACCACAAAGCTTGTTCAATCATGTTTTTATCAACTTAGAAATATAGCAAAAATTCGATCTATGTTAACTTTTAAGGACACCGAGACCATTTTACACGCCTTCATCTCATCACGCCTGGATTATTGCAACAGCCTTTTCACCTGTTTAACCCAAAAATCTATTGATCGACTCCAGACTGTCCAGAACTCAGCTGCCAGGCTTTTAACCAGAACAAAGAAATATGACCACATTACTCCTATTTTAGCTTCATTACACTGGCTCCCAGTATGTTTTAGAATTGACATTAAAATTCTATTGATCACTTTTAAAGCTCTTCATGGCCTCTCGCCTTGTTATATTTCTGAACTTTTAGTCCAATACACACCAGCACGTACCTTGAGATCCTCGGGCAGAGGTCTGTTGTCTGTTCCAGAGTCTCGACTGAAAACTTAAGGGGACAGAGCGTTTGCAGTCAGGGCCCCGAGGCTCTGGAACAGCCTGCCCGAGGAAATCAGGTCGGCTGAGTCAGTGAACTCTTTTAAGTCCCTTCTTAAAACATACTTCTATAGGAGAGCTTTTCCCGATCTTATTTGACTTTATTTTATCCCTTTTATTTTATTTTACTAATTTTATATTAATTTTTCATGCTCTTTTCTTGTTTTTTTTTTGTATTATTCTTTACACTTGTTAAAGCACTTTGTAACTTGTTTTTGAAAAGTGCTCTACAAATAAGGATTATTATATTATTATTATTAAGGGACTAATTCCAAATACCGTAAAACTTTGATTGATAGCCCGGGCTTTTATTTGCTAAAAATCACTGAACTGACCCTGCCTATATTTGGGACAGGTGTCCATATGGGACAGGCCTTTAATTCCTTTGTGAAATAAGCTACTATGAAACAGTTTATTCACAACTTATTTTTATAAAAGCTGTTTTGATTCTTTTGATCAGTGGACCCTTACAGACTAAAGGAATATAAATAATCAAGGAACGGACACATTCGGACTAAACGAGCACTTCAAATGTAACGGGAGCAGCACACTCCCCCCCCGCCCCCTACAGACCTACATTTATTTGTCAAAATGTGTTCCCACACCAGGCCAGTAAACAAGGTGGCCGGCTATTTGGGACTCTGCTATTAATTGAAGTTTTACAGTAAGAAGTACTTTCACTTTCGGTGCATTGTATAGCTAATAATTATTTAATGGGCAGAAACAACAACACCACGTTATCATAGTGGTCTGTAAAGCTAAAAAAAGTACATTTGATAAGAATATTTCAGCTTTTGTTTCTCTCTCCTTAGGGAGAAAGAAAAATAAAAACACAAACACACACAAAAAAAATAAATTATTCACACCACAATTTCATAACTGTCCTTTTCATCAGAGGTCACATTAACACCTTTTCAACATCACTGTCACCGAGCACAGCTTGCATGCGTGCCTGACACAGTGACGCATTTGTAGCATAATAGGGCTTGGGATGATGGCATTTGGCGAGGAGGGTAAATATAGCAGTGCACTGGGTGTTGCAGACCATAGCCTGAGTACCCAAAAGGTTTTGACTAAGTTTAGCAACAGTCTCTAAATGAGCGATAGGAGAGAAAAAACTATGGTGGACAGGAAATGTGGTCTGAGGTCATTGTTTTTTATGAAAACATGATTTCTTCCATGGCCTATTAAGCAAGGAAAGGCTCTGAGGAAACTATCATTTTAGACAACGAATCATCTATTCTAGTCTTTCATCTATTAGTATCTATATGTATTATTATATTATTATGATGGTATACACATATTAATACTCATACCCAAGAATACAAATATCATAAATGACCTGGATTTGACCAAGAGAAAGCTATAATCACTGATCGTGTCTATTAAATTCACTTTGATCATTAAGATGTAAATGTTAGGATTTAAAATAAATTTTTTATGCAGTGTGTTGCCATAGATTAATAGTTGCAACTTCAGATCATTCACTGAGTGGGACTATTTTACACTATTACTTTTTTAAATTTTCTTAAGGGCTACAGGCTGAGGTCAAAGCATGCGCGCAACAGAATTGTTCTGGTCAAGCCTCGAGACAACAGAAACATGGACAAAGCAGCTCAGTGCAACAAAGGCGATCTCATTATCGTGCACACAATTATGTCTGCGGTTTAATTACCGATCATGTATGACTGAGAGGACTGGACAGAGGCGTAGACGGCATCGGAGCAGCGGTAGGCCAAGTTCTTGCCCATCCCCTCCTCCACGTGAGCCAGCAGTTCCTGCCAACAGCGAATGTCAGAGAGACCGTCAGAGAAAGCGGTCAATAAAGAAACAAATGTACACGTGCTACTCTGGTCTCTAGTTTAAGAGCGCACCTAAAGATTGTTGGCCAGGAAAGGTGTGATCAAGAAAAACTGGGCCTCTACTTACAGACTTGTAGATCTTGAGGACATGCGGTGAAGGGTGGAAGTCAGCGTGGAACTCGTCAACGATTACGTGGAGACGGCAGATCTCCTCTCCCATGGCGCTGGATACCTGAATGACACACACAGCCCGACCAGAGTTATCAGTCAGCTACAGCACATCACCACAGGAGCAGGCAGGCCTTCTGTGTCTTACTCAAAGAACCACCAGCAGCACCATCAGGACTCAAGCTGCTGCATTAAATGGCATATATTGTTATTTCTGATGGAACGTAAACCTGTAAAACTACTTCTTGTTCTTGCTCTGGGCATCAACATGATATTCAAATTTCAGTACTGACTTTGCATGCAGCTGTAGTATCACATTTATATATACAGGAGGGACTATACTGAAACTATCATTTAGAGTAGAAACAATTAGTAGATACTAATTTTGATCCATCTTCTCAAACATTTTCTGATTGTATAGTCTTCTGTGATGATTTAAATGATGAAAACAACTGTTTATTTAAATCAGAACACTTAAACAGGACATTCACCAGTTCTTCCACCAGCTGTCGCCTACATTACCTTAGATTCCACATTCTCACTGATGGCCTTGATCTTCTTCTTGATATCGTCGATCAGCAAGTTGAGTTGATTCTTGACAAACTCCAGCCGGTCCATCTGATACTCTCGGTCCTCAAGCGCCGCCACTCTGAAGCCCCACAAACAGGAAGTAGAGTCATAAATGCAAACTAGCGGCTGAACGATTTCACAGTTGAAAAAGTTTTAAGGCGCAAGTAGAAAGTAGAATTTTTGAGAAATCCATTGATTTATCCCTCCATTATTAAACAAAATGGCCTTAAAATCGTGTTAAACCTACATGTTTTCTCATTTGTTTTGTTGATTACCTCTATAAGCGCTTCATGGCGTTGACAAAAGGAGACAATATCAGACTTCATTCATCTCTACCGGCCTACTCCCACTAAAAGAGTATGGGGGGGGAGGTGCATGGAGCAAGATACTCGCCTCTTCTCTGCCGCCTCGATGTTGATGGCGTCCATGATGCTCTTGACTTTTTCTGTGATCTGCTTGGCCCTGATAGTGTGCTGCTCAAACTTTGTTTTCACTGCTGACTGCGAGATACACTCCTGCGAGGCCATAACACACAGGTTTACTGTGACAGCTATAGGGGCCGCCGCTGCTGCTGGACAGGGTGCGTGAACTCACACCCTACCAGGGACGAACAGAGGACAAGATAAGACACCTGCTGCTTTAAACTTAAGAGAAGAAAAGAAATGGAAACACAGGTGTGGAAATGACAAGCAGCAGTGTGTCTATCTTGTGTCCCACAGCCCACATATTGTAAAGTCACAGTAATGTGTCGGTGAAGAAGCAGTGAAATTATAAAAACATCAGGTAAATACAATCAAGAATGCAAGTGAAAGAAAAAATAAATAATATACTGCAACATAAAAAAGTAGAAATGTTGTGTCATTTTGGGATATATTATATTATCTTGTGTTCAAGGACTATATATATATTTATTTGATAGACTCTGTTGTTCTTTGGTAAACAGTTCTTTGGTAAACAGTGCTATAATGATTTCAGGATTCAGGATCAAAACTCACAGCCCTCAAATACTGCCTTCTGTACTCATGATCTCACGGCTCCTCGACTATTATTTTCCTACTAAGCACTTCTCAACTCCTTATGATCAATATTATCAGTTGTCTGTCATGGTGATAATTCACTATTCTACTCATTAATCCATTTCAGGTCACTCAAAACAGACACACTATGTCAAGTGCAGCTGTTATTTGATCACTTTGATTATTATGAAATTAAAACCCATTTTTTAATACAATTTATGGTCCACATTTTTTTTGCAATAGTCATTCAATGTATTGGCATTCTGTAATCATCTCTCTATAACGTATGTATTGTTAGTGCATTCCCACGCTGAATTAATATTGCATTCACATCTAAGTGGGATTCACAGGATGCATGCATGTAGTCCATCTTAATTTTATGTAATTGATAACAGGCTCACGGTTTACTCTTCACTCTCTTAACAGTGTTATCAGAGCATTAAGTTACTGCTTACGCGAAGTGAACATCTCTTACTGACACTGCTTCGGATTAAAAGCTTTCAAATGGGGAAACCCGGAGGGGCAGAGTTCTTTATTAAAAACAACATACGTTTGTTTGGCTCACTGTAAACAGATACTGTGCACCAGTTGCTCTTCTTGTTTTATTTCTAAAAAAGTAGATGCTCAACAAATGTTTCCTGCTCCTACGATTCTTGGACATGTATTAAACCACACTTGCTGTTACCACGGTGACCACGGGCGTCACCAAATTTTAAGGATTATAATAATCTTATAATTTTTCCAAGTATGAACACAATTCACTTCCTGCTAGTTAAAAATCTGAACAAGATGCAACAAAACACAGAAATAACAAGAAAACTCAACAATCAAAATTGTTACTGCAGAACAAAATCAAAGTGGAATGAAAACAAACAAGATGCCGTCGCCTAAGTGAATCTAGACTTCAGCAATGAAGACGCAGGTTGATGGAAAAGGCACAGTGATTGGTCCAGAAGGCCCTGAGGCCTCCAGCTTGACATTGCATGGTTGGTGACGAAACCTAACCACTAAGCCGCTGCTCAGGTTAATAGTTACTGTTAGGAGAAGGACTTTGGTTACTTCTCGTTTTATTCAATAATCTCAAAACACACGCTTCTACAAACACGCAAGCGCGCACACAAATACATACACACACGCACGCACAATTGTATTTCTCAAATGCCCAAGGAGTTTGTGTAACTGGAACAGTAATTCATTAATTAAGTTCTGGTTCACAGCATGATAAAGCAGCCTGTCTGTATCTGCCTGTATATTTTCCCTTCTCTCTACAATTGGAACGCTATCTCACCAGCAGCAGCCAGAATTTGCTTAGCTCTTTCTGATATACCAACTGCAGTGTTCATCAGTCTATCGGCTATAACAGCATGTAAAACCTGCTGTTTTTGGCTTGACACTGATTTCACCTCAGAGGCATACCCGTTGAGATGTCTTTCTGGTTGCAAATATACCAGTGTCTCTTCACATATATGCCAAAATAAATGAAAACTGCTAAACTCTAACTCTAAATATGTCTCTCCAGATTCCGACAGGAAGTAGATTTTGCTTTGAGAAGTGAGTATGAAGTTATTGGAAGATTTGCACAGGACACACACACACACACACACACACACACACACACACACACACACACACCTCAAACCTCCTCTCAAAGCTTTGGAACTCCTTCAGTCTCTCCTGGAAGCCCTCAGCCAGGGCTCCACCTGTTGGATGAAATGATCACATTGTATGTAAAAATGAAACATACTTGCTATTAATGCACAAATCCACAATTTGCATCAGCACAGAGACTTTATCCTACATTAGGTGTTAAATACATAACTGTTGATCTTTTTTAAACATTCTAGATCACTTTCATTGCTGCAATCACCATTTCCATTAGTGTTTTGTCATTTGCAACATGAATGCAGTTTAGTGCTCCCCAAAAAAGCTCAATTAAAAATGTGGTATGTATTAAAAAATAAACATGTATATGAAAACCTATATCCAAATTTCACGTAAAGTCTCAAGATTGTTTTTACCATTTCAACAGATGTTGGTTTGATAAACAGTTCATCCTAAAGCGTGTATTAAACATAAAGATATGAATACTGTTCCTCCATCTTCCACAAATACAGCATCAGCCACCACGTGAAGCCTCACCTGTTTCAGGCATGCCCTGTGCGCGCTGCATGCGGGAGTTGAGGACCTCTTTGGCAGAGACAAAGAAAATGTGGTTGGGTGCCTTATCGCGGTCTACAACCTTCAGCTCCTCTACCAGGAAGTTCACACAACGGTCTGTGTGCTGTTTCCTTACCTGGAGGAAGAGGCGTCACATTCTTAGGTTGTACAATTTTATTTAATTTCCAATCAATAAAAAATAATAAATCATAAAAATCAGTAAGAGATCCATGGCTGAAAATTAGTTAATGTAAGTACTATTTTCATTGCAAACACTGTAGTTTAGTGTTCAGTTAAACCAACTTACAAAAGAATCATGTTTCTTTTTTACCTAAACCTAGTGGTTTCTAGCCAAGCAGATAGTTGTGCTTTTATGAGACCAACCTCGGCCCATAAAAGCTGATGTTTGTATTTTTATCTGCTCTTCATGTTCATTTTTACAAAAATCTCTTAACAAAATTATAACAATCTGTAACAACAAAATGTTGTTGTTAATGACATGAGACAGATCCGACAGACGGTTGACTCACATCTTCCATGTATTCTGGCTCGTTTGCCGAGGCATCCCAGCGGTTGTTGAGGATGAAGATGTTGGGCTTCGACAGACGTTCATTCACTTTGTGGAAAAAGTGCTTTTCCTAGACAGTGACGAGAGATGCATAAGAGTGATGCTGGTTTTGACTCAATAAAAATGCTTCATTTTCACCAAGACAGCAAAGGGCACGATTTCAGGACCACGAAAAAAAATGGTCCACCGACATGTGGACCATTTTTTGCTATTTGACTATCCTACATTATTTACATAGTGGCCTGGGTTAATTTCCTTTGAATAGCCCAGAGGAGAATATGTGTTTGCTTTCCCTTTAAGAGCTGCTGCTGGGTTAAGCCCTTCTGTGATTGACTGTTACTCCAGCTGCACATGGCTGGATACAAACACAGGCAGCCACATTCTCCACTCTGTAATCAGCTCAGCATTGAAAACATCCACACTGGCCTTTTTAGTGCACATAAGTGACACTCTGAAAGTACAGGTGTACAGTCAACATTAATAGTTATTCCCTGATGTAGTATAAAAACCAACAATGGCTAAACCCTTACACCAACATCTAGCATAAATTTCGCAGGTTATCGGCCAGATATGATCTTCATGAGGCTCAGAGACATTACCGTGTTCATAAGTGTGGATTCAGAGTTGGCCACCAGCACAAAGACATCAGCATCCAGGCAAAACTTGTCAATCCAGCTGTCCAGTTGTGTCGTGACATCTGTCCCTGGGCTACAGAGTGGAAGAGCGGTCAAATGCGTGACATCTACAAAATATGTGAAGTAATATGTCCACTTGAGCTTGATTTTTTTCCCCCTGCACGTTACTGCACTTATCTGTGTAAATCCCACTTTTTTTAAATGTCTCAGAAACTGTCAAATTGATATTTACAAACTTGTCCAGAATTCCCAGATGCGATACATAGATCCCGTTACCTGTCTACAAGCACCAGATCGTCTCGGAGAAGAGCACACTTGGTCTTTGGCCAAAACACACGGACGAGACAGCCAGCGTCCAGACTCTCATCCATGTGGAGCGCATGCGCCAGCTGGTTTACAGTCTTCAGAAGAGACGTAAACAGACTGACATTATGGTTATGAATAAAGTAAACATCACCTACCATTAATGCGACAGCATTTTTCCTGTAATTGTAATAATGACTTAATATGATATATGTTTTGTCAAAACATTTGTTCTTTTAGTTTTTACTACATCTAAAGAAAGGCTTCCATACTTTTAAGATAGTAGCATTTTCAAGTTAATTATTTCACTTTTAAAACCAGAAGGTATAGTTTACAGTATCAGGGGTTAAGTATTTAACAGTGAAATGTCATTAAGTAATTTTCATTAGAAATGTATTACGCTACCAGAATTCCTATACTAACAACTCCCATTGTCTTGACATTACCAGCTAGTAAAGTTCGTTGCACTATAAAGTCTGCATGATTTTCTCACACTCCAGACAGCACCATATAAAAGCACTCAACAGATTAACATATTAATATAAGAGGCACAGAATAAAGCTGATGAAGCTGCTTCATGTGCTGAACCCGTGACAACTTCATTCCATTCAGTGGGTTCAAGTTAAGAGAGAGCGGAGTCCGCCACATCAGGCTTACATTTCAGACACCTGACACCACCGTGAATAACCTGCATACCTGTGTCTGTTTACATGGCTATAGGTTGAGGCAGCATTTGCTCAATTCACACATGGAAATTTGGGAAGTGAACACGGGCCAGTTGGAATTTCTGTGTTAAAAAAACTATTTAATGTTACCTGCACCTATTTATTTGTTACCTGTAACAAATATAATCTTTGTAATTGGGTGACAACTGATGGTCAGATTAGTGAACATGGCCAGATTTTGGTGTGTGCGTAAAACCTTCCCCATTTATGAACAGAAGTACAAAGCAGTTCTCAATAATCAAGAACAAGCTTCCCAAAGCAGCTCCGAGGTATGAAAATGTGTGAATGGGAGACAGACCAGTGCTCATAAAAGACAAACAGAGCAATCCAAACCTTCCTTGCAAAATTGTTTTTAAAATAACTTTTACCTTGATGCTCTTCTCCTCATCAGAGCCCTCCGTCTTGAGGTAGGCCTTGTCGTCATCAGTGCCCTCCACACTCAGGAAGCAGTTAGTGGTGTGGCCAATCCCGCTAGGCAGCACTCGGTCCCTCAGCATGGCATTGACCACTGTGCTTTTACCATTACTGGTCCTAAATACAAACAAAACAGTCAGTAACTGAAGGTGAAGCCAAATCATTTTATTTCAAATTACTCTCTAAAATGAATCAAGATTAGCTTTAACTGTTGATGCAAAACACATATGCGGCTACTAATAGGTCAGAGTGAGAAGATAACGTGGTTAGAAATGTGTTCAACGTCAGGGGGGTTCAAGAAACTGCACTGACACTCCAACTCATTGCTGAAACTAGCTTTGAATTTTTCTCTGACACATCCTCAAACTGTGCTTTGGATTTAAAGCCTTTCCTTTGCGTCAGTGCAGAGCACAACATGGTCCAATAAAATCAGTGTAAACTCAACTATGCAGAATTGGTTTTAACAATATAAAAATGAATGACGTGACAATACCTTTTCAAGGACTCTAGGCAAATAAAAAACAAAAGTGAAAGCACAAACTGCCACCCAAATAAGTTTGACTAGTTTAACTTACACACCCTTGCACACATTCGAGTCTGTAAATGTTGCTCTTACGGAAAAAATACTTTTTTGAGAATAACATAAGAACAGTGTTAAAGACAATACCCTATATCTAAGGTGTGTACGTATTTACCTGCCAAAAAAGGCCACTTTCATGTGTCTGCGTGCCAGCACCTCCTTAATGACAGCAAGTTTATCAGCATACGCTTGAATCTCCAACTTTTGGTCCTGACTCGCAATGTTCTCCAAAGCTTTATTCCCACAGGTTTCTGTCCAACACACAGACATACAAGGCACACTTCATTAGCCATCCAAACTGACAGACCTGACTGACAGATAATAAACATGACGCCAATGTCAAATGATTACCATGTGCAGCTATTAGTGCCGTGATCCTGTTAGCATAATTACTCTCCAATAAAATAAATATTACATCACTACAGCTGACTGACAAATGGTACACATCAAATCAAAGCGTCTCACCTTCTACAAACTCTGAAGTCTCTTTCACATAGTTCAGTAGTTGTTCAAAAACATCGCTTATCTTCTTCTTGGCCACAACAAAGTGCTTCAGAGGGGAAAACTCCCCCCGAGCAGAGTCTGACCGTCTGAGTGGAGGGGCTGCAGCCATGGTGTTCAATCTGAACACAGAGAGGGATCAAACAGGGCAAACACGCTTTATCAGTGGACATGGATAATCTAGTTGACATCCTGATCATATAATCATATTGTTTGGATCAAGCTAGACGGCGTGTGTTTGTCATAAGATTGCAGTTGTACAACTTGTCAGCAGGAAAGTTGACTGACCAAAACTTGACGTTAGCGAAGTTATCTAGCACTGTTACTGAAGACATCATAGAAGTTAGCAGTGACATCATGCAACTTCGACACGTGATAACAACAGATAATGTCTATAAAGATACATGTGTTTGTCTGTTCTCAACTATTATGACTACTATTTAAAAATGTTATGTTAAACCGGCGGCGGACGCGTGTGGCTGCCAAACAAGCTAACAGATTAAGCTAACTTGCTGCCGTTACAAGCGGCACAGCTGTAGTCTTAGCACTGCTAACTAGCGGTATTGTTTTTCCTTACCACAGTCCCAAGATCTCTTCTCATAACACAAACAATATTGATCCGCGGCGACAACACAGAGAGTCCCTTCCCTCACTGAAAGATGACTTGATGTAAACCTGGCTAACCTTCTGTTTGTATCCTTTAATGGCACCAGGTCACAATAGAAAGTAGACTTCCGGAACAAATTTCAAAATAAAACATTGACGTTGCGTCCCAATGACAAGCATTTGACTGTGGTTGGATAAGTTTTGTTTAACTCCTACTCACTTGCACATGTTTTACATAGCTGTTTTAGTTATCTTTAAAGCTCAACTGATTCAACTGGTTGTGATTTTACATTTTCATTTTTAAGGTTGGTATTTTACAGCAACTATTGGTTTAGTTTGAATATGTGGATGTTTCATCAACAGCAACCAGATGTTACTGGCTCAGTAGTACAGACGGTTGTCCCTTGATTCTAAATAGGATGCAAAGAATTAAGAATATTTCTTACAAATTATATGTTTACTACAGGCCTTTCTATTTTAAATTTATTTTGGCCTATAAATAATTGCAGGAACAGTTGATGAAACAAGATGAAATGAAAAACGAACACACATACAGGTTGAGGTATACTTTAATAATGCTTTGAGAGGAAATTCAAATTGCTCACTCAGGCCTGAAAATACACAGGTCCCATACATGCATTGATGTGTAAAGAGATGCCAGTGCTGAAGGGCACCTCGGTTGTGTCGAGAAGGCAAACTGGCACCTTTCCAGCTAAAGAGTCCACACACTCCCAACTTGGTCCTATTACTCCCAATAAAGCAGTACAGAAGAAAACAATACATATTTTCTGCAGACTAAAAAGGTGCAGGCTGAAGCTTATTACGACTTTTTAAAATACACAATCTATGTTATGTTAATAGCAACATTAGGCAATTTCTTACACTGTCCATACCATAATAATGCCAACGCCAATTCATATAATATGTCAATACATAGTACCCGTTCCATAAATTTGCCTCTCTAACTAACACACAGATGTTGTTGTTTTTTACATAGTGGCCTACTGACCCTTTTCTGTCGTTTTGATATTATTTTGCTAACTAAACTAAAAATAACTTCCTGCTCTGTTCAGATTTACATTCGTTAGCTTGACGCAGCTTCTAACCTCACGTTATGACAGGGGGCGGACACAAAAGATTGGCGGGCAACAGCCAATCAATGAGCAAAGAATGCATCTATGTCCAGTCTATGATGCAACCCCTGAGATCTCCTCTACTGTAGCTGAGACTGAAGTACAGTTTATAACAAGCAAGCAAGGGAATAACTGTTCATAATGGAAAATAATTTCAGAAACTATAATAAATATAGCAAATATAGTAATAATTATGCAGAAAAAGAAAACAGAAGGAAATAAAGTATTTCCAAAAAACTACTGCAGACTACCTTTTTCACTTGGAAAAGGTTAAGAAGTATTTATTAACCTATTAATCTATACCTGTTTATTCTGTGCAGAGTTGCAGGAGACTGGAGTCTGAATGAGTGGCAATGTACATTTAGTTATTGTTGAGTATTATTGAGATATTTATGAACCTCATGAAAAATAATAACATTGATAGAAGAAACCAAGGACACATTATAAGTTATTTATTAAGTTATATAAGAATATTATGAACATGCACATGGGCTGCAACACCAATGTCACCTCTCCAAGTACAGAGATCAGACAGCATTTCATTGAAATCATGCCTTTGCAAGACCACAATAACCATTATTCAGAAGAGCAATGTGGCTGCCTGTGAATGGGACAACGCCGCTGTGTGTGTGTGTGTGTGTGTGACCTTAGCAACTGTGGCAAACTGTCATCAGTCAGAGCAGCGGACACTGAAATACCTTCACCTGGAGCTCCAGCATTTGGTTTGGCTTTGGGATATTTGACAACCTTTTGTCAGCTCGGAAACTTGGACTCAATCTCTTTCTGTTTCTCTTTTCTTGCTGGATTTTTTTTCATGGTTATGTGCGGATTTACCATGGAGAATTAAAATGGTGAGGAAGAAAAAGCTGCTGGTGTTTGAGTAAGTATTACTCCCGTATTCTTTTGCTCTATGTTGACTGTTTGAGCCTTTTGACATGAATTAAATTCTTCTTACAGTCTCAATAAAATTATATTGACACCACAACTAGGAACTTCAAAGGTGTCTAAGGCACTTAATTTTTTCAAGATGTGGTATTTTTACAGAATGGTTTGTAGACATATACATATAGTACGAGTAGGTGTTTGTAGTACATAATGTATGACAAAATAATGACATAAAGTCCACATAGAGTTAAACTGGAGTATGTTTTCATATTCATGACACCCCACCATTGTTGATGCAGTTTTGGTTTGGTGAAATAATATGTGGCTTTCTTTTTTCAGCGTGGCTCCAACATCATACATTAATGATGAGATGGATATACTAATTGCTCTCCTGGGCAGATATAGATTTCATCCCATCCATGTATAATTTGGATCCAAACTAAACTCATGTCTCTGTGGAATTAACAGAGACATTGACATTTTAATAATTTATTATCTCAGTTGGAAACCCCCTATTTGAAAATGTGAAAGTGACATAAATTCCCAGTTTTTAGCTTTATTTCTATGTGAAATAACCTGGGTTCCAGCTATTTTTCTGTCAGCTTCCCCATTGTGTTGATGCTATTGTGGCAGCACAGGTGACACAAGAGCTTATGTGTGTGAGCCAGTGTGTATTGTCTGTGGGTGTATGTATGGGTGCCCTTTACATTGTACCATCCTATCCAGCATTCTCCTTCTATGGGAATTTAGTTATTTTGCCCTTTGACTCACGTCTTTACCACAAACAAAGTGAGAAAAAGAAAGATTTCTCAGTTCACAGGTTCATCAGTGATCTGTCAGTGGGCTAAAAGTAGGCTTGCTGTTTATTTTTCATATCTGTGTTTTCTTTTCTTTTTAGAATTTGTGGAAGCATGATGTGGGATGGATAAACAACAACACAACTCTAGTGTAAGTAGACTGAAAGGCTGTTAGTGTGACCTGATATTAAACAGTGTGTGTTTTTATGACGTCCAAATGTGGAGATGTAACGATAGAGAATGGGTGACCCTGCTGACCTTTAAAAAAGGAAACATGTGTGAGTCGGTGGTCTATTTACATCTATAGTTTCCCTAAATTGTAACATTTATATAAATTATACACATTTTCCAGCACCTGTAGGATTTACAAAGGCTTGATAGAAAAGTAAGGTTTTAATTCATTTATGTTTTCAAGGCCTGTCACAGTGCAGCAGATGTCTCTTGACTCTGTAATGACAGCATTTTCATTTTTAAGCAACTTTTAATATTTACAAAATTCCAATTGATCCATTTTCTAAACATCCTTATTTATATACATATGTCATTTTTGTAATAGATACATAAAGACCACTTGAAACTGTGCATGAAGGCAATTAATATGCAAAATCGTTATATACTGTATTTTTATATCTTTCTCTCTCTGGGTGTACAGATGGCCTCTAATGACCCTGACCTTCCTGTCCCCTCTGGTGACCCCCAGCCTGGTGACCTGATTGAGATCTTCAGACCAGCCTATCAGCACTGGGCTCTCTACCTGGGAGATGGTTACATCATCAACTTAACTCCCGTCGGTCAGTATATGCACATTTGAACACATACGTATCAAAACACTTCTTTCTGCTGTAGTGGATCTCAGTTTCAACTGGTTTGTTGTGTTACCAGTAAAGCCCTCAATGGTTGTACTTTAAGGCAATTACACTGGTTTGGTTTTGATGAAATGATACGTGATGATAATACATTTTGTTTCTTATTGGCTCAGAGGCTGTCTGCATTAAACATAAGGGATTATATATTTACTATTTCGTCAAATTGGTTTATTTAATATTTAAGTCGGAAAAACACTTGTCTAAGTGGCCAGATCTCATCACACTGAGGCTCTCCTCTTCCTCTCCAGATGAGAGCCAGGCAGCCGCCATGTCCAGTGTGAAGTCCGTCTTCAGCCGGAAGGCAGTGGTGCGCATGCAGCTGCTGAAAGAGGTGGTGGGAAGCGACTCGTACCGTGTGAACAACAAGTACGACCACAACCACACACCCCTGCCCGTCTGTGAAATCATCCAGCGAGCACAAGTCCTCATCGGCCAGGAGGTGTCTTACGACCTGCTGGGGAGCAACTGCGAGCACTTTGTTACCCTTCTGCGCTACGGGGAGGGGGTGTCCGAGCAGGTCTCTCACTGTTTATTTTGTTTCTGTCTCATGTGTCATCAGGGCAAAATACAAACCTTTCACTCGACATACCACGGTCAATGATGATCCAAAGGTCACCCCTGTCATAGATTTACTTGTGAAGTGCATTATTAGAACAGAACAGGACATTTAGATCATTTCTTTGCCACTGTGGCAAATTAGAGTAAACCTTAACATAAAATAAATCTATCAGCATTTAATTTACTGGTACTCTGTTTCTATGTGTACATTGTGTTGTCACTAGTTTAACATGGATGACCTCTGCACACTAGTCAATGGTTTTATGTAAAATAGTGTACCAGAACCCTAGCTAAAACATGAACTTTGTACTTTTTGCCTGAATCACATGGAGTCAGGTATGACCTCTCTCTTGCCTACAGGAAGGGATGGATCAAAATGTCAAGAGACACATTTTTATTTTTCCTTTTACCTGGAGTGGATTATATCAATTTTAGGTCTAAACATAGGTTTGGCAAAATCAGATGAACCGTTACTCACCAAAAAATAATCACTGGGCCTGTCTTGGCTGGTTGGATTTAGACCTAGGTTTCGAGTTGTTAAAGTTATACCTACAGTCTAAGTGGATATTAAAGAGAAACTCCACCCAAACTCTATGTCAATGTCAAAACCCATCCGCATACTTTTGAAAAGTGGCCAATGTGGGTAAAGATTTTGTGCTTTCAATCGTTACAGGGAAGGGCAGATTTAGTAAAGTTGAATTAATTAAGATTACAATGGTCTCCATTACTTTTAACATACTTAACTGAAGCGCAGTTCCTGTTCTTTACTAAACGCATATGTTGGTCCGTTAGAGTGCCTCTCATATGCCACATTTTTTATATGCATAGCTGTTTTTGAGTTGATACTATAACTATACTATATGTATTTTGTCTTTAATATTTCAAATAATTCTGAACCGTAGATTGCCAAAAAGATCTTTAGTGCTTTGTTCTGAGCAATCCTGTACCTCCACGGTCATCCTCAGTCCACCTCCTCTTCTCCTCCTTGTCTCCACAGGCTACACGGGCCATTGGGGCCATCAGTCTGGTGACAGCAGCGGCCAGTGCCTTCTCTGTCCTGGGACTGATCAACACACGATCTAGAAACAGGCCTTTCTGACAGCTGTGTTCTTCACTGAAGGGTGTTGTCTCCCAACATTCATGCAGCTGTGATTTAAAATGAATTAAATAAAGTATTGTGAAAAATGAAAATGTCTGTGTTACTTATTCAGTAAGTGACCTCATAGTTTTAGTGGTGTTTGTTGGTCATGGGGACAGCTTGGTCCCTGTCAGAGTGTGAAATTGTTGATGCATTAAATTGTTGCTTCACCCAAATTACTAAAAACATATTTTTTGTGGTAACTAGTCATGCAGACAATATGGTTTATATGGTTTTTCAGATATCTGTCTGGCTGATATTTATGCTGCCACCCCAATACAGTGGGGCTGAATAATTTTATTTTTCATGGGGACTATTTCTCTGTTCACACAAGCGAGGCCAGTGAATTATCCAGTGTAACATAGACACTGTTTCTGGAGAGAAACGTTCCTGCTTAGGTTTTTGAATGTCATTCTCCCTCTTATTGCAAATCTCACAGACAGATTATTATTATTATCCCATTAATGGGATTTAGTGAGAGATTTGAGCTTCGCTTTTAGCGCCACCTGTTGGCCGAACTGCACAAATTGTCATGTGTGATCAGGGTCCCATGGGGAACAATTGCCCCAAATTTGGTATCAATCGGACTTGTGGTTGTGGAGATGTAAAATGCATGTAAGTCTATGGGATTTTTTTGAATAGCGCCAACTAGGGGCTAACTGTACCAAATTTTGCACAGCCCCTCAGGGGGGCATGCCATATAAGGTCCTCAAGTGTTGGCCTTTCCATGCCAGAGATATGTCATACTTGCTGTTTTTAGCATTTTCGCAAATATTTGTTAGCTTGAAATTGTGATATTTTTTGTCGGATCAAAATTTCCTCTACAAACTTTCATCATCTTGGTCCAGAGATTATCCGTGCCAAGTTTGGTGTCGATCGGACTTGCGGCTTAGGAGGAGTTAATTAAAATAGGTTTTTCAGTTTTCGCGATGTAGCGAAAAACAAGTCTAGGCGGAAATGAGCGTGGCCTATACCACGAGATTCCGCTCGATCCCCCGAACGCGTGGATATAAGGTTTTTGATATACGCCTTCGTAGGCGGAAGTTCCAAGGCCAAACGCGTTGACCTTGCTTATAGCGCCCCCTAGAGGTAGAAGTGTGCGGGTTTTGGCGCCTGAGGTACTCTTGAGGCTGTGAACCTACCTTGTGAGTTTCGCGTCCCTAACAGTTACCGTCTAGGCCTTAGTATGAGTTTTATGCACGGAAGAAAAAAATAAAAATAAAAATCCGAGCGAAAACAATAGGGTTCCCAGTACAGCGAAGCGGCTGGGAACCCCACCCGATTTTTATTATTATTTTGTTGCCTTGCATTCGCGGGTTCCCAGCCCACTCGGGCTTGGACCCCTAATTAAATGTATTAAGGGACTTATTTTACCACAGTTCACCTGCAGTTTTAAGGTGTTTCCATGGTTTGCATTCTGCGGTACAGACGTCAGGTGGCGGCAACGTCCCGTAACCACCGGAAACAAATCAGCAGAAGAAGAAGAAATACTGGCAGTGTGACGTTGAACATGTGCGCCGGGATCGCCACACGTGTTGTTTTCATACACGATTGAGTGCTTTAAGTGCCAGTGTGATAATTCTTTGTAAATTTTAAAACACGCAGCGACAAATATGGGGAAGAAACTCAAAGTCGGAAAGACCAGAAAAGATAAATTCTACCACTTGGCTAAAGAAACCGGTGAGTTATCGTACCAACACTCATGGCAGAGATAAGTTTGAGATTGAACGCATTGGGGGATATTAGCATTAGCAGGATTGCTAGCTGACTCGCTAACACTGAAAAAGGTGTGCTGGATTTTAGAGTGTCACCTGTCTAATGACATCTTGTCTTTTTTAGGTTATCGCTCTCGTTCCTCCTTCAAACTCATCCAGCTCAACCGTAAATTTCAGTTTCTGCAGAAGGCCAGAGCTCTGGTCGACCTGTGTGCCGCTCCTGGTGGATGGTGAGCTGCCTGTCAACACCCGATCAGATGCTGATTACTTGTCAAGTTCGAGCATCATGTCGAGGGTTAAAAGCGTGGTTGCTTAAACTGTTCTCCATAGAGGGACAACAATGGAAACTAATTCTGGGACGCTGCCTGGTGGCATACTTTTGTATTGTCTGTTCATTGCATCCGTTCAAACATGTTTAGACATTCAGAAAAGCTTTTTTTTAAATGTGGTAGTTTGACCCTCCTTCAAAATCAATTTCTGGGTGAACTATGTAATTGCAAAAGTAACTGTAAGCAGCAAGCTGCACACATAACAGAAGGAGGACTTTCTGGCATTCCCAAACAGACTTTGTGTAATACTGACATAAGGCCAAAAATGTAACACCCTCACACAACACAACAGGAATATAAAGCTACCAAATCCTGGAGTAAGGGACATGGTGTACTAGAAGATAGGAAGCACGATGAATAGACTCATGATTCAAAATCTCCTTGCAGGTTGCAGGTGGCGTCCAAGTTTATGCCTGTATCAAGTCTCATTATTGGTGAGTGTAATATTATCAATATGATTATTTGATAATAAATTGCTCTGCCTCTGCTAAGGCCTTTAAATTCGCTTGTTTTGAGAAGTCTCATTGGTCTATTTAAAAAAAAGCCCAATTTGTATTTGCAATGGTAAGTTACTGTGAGAGAAGTTTTTTTTGTTTGTTTGTTTTTTTAAAGTGTTTCCTCCTGTCAGGTGTTGACCTGGTGCCCATCAAGCCCATCCCCAATGTGGTGGTGCTGCAAGAAGACATCACCACTGACAAATGCAGACAGGTGAGGCAGCTGCTGCAGAGTTCAGTGCATCACTGAAGGAAAACAGACTTCAGTGTCCTGGCTACAGTGCTGCATATACAAAATTACCAATTTAAGAGCCCTGCCTAAAATATTACACTGGAGACGGCCGCACTGTTGACAAAGAATCAGTTTTCTCTAAAAATCAAAGTATTGGATAGTTTTTAACATGGATTTGTTAAGTGAGATATTGCCTCTCCCCTATGCAGGCTTTACGAAAGGAACTGCAGACGTGGAAGGTTGATGTTGTGTTAAATGATGGAGCCCCGAATGTGGGAGCCAACTGGCAACATGATGCCTTCTCACAAGGTAGGTGCCACTAAAGCAAACGTTTTAGACTAAAATTTAACACACTCAGTCAGCAAAATACAATTTCACCTCTTTAGCATAGCAGTAAGTAAAGATTATTTAATATAGCACCCTTCAGAGAGCAAGTCACAAGGTGCTTTACAATGATATAAAGTAGCAATAATAAAACAGTAAAGTAGTCAAGCAATCATATATAAGCATCAAACATCATTAAACCATAAGAGGCATCAATCAATAAAATCAAGACATTTATGGATATTAAAGAGCACATGAGTATTAACATTTTCAAAAGTTTACAGTGAGATAAAGGCCTGCTTAAATGAAAGAGTCTTAGAAAAGAAAGAGCTTAGTTTTAAACGCTTCAACTGAGACCAATTCAGTTGGCTTTATTGGCATGATGTTTTTGTTTAAACACGAAGCCAAAGTTTTATAGCTTATAAAATGTTAATGAAAATAAAATGATGAAATTACATATTGCATGTAGTTTAAAAGGAAAATTAAATATTCTTACCACTTTTGCTAGTTTCTGTTTGTGTCCCAGTCACATCCCTAAAGGCAAGCACACTTGATATCATGGTCCGCAATTTAACTTTGTGTTCCTCAATTTCACGATGTTATCCATCTTTACCCCCCAGCTCATTTGACCCTCATGGCCCTGAAGTTGGCCTGTGACTTTCTGACCAAAGGTGGCACTTTCGTCACCAAGGTCTTCCGCTCCAAAGACTACCAGCCACTGCTCTGGATCTTCCAGCAGTTCTTTAAGAAGGTGCAGGCCACCAAGCCGCAGGCGTCCAGGAACGAGTCCGCCGAGATCTTTGTCATTTGTCAGGGTCAGTGGCAGCAAACGATAACAGTCTGTGATGAGAATATATGTTTTCTAAAGTATTATATATTTTTATCGTTATTTCTCATCCAGTTCTGCAGATTACATCTGAACCAGATTTGTTTTTTGTTTATCAGGTTTTCTGGCCCCTGACAAAATCGACAGTAAGTTCTTTGACCCCAAACATGCGTTCAAAGAGGTGGAGGTGCAGGCCAAAACCGTGAAGGAGCTGATTCCTGTCAAGAAGCCAAAGGCACGTACTCTGTAGGGTTGGTGGAATACTGGATGAGCAGCGTTTAATGGATCATTTCAAGTACATTTTTTTGTCACAATAACAAAACCAAAATCTACTTTCCTTGACCTGACTTGCCGTTTACACTTGATTTGAATGGTGTCAATAAGCTGTGATAGTTCTCACTCAAAAATATTATATTTACTTTGAAATAAACATTTGATTCCAAATATATTGCATGCATCTCTGACCAAGCAGCTGCTCTTTCGTTTTAGGCGGAGGGCTACGAAGACGGTGATCTGACACTTTACCACAGTTTCACAGTGACAGCCTTTCTGAAAGCCGACAACCCCATAGACTTCCTGAGCAAAGCCAGCGAGGTGAGCTCTCTGGATTACTTTGAACTCCAGTCAAAGACTGATGCTGGCAGTCTGTACATTTTGCTTGTCAGATGTATATTGCAGCCTTAAGGAGATTCTCACTCTTGTCGTCTTCATTCAGATCGCCTTTGACAACACAGACCTGGAGTCTCACCCGGCCACCAGCAACGAGATAAAGGAGTGCTGTCGTGATATCAAAGTGTTGGGTCGCAAAGAGCTCCGGTAAGTCTTTTCCATCACTCACGGCTTAGGTTTGTGCATTAATTGTTGCTACTGCTTTTTTTTTTCTTCTCCCTATAAATAATACAGATTGTGTGTGCGCGCGTGTTCTTTTGTCCTCTATCCTCACATCTGCAGCCTGCTGCTGAACTGGAGGTCCAAGCTGAGGAGATTCCTGGCCAAAAAACTGAAGGAGGCCAAACAGCTTGACAAAGATATCAAGTAAACTCTTTACAACACATACATACAAAAAGCCACCCAAATATTCTAGTCTTTGCCAGACTCTTTCATAGTAGATAAACAAAAAAATATCTTTGCTTTTAGCTTAAGTTCTGACGAAGAACAGGATAATTCAGAGGAAGAACCAGAAAAGAAGAAAAAGGCAGAGGAGGAAGAGGACGAGGAGGCAGAAATGGAGAATAAACTGGCAGAACTGAAAGCTGAGGAGGTGGCTGAGCTCAAACGGTACGGCACAAAGTTGGTCAGGAGTACAGTTTTCTTTCTACTCCAGGATTTTATTTTTATATTTTCCGCAACATTTTGTGCTTGTCCAATGCAGGTGCAGATTTTCCTGAACACTTCTGCTAAGTTCTTTTTGTAGCTGAATTCAAGATTCCTTTTTTATTCAGCAAAACACAGAAATATGTAAAGCATGAAAAAAAATTACAAGCCTGGCTTCTTTAAAAACAGGGTATCGTAACATTACTAAGTTGCAACAGACAGGGCTGTGAAGTATTGTTAATGCTGATTGAACCAGCTGCTTTTTTGATTGACCTCTTACATCTTGTCAGCCTGTTGCCCATGATGTGGTTTTAGTGGAAAAATATGTGTTACACCTATTATAGAGTTTTGTATAAGTGTCCTGCTCCATCAGGAAGAAGAAGAAGTTGCTAAAGGAGCGGAGGAAGCAGAGGGAGCGGGTGGAGCTGAAGATGGACCTTCCTGGCGTCTCCATCGCAGATACCAACGACTCATCCATGTTCTCCCTCAGCGCCATCAACAAGAAAAAGGTGGAGACCACACAGATGCAAACTTCCCACTTGGGCTGGGCCGTCAGAGAGGACAACAAATAAAGCTTCAGTCCTTGTAACATATAGGCTTTACTGAAACCATGTTAAATCTCACATCTGATGAACACACATTTTCTACAGTCTTTCTATTTAAATCTCTTTTTGTCTTACCTGCCCAAATTGCACCAAACTAAAGATGAGAATACTCCTGAGGTCAGTGCTTTAAGGTAGTGTATACACATTCCAACCTCATATCGGGTGCATAGGCAAAAAAAAGTCTTAAGAGAAAAGAGCACCCGCACACCTAACATATGCTGCCAAAATAATTATTTTATTAAATACAGTTATTCCCAACATTCATACTTCATTAGATAGTAATACTCTCCAGATATACTTGGTGTGCACGAGACTAAGCACTTGGTCATTATTCTGATTTACACCGAGAAGCAGCTGTACCTTTTACCAGTTCTAATCTGACATCCTTTTTTGTTCACTTCTCTCCATCAGGTGCTGGCTGTTATATCCAAGGGGGACATGCAGGCAGCAGACGCTCTGGTAGAAGGAGATGACGACCTCCACCTGTCCGACGAAGAGGATGACGAGGTGGATAAAATGTCCCTGGCCTCTGATTTAGATGATGAGGACTTGGAAGAGGTGGAGCAGAGAGAGAGAGAACTGGAGAGGAAAGCACCAAAGAAGAAGTGAGTGGTCAAACACCTGGTGTTTAAAACAGTGTTCTTGAAAAACACACAAGGGTCATACCCTCAATATTTATTGTTTTGTTTAGTTTTTGATTCTGTTTGTGTTTCCTAGAGTTAAGTTTGCTGAAGAAGAAGAGGAGGATGAAGAGCAGGGAAGTGGTCTACTGGTGGAACTAGAGGGAAAGGATGAGAAGAAAGAACGAGAGACCAACCTGTGGTTCAGCAAGGTTTTTCCACCTGTGCTCCCATACTGTTAAAAAAAAAAAATAAAGAAAAGATCAATCAATATAAAAATAAATAAACATGGTGTTATATAATTATTGGTGACATGCCTCATGGCTTACACCTGCAAAACATTTCTCTTTGACCTTGTCATACTTTTGCTCTTTAGGGCATCTTCTCTGAGATCGACCTGGAGGGAGATGCAGAGAGCGAGCTTCAACAGACCGAGTGGCTACAGACCAAACAAACAGGTAACGGGCTCCACTGTTTCTCATTCATTTGTTCCCGCCTGTTCATCAAAAGTGTTCTAAAAAAGGATATCCATGATTCGTTAAACAATATGGACATAAAATGAGTTTAAAATATCACTCTTAAGAATCGTAGGTCTCCTAAATCTTGGACAGGCAAAAAAATGACAGTTTTGGATCTTTTTATAGAAAAGGGCAAAAAGAGGAAAGCTGAAGAAGAGAAGCAGGAGGAGGAAGAGGAGGAGAAGGCTGCTCCTCCAAAGGAGAAAAAGGCGGGACCTTCACAGAAAGCTGAAGAGGAGAGTGACAGCGACTCGGATGACAGCGATGATGAGAAGTAAAACCTTACTTACTGTGCTTGTCTATTCTGTTCCATATAGTATATAATGGGTCCAGTTTGATTCGTACTATTGACAACTAAACAAATATCCAAATAAATCAACCAATATTTTGCTGCTTGTTCCAGGGAGATTACCAGGATGAAGCAGACCAAGGGGACTGGTGGGATGTCAGGAGAGGCTGTTGACGATGACCTCCAAGTTGTACCTGTAGAAAGCACCAGTGAGTATGAAACATTAATATTTCAGGTGTTTAGCTGGTGATCTCCAATTTACTAAAATACTTTCGGAAACTGCTGAACTTATAACACAAGAGAAACCAGCCTTCCAAGGTTGGAAACTGGCTCACCTGCAAATGGGGCTGGTAGATGAAAACATCCACCGGCCAAACATATTTTTTCCCAGCAAAATAATACATTGCCTTTTTGTGTCGCACATACATTTGTTTCTGTCTGAGAGTGCCAACATTTTTTATACAGTCTATAAATCCTATTCCTTGATCTCTGGGGAGGACGGCTGGACCATAAGAAGATCTGACAGGATATCAGACACTAGACTAGACCGTCAACTTTATTTTTTATGGTCTGCTTCTGCCGCCATTTCATCTGCATATTTGTTTGGGGCGGGGTTTGGTTACTAGACCTGGTAATGGTTGCCACATTACAGTGGTAGCTAGTTACTAACACTCCAAGTACAAGTTTCGTAGCTCCTAACACAAGCCGCTTTCACACTGTGTTATTGCTGACCAGACCACACTCTCCCCTCTTTCCCTCCCGACTCCTGTCCTCTAACTCCCACCCCCTTACAAATCTACGCCAATCAAACACAAGTAACATGAAACGAACATAAACAACAACGAATGAACCCCCCCCCCCCGCGCCATCCGCCGTCCGCCATCTCATATGCAAACTTATTTGGGGTTATTTATCATTTCAAAAGTAGTTTACATAAGTTACCAACATGAGACTGAACGCTCCTGTGCATGTAAATGCAGCCAGTGACAGTGCATGAGTTTCATGATGTTTATGGGTTCTGTCCTTGTCAGGTAAGAAAGCCAGGATTCTGGATGCAGAGGGCCTGGCCCTGGGCTGCCAGATAGCTACGTCTAAGAAGAGAGCCAGGGACCTCGTAGACAGCTCCTTCCACAGGTGGGTGGGTGTTTTCCATGGCATTCAACCCCAGAGCTCCTTTGTTCCTACTGCAGATGTAAACTTACAGAAACTGTTCACAAATATACAGCATATTTTTATTTTCACACATTACACACTTGGTGCCATAGTGGGATTGAGTCACAATAAACTACACTGCCCACATTCACTGCAATGAAAGTGATATATTGTTTTTTATTTTGTGCATGTGTGAATTGTCTCACAAAACTTATAATGTAACTAATACAAAATCCTGATGCTGTAAATAATCACTTTACCACCAAATATGTGAAAATGAAAATATATGTGTACAGTTTCTAAAAGTTCTTTGGTAGGAACAAATGTGCTCAGGGTTGAGTACCACAAACACAGTGGGGAGGACATAAAAAAAATGTATTTTAGCTTTTATATTTTATTCTTAGCAGGGTCAGGGAGGCAAGTTAGCCAAAATGTTTTGCACACTGATTATACAGTATATTATACATATTATTACTATAAAACTAGTTTTGTAATCAGACATAAAGCCAATTGTATGCTCCTCTCCCGCAGGTTTGCCAGCTCCGAGGAGCAGTGGGACGTACCGGAGTGGTTCCTGGACGATGAACGGAAACACAGGAAGAAGCCGGTACCGGTTACCAAAGAAATGGTGGAGGAGTACAAACAAAAATGGAAGGAGATTGATGCCCGACCCATCAAACGAGTTGCTGAGGCCAAGGCCAGGAAGAAGAGGAGGGTAAGGTCATGGAAAAGTACAGTAGTGCAACTGTTGATGACAGATGATTTAAATAAAAAGTTAAAGTTGCCAAAAAGATGATCAGATCGTTACAGCTGCTGAATCTATTTGAAGCAAAACCTGAAACCTTTTAGTTTAAGAAACTTGTAAATCAGGCAATGGTCCAAGTATTTCTGTAGATCTTAATTTGATTTGTTTTTCTGTGACTTTACCAGATGCTGAAGAAGATGGAGCAGGCTAAGAAGAAAGCAGAGGCAGTTGTCAACACAGTGGACATCTCTGAGAGGGAGAAGATGGCTCAGCTGAAGAGGTATGATGTCACACGTTTAGGGGTGGATCCTCAAAAACAAAATTATGACTAACATGAAACTAAATTGCTTCATACTGGTTACTTTTAGAAATAATATAATTTGCATAATTTTGACATTTTTGACCCCCCCCCCCCCCCCCCCCCCCCCCGATCTGCCAGTATCTACAAGAAAGCAGGCCTGGGGAAGGAGAAGAGAGAAGTAACATACCTTGTGACCAAAAAGGGAGCTGGCAAGAAAGTCAGACGGCCCCCCGGCATCAAGGGAGCCTTCAAAGTGGTGGACAGTCGCATGAAGAAAGACATGCGGGGAATGCAGAGGAAAGAACAACATGCTAAAGGTGGCAAAGGAAAAGGTGGCAAAGGAAGAGGTGGCAAAGGAGGGCGAAAGGGAAGATAAATTTGAACCTGTAACACTCTCACAGTCCCGGTCTTTCTAACCGTCAAACATTGCCTGGTCTCGTATTGCAGGTGATCTAAGATGCGCGCCGCAGTTTGGGCTCCGGTATTATGTACAGAGGCTAAAATAAACTGTGGTCATTCACTTGGATGCCATCTTTTTAGCTATCTATGCTGAGGTCCCTTAAACTGGACACCTGAGATATGTTCTGGGGGTATTTACATGCTGGTGTTCTGTGCACGTCTTTAGGAAGATGTACATTATTTGCCTTGAACTCTATGAACAATGCTTCCACTTCAGCTGAACTGAAAATCACAGTAAATTAAACAATAGTCTTCCATGTGCCCTATACCTGTGCAAGTTCATGAATAAAACCAGTTCATCAAGTTAGTAGTTTCTTTTGCAGATGAAGATTTTATAGAAAAGACATATAACAGTACATTGATCAAACAATCCAACAGTATATGAAGATATTAAAATCACAGGGGCCTGATACATTAAATTTCTGCTAAATGCTGTAAAGAATCATTCTTCTTTTATGTACTTCTGGTTTATAATGTATCTGTACTTTTACTGAAGTGATATTTTGAATGTAGGACTTTTTATTTTTTAACTTATTTAAATAATTTTACTTAAATTTTATTCTACCTTTTTTTTTTTAACATGTTTTGTCAAGAACACAATTGCTCTTCCAGAATAACGCATGTGTGTATTTTTCCATAGTAAAATATAGAAGTAGATACAAGTTATATTTTGCTAAATTGAATTTGAGACTTTTGTGACTGAAATGTCTTAATTTTAACGTCGGTTGTAGAAATGGGGTGGTGATGATGCAGTGGATAAGGACGCGACATGCCTTTGGTGTGAGAGACCCGGCTTCAAGTCCCCACTGTGACACGTCCACCAATGTGTCCCTGAGCAAGACACTTAACCGCTAGTTGCTGCAGAGGTATGCGACATATATAGCAATTGTAAGTCGCTTTGGATAAAAGCCTCGGCCTTTCTTTCAATGTCAGTTCCGTGAGACTTACAGGTGTCGTGCCAAGGTAGTTATCCCCGCGCGCTACCCTGCCGCGGGAGCGCGCGTGCATTCAGCGGTGAAGGCGGACCTTCGACTTCATCAAAGTGAATGTACCATGTGGATTGTTTAATCTATCGTTTTAGTATTGTTTTATTAACGAGGTTTGTGTAGAGCAAGCTAGTATGGGATTAATATCCTGCCTTGATTCAAAACTGAAAATAAAGTTCTGAAAGGTTGAAACTAAGTGTTTGAAAACTCAAAATCTTACAAAAAAAGTTTTGCAAGATCAAAAACTAAGATTTGCAAAATGTAAAAAAATTAAACAATCTCTGCAAACATTATGTTGTTTTTGAGTTTTCCTTCTTCAGAACAATTTTAAATCAGAGTTTCAAATTTGTCAGTGTCCTCCCAGTGTATTAGTTTGTTTTCCAGGTTTGAAACCTTGTAAATGGTGATCTGAAAACTGGTGTGCAAATGTATGAAAAAAAAGTTTTGAAACTCTGAAAATTGAGATTCAAAAGGGCGAAACTTTATTACATTACAGTTGCGCTCATATTGCAGACTATTTTTTCAGAGCTAAGTTTACAACACCCACTTTGCGGAGATACGCCTACACAGTTGCGAGTTTGCGACTCACGTGATTTGTGGCAGCGTTGTCACGCAGCTCTGCTCTGAAACTCAGAAACTCAGACTAAGCGAAAATGAAGCCTCGCAACTTTAAAATAAAGACATGGAGTCAGGGCCTTCTGCTCTTGGCCAACGCTTGGCTGTCTGCTGAAGTACAGTCCAATCTCAAGTCATATTTACTGGATAGAAGGATTGACAGACTGCTCCGCCAATGACAGACGCGGACAGGATACGTGTTCAGGAAGCACGGCTCCCTGGACGGGCTGGCTGTCTCGGTCCAAGCGGTGCATGGATGTGGAAAAGAAATCTGCAACGGGTAGTAAGTAGCTCAGGGCGGTTTGTTCATCAGCGCGATGTCACCCGTGGTGGTGTGTCAGCAGATGCAGTAACTGAACCAGCGGTGAGTAAGAAATAGTATAAATAACATGTAATTTGTTATTAGCTATGAGGAGATGGAAAAGTCCGCTAACCACTAGGCTAATTTATGCTGCGTAAAGTGCAGGCTGAATTTACGGTAAACTATCAATGGAGACTATCAACCAGACAAATCTCGACAGTTATTAAACCAAAATGTATGCTTTTGTTAAATGTGATTATTCTATTATACCACGTTTTATGTGTGGTAGTGGATTCATTTTAAATTTGACTTTACTGTAGTTAACCAGTAACAACTATTTGTGTTGTTTTTTCTTTTATGGCCTAAAGCACTGAAGACAAGGCAGCATGCTGCAGTCATCACTCACAGGAGGACGAAAAGAAGGAGGAGGAGAGCAACAAAATAACTTCCAAACAATAGAATAAATACCTTTTAATCCACCACACGTCTTGTTGTTTATATGGAAATACAGAAGAAGCATGGGAGAACTGCACATAGTTCGTTGTTACTGTGTTATTAGAGCATGGGAGAACAGTGGATACTTTTAATATAGCCCACTCCCATAATATTACTGTGTAGCTACAGAATAACAAGTGGAGAACATGCAAGATTTTTTTTTTACAACAGTCTCTACAGCTTCATCTATTGTGTGTTAGGAATGAAAATAAATACTAGACTCCTCTGTACCCCGTTTACATTCAAAGTTAGCTGTGTTTGATCCACCTTCATATAGAGTATACTTCACATTATTACATTACTGTATAACTTGAGAAAGGTAAGTTTGTTTTCTACTCCAGCCTGCCTAAAGAGCTGTTGCAGTGCAGGATGATAATAGACTTCTTTCTCAATGTATTATTTTAAATCATGCAATAAGGAAGAAGAAATGTGTAATACAAATGTGGCTGGCCTTCTGAAGGGGGCAACCAGATCATTTGTTTTTTATTGAATTCAGTCCATTAGTATATTATTTTGGTAGCACATCACAACTGAGAAAAACACCTTAATGAATTAATAGATGCTAAAGGAGGTAATTCTTGTAAACCGTTCAGCTCTGTTTACTAGCACTGTAACTAGTAAGCAAGGGCGTCACTTTGTGTTGTAAAGTGGGGACATAAGGTCTCAGATTAGGGGGGTGATGATACATTTGGGTTATAAGATGTGACGATGCACGAGAACAAGACAAAAATATAGCACTATTTAGATGAAACTATGATGGTGAAATATGTGCTGTAGGTCTGGGTACTCCCCCAGACGATTTTAAGCATTAAACTCGTAATTTCCTGCATTCTGGAAACATTTTCTGCTCCAATTTATGGTGGAAATGTCTGTTTTTTATGAGGGAAAACTATATTGCGTTGCATGTATTCTTATTGTGCAAATAAACCTTTCTCAAAGCAATTTCATTTGTTAGTTAACATTTCTTGGTGCTACTTTTGAGAACGTTTTTAACAAATGCTTTCAAAAAGTGATGGGGACAAAATCAGCCATTTCAAAATCTGGTGGGGACATGTCCCCAGCATCCCAAGTGTAAATGACACCTAGGCTTGTAGGTACCCAGCCTTTTAAGTTTAATACTTGCATATTGGAAACCAAAAGGAGAGAACAGAATCAAACGGTTGTATTTGTTGAAATGTAAATAGTTTTATTCATTGCACATTTTCAGCCCCAGTGCCATCGTTCTTTAGTTTGAGTTTGCTGCACCTAAAAACATTTGACAGCTGAATCAGATTATTGTGAGTCAGTTTAGTTTTCAATAAATGCTAAAGTAGTTGCCTTTACATCCAAAGGTGTCTTTCAGGGTGAACTGATGAATGGCAACCAATCTGTTAATGATCATTGTTCATTCATTGTAGACAAGAACAATGAACTCCAGGATGAAGCTGTCCACAAATACATGTCTTTTCGTCCTCCTACATTGTCTGTCATTGGTGGAGCAGTCTGTCAATCCCTCTATCCAGTAAATATGACTTGTGATTGGACTGTACTTCAGCAGACAGCCAAGCATTGGCCAAGAGCAGAAGGCCCTGACTCCATGTCTTTATTTTAAAGTTGCGAGGTTGCGAAGCTTCATTTTCGCTTAGTCTGAGTTTCAGAGTTTCAGAGCAGAGCTGCGTGACAACGCTGCCAAATTTGAAACTCTGAAAAATTGTTCTGAAGAAGGAAAACTCAAAAACAACATAATGTTTGCAGAGTTTTTTAACAATTTTTTTTACATTTTGCAAGCTTGCAAATCTTAGTTTTCGATCTTGCACAACCTTTTTTTGTAAGATTTTGAGTTTTCAAACACTTAGTTTCAACCTTTCAGAACTTTATTTTCAGTTTTGAATCAAGGCAGGATATTAATCCCATACGGTAGCGTCAGATCCTGTTTACGCTGGGGGGAGAGGTAGTTAGTGAGAAATACATTTCCCGTGAGTCTTTGCGACGTATCCAAAACCGAAATCGGCCTTGTTGTTGGCCGTAACGCCGAGTTATACGTAATTGGCGAGGAAAGTCTTCTGGACATGTTAATATTAAGTACGTGTCGTGTCCGTAAGCTATCTACAAAAGCGAGTTTGAGTCGGTGAGTTTGAAATTAGGCATCTAGTCTGCCGGAGAGCCAGAAGAAGAAGAGTTTGAAATTAGCATACCTGCTACCGTTATAACTCAACTCCCGAAACCGTAAATTAAAGTTAGTCTTGGTTTCACTTGGCTAGAGCTCTTGTTTGGAAGTTACCACTCCAGCTACCTAAATAGCTTTAATGCTGAACGGTTAATTGGGGAGTAAACCCCCCTCTCTGTACCAGGATGCTCCTTGTTGTGCTGGTATGCAGCCTGTCCGTGTCACTGGCTGCTACGGGGCAGCAGACCGACGACGACTGGATAGACCCTTATGATATGCTCAACTACGATTCAAGCACCAAAACGATGAGGAAGCCTGCAGAGGTTGGTTGATGTTAAAAGTCTACTCTGATCAAATTGCATTTGCTGACGTTGCTATTGCCCTGATGATGTGAAGCGATGTTCATGTTTCTGTTGTGACAGTATGTATGTGTGTATGTATGCCTTGCAGCCAACAAAGTATGACAGTGTGCCAACTACAAGAAGAGAGTATACCAAGGACTCCAGCCAGGCTGAGCTGACATCGTGCATCAGTCAGGTAGTGGATGTACAAACAGGCTGCTGGTTTAAACTTATACCATTTGTTAACTTGCACGTTTTTCTGAGGAACCAGATTACATGAATTCAGTCAGTGTATGTATAGCTATACCATGGTAATGGCAATTAAATCCTTTGATTACTGTCAGATTCAAACCCTAATCAGTAAATATCTTAATTTATACATCAACCAGTCATTTTCTTTGTCTCCAAAGGGTGGTTGTGCAGCAGTGCAACATAAATGTAAGAAAATCGGAAGGTCGGCGGTTCAATCCCTGGCTCCCCCTGGTTGCGTGTCGAAGTGTCCTTGGGCAAGATACTGAACCCCGAATTGCCCCTGGCGGCTATTCCGCCAGTGTATGAGAGAGTGTGAATGTTAGTTTCCGTTTGAGCACTTAGGCAGTGTATGAATGTGTATGACTGGTGAATGCAGATGTAGTGTAAAAGCGCTTTGAGTGGTCGAAAAGACTAGAAAGGCGCTATACAAGTACGGAGCATTTACATTTACATTAACATTTAAACATGTGCAAACATAAACAGTCTGCAGAGTGTAAGACAAAAAGCCAGTAACCGGTGACTTTATACTGTATTGCGCAGCTATCAAAGGGAGGAAGGGAGTAGAGACCAGCTGTCCTGAGATGAAGGCCAGTCATATAAGAAAACTCTCTAACGAGCATCCTTCCCATGGGAAACTTCACCTAGCTGTAACATAATAAAATAATAATAATAATATCACACAGTGAAATGCTGGTCTATTCTGATGAAGCATGCAGGGTGAAACAGTAAACACAGTAAAATATCAAATTTCCATCACAGTCGATAGTTTAGTTAAGAGATAGCAGAGGGGATTATTTGATTTTTAGATATGTTGGTTTTCACTAAGGGATCCTAAAAATGGAACCTGGGGGGAAGATCCAAAACTCTGGATAAACACGGGATGGGCCTATCATGCTGAATTAACTGCTTTGTGGACCAGGCAGTTTTTTCTGTTCCAGTGATTTTACTGCAGACATTTGCCAACCTATTTAGGAAAGTACATACAGCAACAGTTGGCAAAACTGGCAAAGATGGAAAAAAATAATTTAAAAAAAACAACATAAAAACTCAGCAACTATGACACCTCAAACAAACAAATGTTGTGCTTTGCTTTCATTCAGAAGGAAGAACTAGAGAAGAAAATCCAGCTCATCTTACAGCAGCCCACATGCAGTCCAGTGTTCATGCGATTCCTTAGGAGACTCCAGAAGGAAATTCAGAGAGTTGGTTTGGTATATGGTCATTTCACATGTCTTTATTGGCAATGATCATATGGCCTACTTCAGACAAAGTTATTGTAACCGTTTTTAAATGTGATATCCCTGATGTTTCAAGTTCTATCAAGTCTGGTTCAATATTTAGAAAAGGCCCAGTTGCACTTACAGCGCATTACAGTAGAAAATGGGACACCATTTTAACAAATCTGTCCCCTTTTCTCCCCAGCCCAGTGACTCTACGTACACTCACTATGATGCAAACATCAAACTGTCCAGACAAGACATGACAGAGATTGAGAGACTTCTGGAGGGTGAAGACAGCTGGAGAACAGGGGCTCTGGACAATGCCATCAGTCAGATACTAGTGGATCTCAGACCACATGACCGTGAGGTTTGGAGGTGGCGTTTTGAAGACACCTTTGGCGTGGAGCTTGACACACTTTTAAAAGTAAGCTTGTTCATTAATCGGAAATCTTTGTTAATGGGTCTTTAAGATTCTTCAGTCATGTGCTACCTGTTCATAGTCACAACTCTCTAAAAATGTAGTCTGAGTCTAAGATGTGTCTTAAGTGAAACTGGAGTGTGTGTGTGTTGCAAACTTCATAATGTTCGTTTCTTTCATCTCCTCTCTCCCTATGTGTATCTCACTTGCAGAGTAGACTCAATGCTTTTCGGGAATGCACAAATTTGATTGGCTGAGCAGCATCACATGAGACGATTGGAACACCTGCAATTCATGAGCTTCTTTTAATGATAAAATTATAACTATTAGAAACAAAATTCACTATGACCTGCCCCCAACTGGCTCCGACTTCTAAACTCAGGAACCTTAGAAACAGCTGTAAAACCAGATATATGTTTAGATTGCTTTGCTTCCCTCAATCTTTACCAACTAACTTCAATAATTTCTTCATCTAAACAATCAACCTGCCTCTTAGACCCCATCCCGACTAGGCTGCTTAAAGAAGTTTTACCCTTAGTCAGCACTTCTATACTAGATATGATCAATCTGTCTTTATCAACAGGCTATGTACCACAGTACATAAGTAGCTGTAATTAAACCTCTTCTGAAAAAGCCCAAACTTGATCCGGATGTTTTATCAAACTATAGACCTATATCTAACCTTCCATTTCTCTCTAAGGTCCTGGAGAAAGTAGTTGCTAAACAGCTGTGTGACTTTCTACAGAGCAATAGTTTGAGGATTTTCAGTCAGGTTTTAGAGTTCAACATAAATGACTAATGACCTCCTCATTGCATGACTTGTCTCTGTACTGGTTTTATTAGGTTAGTGCTGCATTTGATACCATTGACCATCAGATCCTATTGCAGAGACTGGAACATTTCATTGGCATTAAAGAAACCGCTCTAAGCTGGTTTAAGTCCTATTTATCAAATCGATTTTAGTTTGTACATGTTAACAATGAGTTCTCCATGCATGCCAAAGTTAGTCATGGAATTCCTCAAGGATCTGTCCTCGGACCAATCCTCTTCACTTTATATATGCTTCCTTTAGGCAAATATTATCAGGAAATATTCCATAAATTTTCATTGTTATGCAGATGATACTGAGTTATATCTATCGATCAAGCCAGATGAAACTCATCAGTTAGCTAAACTTCAAATGTGCCTTCAGGATGTTAAAACCTGGATGACCTGTAATTTTCTGTGAAGTTATTGTTCTGGGGCCCAAGCACCTCCGTGACGCATTATCTAAAGATATAGTTTCCCTTGATGGCATCGCCCTGGCCTCCAGCACCACTGTGAGGAATCTTGGAGTTATCTTTGATCAAGACATGTCGTTTGGATGACTGCAATTCCCTATTATCAGTCTGCTCGAAAAAGTCCATTAAGACTCTTCAGCTGATCCAGAATGCTGCAGCACGTGTTCTGACAGGAACCAGGAAAAGAGATCACATTTGTCCTGTCTTAGCTTCTCTGCATTGGCTTCCAGTAAAATCCAGAATAGAATTTAAAATCATTCTTCTCACATACAAAGCTCTTAATGGTCAGGCACCATCTTATCTTAAAGAGCTCATAGTACCTTACTACCCCACCAGAGCACTGCGCTCCCAGATTGCAGGGTTACTTGTGGTTCCTAGAGTCTCTAAAAGTAGAATGGGAGCCAGAGCGTTCAGCTATCAAGCTCCTCTCCTGTGGAACCAGGTTCCAGTTTGGGTTCAGGAGGCAGACACCATCTCCACATTTAAGAGTAGGCTTAAGACTTTAGTTAGGGCTGGCTCAGGTGAGTCCTGAACCATCCCTTAGTTATGCTGCTATTTCCTATGATGCACTGGGCTCCTCTCTCCTCTACTTTCTCTCCCTCTGTATGCAACCTCATCCCATTATTGCATGTTACTAACACAACTTCTCCCCTTTCCGGTAGTCTTGTGCTTTCTCTTCCCTCTCCTTCTCTCCTCCTATCACTTCCTGCAGGTGTTTCTGGCTCTGGAGCTGTGGAGTCTGGATCTGTGGTTGCGAGTCACCTGCTGCCCCTGTGTTCCTGCTCGACACCCTCTGCTACAATTATTGTTACTAGTCCTATTGTTATTATAATCATTAACATTACGATTATGATCATTAACACTACTATAAATATCTGTACTATTTTTCGTTTAGTCTATAGCAATATCACCTTTACTGTCTGTACGTGTGTGTGTGTGTGTAGGCTGCCTCCCTCCTCTCTCTTGCCCTCTCTCTCTCTCTCTCTCTTCCTCTCTCTCTCTCCCTCCCTCTTCCTCTCTGTCCCTCCCTCCCTCTTCCACTCTCTCTCTCTATCTCTCTCCTTCAACCCAACCGGTCGAGGCAGATGGCCGCCTACCCTGAGCCATGGTTCTGCTCGAGGTTTCTGCCTCTTAAAATTAAGTTTTTCCTTGCCTCTGTCGCCTAGTGCTTTGCTCTTGGTGGGAATTGTTGGGCTTCTGTAAATAACATCAGAGTATGGTCTAGACCTGCTCTTTTATGAAAAGCGCTGTGAGATAACTGTTGTTGTGATTTGGCGCTATATAAATAAAATTAAATTGAAATCAGTACTGTAAAAGTATGCTAGAAAAGCTGTGCTGGTTAAAATGGAAATGCTCCTTCAAGAGGTAGCCTAGTAATTCTCTGTAATAAATCGGCTATTGTTCTAGGTGCAGAGAGGACGGCGGCTGGGTCCGGATCCCGGCCACGCTCACCAATTAGTGACCTACACCATATACCCTAAGTAGTGAGACGTAGTCAGAGCACCAATAGAAACATCTATTCTATATGACTGCTGAGCTTTTAACTTGAATGGAAAGTAAGCTTTAAACAATAACACTTACAGTCCAACTCGTTAAGGTGGCCCACTTCCGTATATTTTATTTATTTATTTTTAAATACTACTGGTGTTTATTTTGTGTTTACAAGTGGTTTTCCATCTTGTGCAATCAGTCAAGATGTACTCTCTCTTTGTGTTCCAGGTGTTGCTGCTTGTTCTGATCATAGTGGCGATCATATGCACTCAGCTGTGGTCAACGGTGTCCTGGTTCACGCAGTTCAGGAGACTGTTTGCTGTCTGCTTTTTGATCAGCATTGTCTGGAACTGGTTCTATCTGTACAAGGTGAAGAAGAGCTCTTTTAGTTCCCTTGCTCTTGTTTAGCTGACAGAGACAGACAGAAGTTTGTAATACTGTTTCCTTTTATTTATTTTCAGATTGCCTTTGCTGACCACCAAAACAACATAGCGAAGATGAATTCTGTGTATGAAAAATGCACTGGAATGAAGAAAATTGACTGGACGGATAGCTTGAAAGGTGAGCCAATTACAATTGAGAATCAGAATCAGCTTTATTGCAAAGTAGGTTTACACATAAAAGGAATTTTCTTTGGTGACTTGGTGCATAACAATAAACATAATACATATAAATATAAAAATATTAAATTGACAGGATATAAAAGAATAACGACGAAATGTGCAATATCGTTTTGGACCGCAGCCACCTGCCAGAGGGGAGTCTCTGAAACCGGGGTGGGAGGGTCAGCCACAATGTTTCCTGCTTGCCTCAGAGTCCTGGAAGGATAGTAAATTGCAGCCATTCTCCTTCTCTGTGGAGCGAATGATAAGTTGCAGTCTGCCCTTGTCCTGGCAGTAGCAGTAGTTTACCAAATGGTGATGGAGCAGTTAGGATGGACTTGTACCTGGAGGTGTAGAGGTGCACCATCATTGTCTTTGGGAGGTTGAACTTCCAGGAAGCGGTGCTGATGGTCCAAGAGTCAGACATGTTTCCCCTGCTTCACCTGCTGCCCTCCTGTCTGACAGGAAGTCTGTGATCCACCTACAGGTGGAGCCATTCACGTCAGTCATTGGTGCACATTTAAAGCAACATTCTGTGGTATTTTTATCTTAAAATAACAGCTTATAATTGGGAGAATGGCATCTCAGTCATTGCCATTCCGGGCAACATTGAACAACACTGAAATCCCGGGCAGGAAATTAATCGCGAGAACAGCATAATGCTTTAAGGCTACATATCGCACACCAACAAAACTGTTATGCAAGCAAGCTATAAGAAGAAGAGAAAAATTATTAAATGTACGATGTATGTTCTGTGGAAGAAGCTAACTCTGTATTCTCAGCACGGATATAGTGGCAGAGGCTGTGAAGTGAAAGAGAGTGACAGAGCAAGAGACTGGACAAGAGTAAATATTGGACTGGCTTTTACTGATTGGCATGAGCCAAAAAAGGTGAAAGAATGCAGGACAGATGCCGAGTTGGCCTTTCTGTTGGAAAAGCAATAACTTATTAGCTGCTTGCTACGACTTGTGCTGCGCTTGCTTGATGTTTGGCTGTAGCAAAGTTGTAGACCGAACAAAATCAGTCGGAGTGTTCACAGACAGGAGTTTAGCCGCTAACTGTAAATCTCGAGTTGATGTTAGCAAACCTACTAGATGACACACTCGGACATCGGTAACAGTACTGTAAGTGCTCTTGCATCGGTCGCTGGCTAGCTTTGTTGGCTAGCTTTCCACCATTGACTGTATATAAGAAATGGGGACAGTCATCGTGACGTCACCCGTTGGTTTGTGGACTGCCGTTATGAAGCCTTGAGTTTGGCCGATAGGGCTCCGCCGTGTTGATTTTTTTGCAACCAGGAAGTGCCCGGAAGTGACCATATTTGGACAAGACTAGGGATGCAACGGTTACAGATTTTGTTGGTACGATTATTGTCAGAGAAATAATCACGGTTTCACGATTATTATGCATTTATTAATTTAACTACACTAGTAATTACTTTTTTTTTTTTTATAATTAATTACATTAACAATTATATTTCTATACTATGTAAGTATTATTAATATAAGAGGAATATTAACTTTTATCCCCCAGGTGAAATTGCTATTAAGGAGGGAAATAAACTGAACTGTTACTGTCATCAATTCTCATCCATACATATAAGTATTAGTGAAAATTATGAAATGAAATTGAGTGCAGTGTTAACTGAAATGCAGTTAATTTGTAGCCTATAGTCCTGAAAGTCTATAAGCTCCTGATGTTATGTTAGTGTTTTACATCTGGCAACATTTTCTCAACACAGACAGAAGGATGTAACGATAAATGTTCAGACTTGGTGTACCCGAAATTCTCCCACACTGCCAACTTCAGCAGTTTCTTTGGTGGAAATAAAACTTCACAATTTGGTCCCTCTGCCAGAGTTTCTCTGATAAGCATGACACTTTAAGCTGGTGCACTGCTCGTGTAACTTTATTTTCGTTATGTACAAGTTGCCACAGTTTTGTTTTGTGCTACAGAAACACTCGGTGTAGCAGCGCCTTTACGATTAAGTAACCGTGTCGTTTTAAAGCACGGTTAATTGTGAAATCCAGTAATCGCTGCATCCCTAGACAAGACGGTGGAGATGACGCCTGTGTGTGTTTTGTCTAGCGAACAACAGTCTTAAAACTAAATGTACTCATCAGAGAAAGTGAATAGCCAACTCGTACGCTTTTTCAACGCCGCTGGTTAAATTTACACAGTGCCGTGGGTATGAGTCACTCTAGCGTGATTGACAGGTCACCATGGTAATGGCTTGTCAATCATAGATAATCCCATCCTGAAGCATACTCTGCTTTTATGATCTATTTTAAAATAAATGGGACCATAATTTACTAAATGAACATTATGTTGTATTGAAGAAAATGTGAAATTAGCGATTTAGACCATAAACTCATTTGAAAGTTTTTACTGAGGTAATAAATCAGGTGAGAAGTAGGGTCATTTTACAATTATTTCTAATGGAACCGGACTTCTTTTTGCAACCAGAAGAGTCGCCCCCTGCTGGTTGTTTAATAGAATGCAGGTTTAAGGAACCTCCGCATTGGCTTCGCGTATCAGACTGGAAGCTTATAATCAGCCTCTATGGAAGTGACATTAGCTAATGACAGAGGAGAAGAGGACGTTGACGGAGGAAGCTAAGAAGAGTAAAAGAGAGAGACACTGCAAGAGGCTCACAGACGTTGGTGAGAGCTTCGTGAAAGAAAAGCAGCAAGGGCTGCAAGACAGATGCCGAGGTGGCATTCTTTCTGTGTATACAGCTGGACTAGTAAGTCATATTGCTATGTGAATTACACCCTGAATTGGTAGGGCTACCAAATTGCCCCAAACCTCCAATCTTACAAAATATCTTTCAATGGTTTGCACTTTTTTTTCTAGTTGGATGACTTTTGCTTTCATTGTTTTTTTAAGTTTTTCTTTGGGAAGATGAACTCTGCTACTGACAGTGATAGCAAGCCTTTGAAGAATGACCTTAGCTACCTCTGCTGTCTTTGGTTGTTTCCTTGCAGAGTGGTTCAGAAGCACCTTGACTCTTCAAGATGACCCGTGTAAGAAATACTATGAAGTCCTTGTGGTCAACCCCATTCTGCTGGTATCTCCAACCAAGGTAGGTCACTGTGACAGCATGTATGTAAAACCTGAGAATAATTACTATTACTATTAACTTGGATTTTAAAGGAGACCTATTTTGCTTTTCCACATTTTGACTTATCTACAATGTTGGATGTTCATGTTAAACATTGCCAAAGCTTCAAATAATGAGGTTAAAGTATTTTAAAAGAAATCCCTGTGAGCCAAAACCTCAGATTTCCTCCTGCTCTGTTTTGAACAGCTTTTTCTACCAACAGCTCCGTTCTACAACATACGGAGCTAGATGAAGCCGGAACTATAGGACTGGAAAAACACTTTAATAGGTGTCCTTTTAAGATAGCAAAAATGTTGCATTGCTGTTTTAGTTTTTAGGCATTTATTAAGGAAATAGAATAGGGATGCACCGAATGTTCGGCCACCAAAATGAATCGGCTGAAAACAGCAAAAATAGCACATTCGGCCTAATACATCAAAAGACCGAATAAATTTTACCGAACAGTTAGGTTGACATGTCGGCAGTGTGGAAGCATTTTAAAGTGTCCGAGAAATCCGCAAAAAACGCCATTTGCAGGCACTGTTAATATATTACATATTGTGTACATTAAAAATAAATGGACACATGTAATTTACTTCACGGGACCCTCTTGGGCCTCAGACCCACCCACCATAGTCTCTCCAAATCCTGTGGAATACACTGAGTAAAAAGCACATATTGACTATTTAATTTGTGCAATGGTAAAAAAAAGGCAAAATATGTGAATGTACAAATTTTTTCATTATATTTGGTTTCTGCTTCGGCCATGAATTTTCATTTCGGTGCATCGCTAAAATATCATGAAGCATTTAACTCTCTCATATACATTTTAAAATGATGATATCTTCTTAAACAATGTTATTTTTAAAATTGGTATTATTTTTTGAATGTCTGTATGGGTGTGGAAATGGCGCGCACACAAGATTTCAATCTAAACGTCCCTCTCTGTTTAGGCGTTCACAGTTACCATCACAACCCTCATCACAGATCCACTGAAGCACATCGGCCAGGGGATCAGCGAGTTTCTTGTAGCACTCCTCAAAGACCTACCAGTTACCCTGCAGATCCCAGTTTTCCTCGTTGTCATGTTGTGTGTTTTGGTAAGGACTTTATAAATGATCAGTGACACATGCAAATAAATGAAATCTGACAGGGTTTCTCAATACTGGTGTATTTATTTGACTCTTCTACAGGTATTAATGTATGGAAGTGTACAGGCAGCTTTCCAGCATGGCATCGCTGCACCTTTCCGCCATCCTCGAAGGGATCCACCTCCTCTGCAGGTGGCGCAACTGCAGATTCACCTCCAGGGGATCGAGGACTTTGACCGCTTAGCAGGAGGGGATGCACCACAACATTCCCAGAGGCACCGAGCAGATGATGGCAGATTAGACAGGAACCAGGTTCATCAGAGGCGACACAACAGACCCAGAGAAGAGCAAGCCAAGGTAGTTGTGGTGACAGTACGCACTGCCGAGTCTCCTTACAGTGAGGATGAGATGGACGCTGGGCGGCGTGAGGCGGAGCCGAATCTCTCTGCTGAGTCCGATTCAGGAAAGCAAGAGGAGCTGGCTGGAGCGAGTGCTAGCAGTGTTGAAGCTAACACAGCCCAGTCAAAAACTAAACCCAATGACTCCTATTCATCTCCATCAAAGACTAAAACTGAGGAAGCGAATGAAAACCTTTCTAAAGATGAACTCAACAGACACAGTGCAGCATCTAGATCTCAGCCAGCAGCAAGGCGGCCTTCACAAACTGATGTACAGGTGAGGTCAAATCAAATTCGTCCTAGGAATATCTGACATTAGACATAAAATAGCGCTTCTTAACTGTGAAAATATTTAACATACCCTGTTTATGTCTTAATGCCGTTTCACATGCGATAATGGGATGATGAATATTCTCATGTGACATAAATTGGTAAATAAGTAGATCATATTTTTGACATATTTTCATTTGGGTTAGATTTTTCCGTGTTACGTTTGTGTTTTGATAGATGTTGAGCTTGTCGTGGATGTGTGTGGGTGAATGTGTTCAGCCAGTAGATTTTATAGCTTTATATGCATGTCATGTACTGTATATACATTAGAACTGGGCAATAAAACAACAATGATAATTAATTCTAAATAATTTTCCTCAATAACAATATAACAAATGTTCAATAAATGTTTGATTTAATTAATTTGAGTCACAAACTAATTGGCGCTTAATTTTTCTTAAGATATTTATTTTGTCGAGGATTAGAGACTGAAAACAGATTTTACTTAATTTTACATTTGAATATTTGTAGAAAAAAGATTTTATGATAAGTGCTTTGAATGTTCTACCTTAGATTTGTTAAGTAATCCACTGTTTGGCATCAAGTGTTTGTCATGTTCTGACCAAAAAATTAACCATTTGGTTTTTTTCAACTTTCACTCAGGACCAAAAATTTTAACTCAAGAATTAATGATTTGACAATTATCCTGATAATTATTGGTATCGAATGATATGAATTTTTTTTATCGTGATAACATTTTTGGCCATGTTGCCCAGCCCTAATATACATACGTATATATTAATAAAACTAGTTCTTAGAGCAGTTGATTTTAACCGGGGATGCCATGACATGCTGGTGTGTGAACTTGAACATGTCCAAAATCTGAGGAAATTAATCTTTGATTAAAAATATGTTTCAACTACCAAATCATTCTTCTCTGTAACCATAAATATTTGGCTTTAAAGAGGTTGAATTCCAATTTTTATTGTGATTTAAATTCTTGTAACATTAAATAACATTACCCTTTCTCTTTCTATAATGTAATGCAACAAAAGGTCAGTTAAGATATTTCAGGGATTTAAGCCCGTAATACTCAAATCAATGTAATTTTATTTTATTATTCATTTTTATTTGTACATGCATTTTGTTATTTTTTTTTCTCACTGCAGGACCAGCAATCCTCAGCAGAAAACAGGACTTCCGCTGACTCACTGATACAAGTTGAAACTGTGGGAGTTCCTGTACAGGAGTCCTCTCCAATATCAGCCGAGTAGACCGATTCTACGTCAGTCAGAAGAGGAAGAATAACCATTAGTGTTTGGTGCTTTTTGCTGGACTGTGGAGAGTAGATATCGTTGACTAACTGATTTACAGACATTGTTTTAATGTGGGCGTACAATATTTTGAAGTTTACCCAAGGAGGAACCACCAGAGTGTTGCCAACTGACTTTGTCTGCTGTGCGGTCAACTGAATGTGCCTTAACCTGAGCAGAGAGTAACCAATACTGTTTGGTGAATCTACTAAATGTTTCATGATTTCAGCTTTTCCTGGGAAAAAGGAAACATATATACACACAGATAAAAGCATTATTTACTTGATCTGGTGTTTTGGTGTCTTACTCGTGGACAGGAGTCATTGTGTTAAAATCTAGGTTTGAATTGTTGTTTCATTGTAACCTAATTATATTGAAATTCTTTCTGAATGTGAAAAAATAAATCTTGGATTTTGTAATTTACTAGGAATGATAACAATTTCTTTATGCTGTTTTTTCCTTTTATTTTTACAATGAGCTATTAAAATTAAACATCCATCCTGCCAATCATTTGCATTGGGACACGTGTCACATTGAATCTTGGAGACCTTATACCTAAAGCTGCAGCAGATATCATGAATGTCTTGCTTTTGGATTAATCGTGCAGAATACATTGTACTCTCACCTGGGGCCTATATATAAAACTGTATGTAGAATCCATCCAAAAACTGTCTGTGCACACAAAAACAAAACGGAAAGGGAGGAAAAATCCGATTTACAAAACCTGCCAAAGCACACACACCACCTGGAAATGTGCTAACGTGGATCAGTCTCATATCCAGCTTTCTACACGCCCACGTAAATGGTGGTGCAAGCCATAAATGGTCATGCAAAGCACTTTATAAATATTATGCACGAGTGTCACGCAATTTATTTTTTACAGCAATCATACGGAGTAGGCTACTTCACACTTTGCCAAACGGATTTAGAGGTCCTTCCGGCAGTAGTATCTCCCACCAAGAGCACAGGGCTATCATGGAATTTTGACAGGTGAACACATTTTTAGCTCGGTTTTTTTATGCTTTGCCTGCACTATGATGAGGACTGATGATGAGGATGGAGTGAGTGTGCGAGAGCTTTCACTGGCTTTCTATTTTATTTTATTTTATTTTATTATTTTTTTTCAGACTTTGTTAATGTACACAATGCATATATGCAGGACAGTTGGTAAAGATGTGCCAGGTGAGTCTGTCTGTCCGTGCGCCACCGCTGTGTGCGCCCAAGTCGACTTCACTGCAGCCATTTCACACACAAAAAGTATAAAAAAAATATCAATAGATATTAGTAAAACCTACTTCTTTTATGCTATTTAATGTAATATCCACAACTGACCGACAGTGTCCTCTGCACTCCGGTCTTGGGGTAGGTGATGATGAGACAGCGCTGATTCCCCTTACACATAGACTAATTTAATTTTGATGTTAAACATTATCCACATCCAACTATGATGGTGGATCAGCGATATAGTGACAGGCCTGTATGTTTTTTTATATTTTATCTGTGTTTTTCCACCGGAGGGCTGGGCTTTAATGATTTTATCACCATCAGGCATCTCTGATGTGTCTGAAAAACTTTCCGTGAGCTCTACGCATGGGTGAAAGGATACGTGGAAACCCAACTAGAAATCCGTACGTTTTTCCGCACAGTATTTTCTCATTAATCCAGACGAATAATTATGCGTATACGCACATTTAACCGCCGTTTAGGCAACTTTTGCCATACTGAACTTTCACACTCATCTGTCAGCAGCACACCCACCCCTGTGAACACCAGGTAGACACACATGGATACAACGCGTTAAGATGGTTTGATGTCTAACATTAGGCCTACTGCATGTTTCACAGCCACAACAACACACAAACACAAACAACATCCACATATCTCATTCCAAAATTAAAACTGCATTAAACCCAAGTGCCAGCGGAGTCAACAAACAATCCTCCTTGGCTCTAAAACCAGTCGAACCAGTCGGCATGACGGAGCGGGGTTGGCGCTACAGTAAACGCCCATCAAAATACAACAAGTCCCTCCCTAGCTTTGTGTATTTACAATAGATTGTATATCACAAGAAACACGTAACGTTAAATATGCGGAAGCAAAGAGCACCCCGCCTTCATGGGAACTTTGGTTTGCTTTAATTGAAGTTAGGCACCTGTACTAGCTTCCACTTTGAAGCTTCCACCTTGAACTCTTTGGACTAACCCCCCCTCTCTGTACCAGGATGCTCCTTGTTGTGCTGGTATGCAGCCTGTCCGTGTCACTGGCTGCTACGGGGCAGCAGACCGACGACGACTGGATAGACCCTTATGATATGCTCAACTACGATTCAAGCACCAAAACGATGAGGAAGCCTGCAGAGGTTGGGTGATGTTAAAAGTCTACTCTGACCAAATTTCATTGACTGACCATGCTATTGTCCTAAATTGATCTGATGCCATGTCAAGAGAATCATTTTGTGTTGAAAAGGGGTGGGGACATTTAAGGGCTCAGATTAGGGGTGTGATGAAACACTTAGATCGTGAGACATATGCCATTGCACAAGATTGGGGTCATGAGTACAAGACAAGAATATATTTTAATGCCAATAAGAAAAAATATTTATTGATCAAATAGCCTATAGGATGGGGGGTCTATGGCTCCTCCCCCAGAAGATTTTGAGCATTAAACAGTTTTATGGTGGAAATGTCTTATTTAGAGGGAAACACAAAATTCAAGTGACAATTCATAATAAAAAATAATGTAGTGTAATGAAAGTTATTAGGGATTAGGCTATGTGCTCTGTTACTGTCACACTCTGCCTGCCATGCCGTGTTTTGCCCTTTTGTGTTTAGTTAGCGTTATTTTGGTCTGTTGGGTTTTGGGGGTCTGTCTTGTCTGTCGTCTAGTGTTCGGTAACCCTTGTCATGTCTGTTACCCCAGTGATCCCTCTGCATGTCTGTCCCAGTTTTCCCTGCTCTCTCTCTCCCTGCCTGTGCCTCGTTAGCCTCATGTCTTTCACCTGTGTTGCTCCCGCCCTGCTCGTTAGTCCCTGTGTGTATATACCTGGTGTTTCTGTCTTGTCCTTGTCGGGTCATTGTTTATTGTCACCCAGTGTTACAGTGTGTTACAGTGTGTTGCCTTGTTGCCTTGTTGCCTTGTTGCCAGCCTACTCGTCCTGTTTCCCTGCTTATATTGGTTTTTGGATTCTGGTTTTCTCGTTTGGATTACTTTGTTTTGGACTCAGCCACTCAGTTTGTAAGTGTGCTCGCCTTTGTTTGTTTATTAAAACCCCTTGAACTGTACCCCTGCATTTGGGTCCTCCAACCTGCTCAACCCTGCCTTCACCTCAAAACCGTGACAGTTACGTTTTGCTATCAGAATTTAGTTGAGAGCTAAGCGGTTATGTATGTTTATTTTTTTGTATCTGTTGGTTTTCACAAGTCTAATATGGAACTGACTGCTTTCTGACAACTATTATATGGAACAGGCAGGTTTATCTGTTCCACCCTACTGAAGAATATTTTCTGTTTAAACATTACATAAGCATAGCAACAAGAACAGTTGGCAAAAACTGGCAAAAATGAAGAAAATAACTTTTTGGTGTGGATCTTGACATGTGCAGCAACTTTACGACCCCTCAAAATAAATGAGCATAAGGGTGTTAGACATCAGAGACACTTCATCCTTCAGCCAGAAAGTACAAGTTTGAGTCCCCTTGTATCTGCCCTGCTGTTAAATATCCTTTAGCAAGATGCTGAATCTCAATAGGGCAAATAAGAAAACCTTCCTTCATTGAATCAGTCAAGCATCACAAATGTTGCGCTTTGCTTTCATTCAGAAGGAAGAAATGGAAAAGAAAATCCAGCTCATCTTACAGCAGCCCTTATGCAGTCCAGTGTTTATGCGATTCCTTAGGAGACTCAAAAAGGATATACAAAGAGTTGGTTTGGTAAGTGGTCATTTCATATGTCTCTTCTGGCAATGATCATGTGGCCTACTTTTGACAATGGTATATTGTCTGTTTCAAACGCGATCAGGGATGATGTTTTCAACTCTGTTTGAGTGCATTCAAACACAAGTGTGGTTCAATAATTAGATAAGGCCCCACCATTTTGACCTTTTATACAGAGGAAATCAGGGTCACCTTACAACTGAGGCCTGTGTACAGTACATAAAATACAGATATAAATATTAAAAACCACAATTTACAACTGCATTCAACAGTAATGTGTCCGTTCAGGAGTGCTAAATTGTCCTGTAGAAACCAAAACATCTGGCTTAAGATTTTCCTGAAATGTATTCCAAGAATGAGGAGCATTGTATTAATTAATTTTCTCCCCAGCCCAGTGACTTCACAGAGGCTCTCTATGATGCCAGGATCAAACTGTCCAGACAAGACATGACAGAGATTGACAGACTTCTGGATGGTGAAGACAGCTGGAGAACAGGGCCTCTGGACAATGCCATCAGTCAGATACTAGTGGATCTCAGACCACATGACCGTGAGGTTTGGAGGTGGCATTTTGAAGACACCTTTGGTGTGGAGCTTGACACACTGTTAAAAGTAAGCTCATTCATTAATCTGAAATCTTTGTTTAGAATCTTTAAGATGCTTCACACATCTGCTACCAAACAATAGACACTGTTCTATGACAGTGTATTGTAGTCTGAGGTATTTTTTGCAAGTGAAACTCAATATGCATATAGAAGTATTCAGCTCTATGCGCAATTATTTATGGGGATAATTCACAAATGTATTGCAACAATAAGATATTAAAGGACTGTAATACTACTTAATACTGGACAATAGACAGTAAAAGTATAGGAATTGTCCTCCATTAAATACACTATTACTTGAGTAATGACAATTTCTTCCCACAGAATACAGTATCTCACAAAAGTGAGTACACCCCTCACATTTTTGATAAATATTTGATTATATCTTCATGTCAAAACACTGAAAAATGACACTTTGCTACAATGTAAAGTAGTAAGTGTACAGCTTGTATGCCAGCTGTGTGAGGAGGCACTGAGCCCTGCCCTTGGTGAAACATTGGTGACAGAAGCAGTGTCCGTAAATGACACCTAAACACAGCAGCATAGTATTTTTCTGTTCTTCTAGCTTAGGTGCTGTGGAAAAGCACTTATAATGCCAGGGGAAAACCCAGATTTTTAGACATTGTACCCACATTTTGGCAGATTCCATGTTTTACAGTTTATTCCATTTTTACTATCAAATCCCGTCTGTTTTCCACATCTCAGAAATCATAGTAAATCATCATCTGTTTGTGTTCCAGATGTTGCTGCTTGTTCTGTTTGTAGTGGCCATCATATGCACTCAGCTGTGGTCAATGGTGTCCTACTTCACGCAGTTTAGGAGACTGTTTGTTGTATTCTTCTTTATCAGTATATTCTGGAACTGGTTCTATCTGTACAAAGTGAAGAAGAGCTCTTTCTGTTCCCTTGCTCTTGTTTAGCTGTTCAGTGCTCTTTTTGTTTTATTTTAGAAATGTAAGCTTGTAAACCAGTACTTTTTTCAGATTGCCTTTGCTGAACACCAAAACAACATAGCGAAGATGAATAGTGTGTATGAAAAATGCACTGGAATGAAGAAAATAGGCTGGATTGATAGCTTGAAAGGTGAGCCAATTACATTTAATTTGGTGACTTGGTGCATAACAAACATAAAATAAGTAAATAAAAATATTAAATTGACAAGTGTGACGGAAAGGTAAGAGCATATCACCCCAACCGGATTCAAACCCGGGTCTACGGGGTACCAAACATCAACAACAACTTGACCGCAACACCAAAGAGTCAGGCTCATTGGTATAACAGTCACAGCACATACTCAACCATAGTGACGGTGGTCCGTCACAACAAGATAAAAAATATTGTTAAATTTGCGAAATATTTACATGTGACAAACATTTACGTATGTACTGTAAAGGGTGTGGGTGGTTGAGGCCAGCTGCAGATGTTTCTTTTGGCGTGAGGTTTTGGTCCTGACGGAGTGGAGTGTCTGAAACAGTTTGTGTCCGGGGTGGGAGGGGTCAACCACAATGTTTCCTGCTTGCTTCAGAGTCCTGGAGGGATAGTAGATTGCAGCTATTCACGTTCTCTGTGGAGCCAATGATACGCTGCAGTCTGCCTTTGTTCCTGGCAGTGTACCTGAGGATGGACTTGATGACGGCGGTGTAGAAGTACACCATTATCTTTGGCAGGTTGAACTTCTTCAGCTGCTGCAGGTAATACATCCTCTGCTGGGTTTTCTTGGTGAGGGAGCCGATGTTCAGCTCCCACTTGAGGTCCTTGGAGACGATGGTGCCCGGAAAGCGGTGCGACTCCACAACGTTGACCATGGAGTCACATATCGTGATGGCGGGTGCTGGGCTCTTCCTGAAATCCACAACCATCTCCACTGTCTTAAATGTGTTGAACTCCAGGATGTTCTGCTCAGCAGCCTCTATGGACATAGCTAAGCTAAGAAAAGAGAGTGACCAAGCAAGAGGCTCCCAGACATTGGCGAAAGCTTTGTGTAATAAAAGGTAGCAAGGCAGACGCCAAGCTGGCATTCTCTATGTTGGACTAGTAGTCAAAATTGCTATGTGTTGTGTTAGCAAAGTTGGCAACTTGATAGTTTTTGATCATAAGTAGCCTAATGTATTCATAACAAATGTACAGCTGTCCATATTTACAACAATGGTAAACTATGAAAAGATGGGGGCGCCAAATCACACAACACCTATCTCATCAAATCTCTTTCAATGTTTTTGGCACTTTTTTATAGTCTGACTTTTGCTTTCAGTGTTTTGTAAGTTTTTCTTTGCAAGGATGCAGAAAGACCTTAGCTACAGCTGCTGTCTTTGGTTGTTTCCTTGCAGAGTGGTTCAGAAGCACCTTCACTCTTCAAGATGACCCTTGTAAGAAATACTATGAAGACATCATGGTCAACCCCATTCTTATGGTACCTGCAATCAAGGTAGATCACTGTAACAGCATGTATATCAAACTTGACTGAACAATGACTGTTACTATTGTGAGATAACTGTCATTGTGATTTGGCGCTATATAAATAAAATTGAATTAACTTTTATTTTAAGATGGCAAAAAGTTCCAAAATGTTGAATTGCTGTTTTTAGGCATTTATTGAGGAAATGGACTAAAGCATTTCACTCTCTCATACATTTTAAAGTGATATCATCTTAAACAATATTATATTGATTGGTATATTTGAAAGTATGTGAAAGTGACACACAAAAGGTTTCAATCTAAACGTCCCTCTCTGTTTAGGCGTTCACAGTTACCATCACAACCCTCTTTACAGAGTCTTTAAACTCAACAGAAATAATGATTTGACATTTATCATGATGATTTCAAATGATTTGATGAAATTTTTTTTATCGTGATAACATTTTTGGCCATGTCGCACAGGCCTAATATACTAACGTAACCTCCATCTACTACTAAACTCTGGTCAAACAAAGTGCATGCTTTTCAACTGATCGCTTCCCACACCGGCTTGTCTGACTAGCATCACAACGCTAGATGGGTCAGTATTAGAATATGTGGACACTTACAAATACTTAGGTGTTTGGATAGACAGTTCCCTCTCTTTCCAGCCCAACATAAACCACCTTCAATCTAAAAGTATGTCCAGAATCGGTTTCCTTTTCTGCAACAGGGTCTCGTTCACCCATGCTGCCAAACCTGCCTTGGTAAGAATGACTGTTCTACCCATGCTAGATTTCAGGGATGTCATATACAGATCTGCCTCAAACTTTCTTGTGAAAAAACTGGATGTGGTCTACCACAGTGCCATCCGTTGTTACCGGCACCCAATTTAATACCCACCACTGCGACCTCTATGCATTAGTCGGCTGGCCGTCGTTACATAGCCTACTCGACACCTAACTCATTGGTACCAACTTATTGTGTGTACATAGTGCTTGCTAGGCAGAGCCACCCTATACCTATGCTCACTGGTGTCTATATCATTACCCACCCGCAGCCTGCGCTCAAGCAGGTACATCTCTCTGGTCACCCCAAAAGCCCATACCACCTTCGGTCGCCACTTCAAGTTCTCCGCTGCCAACGACTGGAATGAGTTACAAAAACCCCTCAAGCTAGAGACCCGCATCCCCCTCACTGCCTTTTAAAGCACATCTGTCTGAACTCTTATCCGATCTATGTCTATTGTTGGAGCCATTCTGTGTATAGCCATGGGTTGGCGCTGTGTGCAGCCACAAGTCTACTTAAGACATTGGGTAATTAGTGCAGGTGTGGCGCACTGCGAGGTGCATGGTTTTTGACCGTGAGGCACGGCGTGTAATTATGGAGACTGACTTGAGTTAAGTTATTATTGAATAAATGTTTTATTTTTTGTTATGTTAATAAATGGATTGGCATATCCGACGTTAAGTTCAGACTTTTGAAAGTTTATTATTTTAAGCCAAAGGAAACAGCACGCCTGAAACACGCGTGCAAAACAACTTAAATGTGCGCCAACAATTAGTCAAAAACCCCCTCTGTATGAGGAAAAGACTGATCAAGTTGAAACGACACGGTCCTTATGCTGTTCGTGCACTATCACGGTGATCGGCTGAATGGAAAACGCTGGCGCATCAGATGCAGTAGGCCCATGGGCGCAGCGGGCCTCACATTGGACAGTGAGGCGGCCATCATGGAGGTGACGGACGGCGGAGATCGATAGCGGACGTCGGTGACGGACGGCGGAGATCAGTAGCGGACGTCGGTGATCGGTAGCGGACGTCGGTATAAAACGCTTTGAGACTGACCGTGAACATTGAGGAGGTCCGGATGGGACGCGGTAAGGACGGACGGACACCATAGGCGACGGTCACGGAGGTTTGTGTGCGGCTTCACATTGGACAGTGAAGAAGGGGCACTTTGATGCAGATACTCGGACAAAGGAGGTAACGGCAGTTAGCACACACATAAAAAGATGTATGCATTAAGAGCTGCAGTTATTAAAGTATAAACAGCAAGAATAAAAGGAGAACACAAAATATTGACATTTGGTTAAAGTAAACGAGGACTTGAAATAAGAGACATTTGGGTCGAGGGGTTTACACAAGAAAAGTAAAGTGTTTATGCTTTATTTCTGATTTCTCGTTTTCATATTTAAATGAAATGTTTTTCTTTTGTCTGCTTTTTCTTGGTTAAAAGTGATGTAAAATGGATGAAAATTATCAAGGTATCGAGGTAACACATGTGGTGTCGGCTGACTCTCAAAATGATAAAGAAGAAGCCTCCGTAAAAAAAAATCTATAAAACCTACAGCAAAAGCATGGCTTTCTAAACTAAATGACTTGGAGACACTAAGAAAATCCAAATTAAGTAAAGCCGCCAATCTAAAAAAAACTGTTCAAGGTTTAATGTGTGAGTCTGGTTATGAAGCTGAAATAAAAGGCAGCTTCAGCAAATATCAAGCTTTGATTAATGACGCAAAAGTTGCACATAATAATCTGCTTGAGTTGTTACCCGTAGAGGAAAAAGAGAAGCATGAGACCTGGTTCAAAGCAAAGCTTTTAAGTGTGCATGGATTTTGCCAGTGTGTGGAAAATCATTGTAAGAGTACAAATAATGGTACTGCAGAAGAGGTTCACCTTGAGGATGAAATAAAGCCAACGGACAGTGTATCAAATGTTGGAACATCATCATGCATTAACAGCCGCACCAGTGAAAGATCAAGTCGATCAAGCAAGGCTGCATTTGAAGTTGCACAAGCAGAAGCCAAGAAAGCTGCACTTCTGGCACGCGCAGCAGCGCTAAAAAAGAAACATGAAATGGAGAAGGAGGTGGAATCATTACGCAAAAGAATGGAACAAGTGGAAATGGATGCTGAGATTGAAGCCTCGGATGCAGAGTTGGCAGTACTGCAAGCATTTTCAGATCAGGATAAAATGGGATCTTATTTTGAGAAACAAAGATCGAAAGAAATACCTGACATTCCTGAAGCAAGGTTTGAGAAGTCTACAAGATTGAGGAAAAATAAAGGCTTACCTGTTGCAGTTGCAAGACCCGCTGAAAATGTTGTACATGCAGTTGATGACAATTCTACACGACAAATTCTGCAAAAGCAAAATTAAATATCCGAGCTGCTCATTCAACAACACAGAGCAAGCCAACTGCCACCAAGACAAATGCCTGTTTTTGAGGGTGACCCACTGAAGTTCAAAACATTCATGCAAGCTTTTAAGCACTGTGTGGAAGAGAAAGCTGCATCTAAAGGAGATTGCATGTATTTTTGGAAAGGTACACCAGAGGGCGCCCACATGACCTTGTACAAAGCTGTTTACATATGAGTGCGGAGAGAGGATTTGAAACCGCTAAAGCCCTCCTACAGGAACACTTTGGTAATGAAACCAAGATCACAGCAGCTTATATGGAAAAGGTTCTCAACTGGCCTGTGGTGAAGGCTGAAAGTGTTTCGTTACTACAGGACTATGCATTATTTTTACGTGGCTGCAATAATGCAATGTCAGATTTAAGGGATATGAGAGAATTGGACATGTCTGCCAACCTCAAAATTGTTGTTTCGAAACTTTCTTTTAAATTGAGGGAAAAATTTAGAAATTCTGCATGTGATATTCAAGAGAGACACAACCGCAGACCAAACTTTAATGACGTTGTACACTTTGTGGAATATCAAGTCAAAATCTTGTCTGATCCTGTTTTTGGTGATATTCAAACTACTGAAAGAGTACATGTTAAAAGGGAGGTGTATACAGCAAAGTCTAAGTTGAAGCGAGACAACTTTGCTACAAACGTCTACGCTGTTCGCAAAGTACAACACAAGGACACACAGGAAGGTAAGCATAGGGACAGCAACATCAGCATCAATTGTTTATTCTGTTTACAAAATCACAGTCTGGATGAATGTCAACGATTTGCCAATAACAAACATCATGAAAAGATCAACTTCTTAAAGGAAAAAGGAGTGTGCTTTGGTTGTCTCAACACTGGGCATTTGAGCAAAGATTGTGATGAGCGCAAAATCTGTGCAAAGTGCAAACAGAGCCATCCAACAGCTTTACACATTCACGTCAAACAACTGGACAAAACAATGAACCCCAGTGAAACTAAACCAGCTGTAAACCATACGCTTGTGTCAGCTCAGACATTTGGGAGCCAGACCGGGGCCGGTTGCAATGGAATGCTCTCCATCCTGCCAGTTCAGGTAAAAGCACAAAAAGGCAACAAGGTGATTCAGACCTATGCTTTTCTGGACAATGGCTCAACATCCACATTCTGCTCTGAAGCTCTTATGCGTAGGCTTAATCTCACTGGGACAAAGTCAAAAATATGTTTGTTAACGATGAGCCCAAAGACATCAGTGTCAACATACATTGTGAATGGACTTGAAATAGCTAGCCTTAATGGTACAAGGTACTACAGTCTTCCAAATGTTTACACACAGAAATCGATGCCAGTGAATACAGCAAACATCATCAAACAAGAGGACCTTACACAGTGGCCTTACCTTGAGCACATTGAAATCCCTGAAATTGATGCTAATGTGGAGTTATTAATAGGGACTAATGCTTCAAAGTTGCTGGAACCATGGGAAATTGTGAATAGTCAAGGTGAGGGTCCTTTTGCTGTTAAAACTCTATTGGGGTGGGTGGTCAATGGCTTCGGAAAGGATTGCAAAGACATGAATGACAATGGTGGTCATAGTGTTGCTGTTAACCGATTATCTGTGGAATCACTTCAGCTGCTATTGGAGAAGCAGTACCAAAGTGACTTCAATGAAAAAATCGCCGACGACGGAGAAGAAATGTCAAGACAGGAGGCAAGATTCATTGAAATAATGGACCAATCTGTAAAGTTAAAAGACGGACACTACAGTTTAAAATTGCCATTCAAAGCTCAGAAAGTGACACTGCCAAACAATCGTTGTATTGCTCAACAGCGCTTCACTGGATTAAGAAGGAAAATGGAAAGAAATGAGAAGTTCCACCAAGAATACGCAAGCTTTCTTGGGGAAGCTTCAGACCCAGCACAGTGGCGATATGTTCACACAAAACAAAATCCTGCAGATGACGCATCTAGAGGACTGACAGTCCACAAGCTTCTGAACAGCAAAACGTGGTTATCAGGTCCAGAATTCCTGTGGAAAGCAAGAGAAACGTGGATACATTATGAAGTAGAATCCACAATAGAAGAGGATGATCCAGAGGTCAAACTGGAGATCTCTACCAACACAATAACTATTCAGGAGGATAATGCAACCAATCAACTCATCACATATTTCTCTGACTGGAAGAGGTTGAAGGTTGCAGTTGCATGGTTACTCAAGGTTAAGAAGACTCTATTGGAGTTGAGTCAAAGAAGAAAGCAACTTGTGATGGTTGAAATGGCTGATCTTTGTTATGTGGACAAGAAAATGTTGGAAGCCAGAAAGTCATCAGGACGAGACAGTATATCAACTGAGGATCTATTAGCGGCAGAAAATGCTATCCTTCAGTTATGTCAAAGGGAAAGATTTGACAAAGAGATTTGTGCACTAAGGACAGGAAAACCTGTAACAAAGTGTAGCCCTATCTACAAACTGAATCCTGTTCTAGAGGATGGACTGTTAAGAGTAGGTGGAAGATTGTCCAGGACTACAATGCCCGAAGAGAGCAAACACCCAGTCATCCTGTGTAAAGATCAGTACATCTCCATGTTAATTCTTAAAAATGTTCATGAACAGACAAGGCATGGTGGGAGAAATTACATCCTCTCCAAATTGAGAGAAAAGTTCTGGGTCACACATGCCAATGCTGCAGCAAGAAAAATCTTGTCAAGTTGTACTTTTTGCAAACGTCACAAAGGAAAATTGTGTGATCAAAAAATGGCTGATCTTCCCAAAGAAAGGATTACTCCAGACTTACCTCCATTTACTAATGTGGGAGTGGACTATTTTGGGCCTATTGAGGTAAAGCAAGGGCGTTCCTATGTGAAACGTTATGGAGTTATCTTTACATGTATGGCCAGCAGGGCAGTTCATTTAGAAGTGGCGCACTCATTAGACACGGACTCTTGCATCAGTGCTATTCGTCGATTCATATGCCGAAGAGGATCCGTAGCACACTTTCGCTCAGACAATGGCACAAATTTCACAGGAGCAGAGAAGGAACTAAAAAGAGCAATTGCAGAGTTAAACAACAAATCAATTGAGAAAGTTTTAATTCATGACAACATCAAATGGACGTTCAACCCACCTACAGCTTCACATCATGGTGGTGCTTGGGAAAGCATGATCAGACTGGTCAGAAAGGTCTTGGTATCTGTTTTACATCTACAGACTTTATCTGATGAAACCTTAGTCACAGTCTTATGCGAAGCCGAAGCAATCTTGAATGACCGACCAATTACGAGAGTTTCTGAGGATCCTAATGATTTAGAACCCC